TGACACATCGCTGAAACGGCTGAAGAATTTTATTAAGAGTCTTTATATCTTGTGCCTTAAGCTGGCCCGATCAGCATAATCCCTGTCCAAACAAGAGATAATGAATCTTCTCTTTTAACGCTGGGTTAGACGGAGGGAAGCATGATGCCGGCAGAGAGAAAACCAGAGAAAGAGGGAGAGAGGGAGGGAGGGAGGGAGGAGTGCACAAATTATTGGATTTAGATTAGGAGGGGCCTATTTTAATGGGTTTGAAGTAATACCACAACGTTAATGAAAAGTTGCCCCGGGCCCTCACGATACTGTGTGTGTGCGTGTGTGTGTGCGTGTGTGTGTGTGTGAGATAGAGAAAGCAGATTGGGCGATAAGCTGTTCTTAACACAGCTCATTGAAGACACCCGGCTATTGTTCCAGCGGATGTTTTCCTCTTTTGTTTTCTTGTCTTGGTATGCAGTCTTGTTCATATGTTGAGGTTTATTTTTGGCGTTTAATTGTGATTGTACATGGCTGCAGTGTGTGTGTGTGTGTGTGTGTGTGTGTGTGTGCATGAAAGTAAGACTCATATGCATGCTGATAACACAAGCTGTTGTTAAAGTCTTCTTATCTATGTGCGAGTTTTATCTTTCATTTACATTTCGTCTCCTCCAGTTTGTCCACAGAAACTTAAAGCAGGAGTGTGACATAAAACAATTAATTAAATTCTTTTATGTTCGTCTGCACTGGCGGGGCTGCGTCTCATAAAGTTTCTAATGACCCTGGAAACACTTGTGATCTCGTTCGGCTCAGAAAATGCAAATGGCTCTCAAACTTGCCTCTCAGAGACGTGCATTGTTGCGTTGTTTGTGTAGCAGCTCTTTCTCTGCTAATAAAACTCTCTACATCGGCGGGCTTTCATTATTAAAAGTCGCCTTATTGCGGTGTCAGATAAAGCTGGGAAGGGAATCCCTGCAGGGTGCAGCTAATTTACTCATCTAAATATAGGAGGAAATGGCGCGCATCTTACAAAGCAACAAATAAATGTTGGATTCTTGTTTTCTGCACTGTTCCCCCCGTCTCAAGTTCTCTCTTTTAGTCGCTGAAAACAGGACCTGCATGTCTGTTCTGAAGGGTAAAACAATGTGTGAACAAGGTTGACTCATCCTTTCAACTCCTGAAGCTGTTCCCATCTTCAAAATATAAAATCAGCAAACCTTGGTTTTTCTAAAGAGCGGTCTACCCGCACACGCCACCCTTTCAGGCGGAGAGAGAGGCGCGCTGATTAATCAACACAGAAACACCTCAACCTCGGGATTATAAAAAGAGCCACTGAAGGCAGAGACACATTAAGAGGAGTTCATGTGTCTGCCCTTTTTCATACCTCTCTCCATCAGACAAAGCGTTGCACAAAAGAGATGAGAGATGAGAGAGGCGAGGGAGGCCAGAGAGCGGCTGTACAGGGGAATGGGAAAGAGCATGGATGTGCAGGTGTTAGCAGAATGTGAGGCAGAGACAGAAACAGAGAGAGAGAGAGAGAGAGAGAGCGACGGGGAGAGAAAGAGAGAGGGGAGATGCAGACTGTGATAAGAGCAGACATGTACAAGGTCCTCTGTGTTCTGTCTCCCACCAGCACCAAACACAGACTTACAATCATGATACTGTGAGAGGCAACAGGTGTGCGAGTCTGTGGGGCTGTGCATCAGTGAGGGGTCTTTTTTTTGTCTTTTCTCCCCAGAACAGGTCAAAAAGACTCTTTAGTCAGTTAGTTTGATCAGTTCGCTACTCTAAGGTCATTTTAAAACAACAGTATGATCCGTTACCTCACATTGGGCCTGTTTATCAACATGCATTTGGACCTTTTGTAGCAGTAAGAGTCTAGATATTAAATTACATCTGTGGATGATGGCTCAGCTGTTCCACTGTCAGCACACATATGCAACCCTTTTTTCTTTTTGGTAACACTTTATTTGACACCTTCATCGGTAACGCATTATAAATATAAGTGTAATGTGTTATAATCGAGTTATAGCACTGTATAACTATAGTTATAAACACTCATAATTGATCAAAATGCTTTATAGCAATAATCACAACACATTATAAAGCATTTTATCATGACTTATAAGGTCAGGTATTATAATGAGTTATAACTGTTAATAACTCACTGACAATGCCTTCATAGATAATGCAATGCAACTGTTGTTAACAGTTATAACCCATGATAATACCTGACCTTGTAAGTCATGAAAAAAAGCTTTATACTGTGTTGTGATTATTGCTATAAAGCATTATGATCATTTATGAGTGTTTACAACTATAGTTATACAGTGCTATAACATGATTATAACACATTACACTTATATTTATAGTGCGTTATAGAGATAGGGGTCAGATAAAGTGTTACCTTTTTTTTTTTTGCAGATGTGAAGCAAATGTGTAAACTGGAAAATAACTGTACCTGCAAAGAGGGAAACAAGAGCAACAATTTTATCCTTAAAACAAAAAGACATAAAAAAGAAGAGTTAGTAATAGTAATGGGTCACATGAATGCATAAAAAAGCAGATTAAAGAATGAAGCAAGATGTTTTAAATTAAATTTATAGTGGAAAATAACTCGAAAGCGCTGATTATAGTGAAAGTTTGAGGAAAGATTACACTCAATGTTAAATCAGCAGATCAGAAAGACCGACTGTGCGGAAACATGGCGTTGACTGTGTCCAAACAACATCACTTTGCTACAGAAGCCTTCGTCAGTTTAATTTTGAGCAAAAGTTTTCATACCGTGGAGATTGGCACTTTGGGGAAAAACCCATTTTCTTCAGGTGATTGAAACGTGATTGAAAAGCCGAGGGAAAATTGATTGCTCTCAGTTGTTGCAGGTTTAGCGTGCAGCATCGACTGTTTTAGTTTCCACATCTTCCCACAGTTGGGAAAAGATTATTAACATCTTCAGGGTCATGTGCGTGGGTCTCCTTGATCAGGTCCTACTGTCCCTCCTTCAGATGCAAATTAACACCATTCAAGGGTTTGACGTAAACCGATACAGCCCTCACCTTTCATTTCCTCTTTCTCTCTGCTTTGCATCCTTCAGTGATCAGTCTTTACCTCTCCATGCGTACATCCTCTCCCATTTCCTCCTCACCAGCAGCCTTCCAAACAAACATACAGACAAGCCGATCTGAATGTCTCCTTCAGCTGAGACTGGCCCAGATGTCACAGATGTAAAACAGTTGCTTGTGTGGAGGCATCATTAGTTAACAAAACATCAAAACCGAATCACACACACTACCTTCCAACACTGACACAGCAAGAGGCCAGGAGCTTCACGTTCCCTCGTTGAGCTAATTACCGCAAATTATCTCTGCCTCCTGTGCCAATTACAGCAGTATTGATGAGGACCCCAGATGTGCCATCCTAATTAATAATTGGGTAATATTATAGCTTTGCACGCGCACACTCACCGGGGTCGCTGTTCACCTGTAGAGCTGCGTGTAACAGCAACAGTCTGGATCTACATCATGACAGGCGGTTAAATTGATGTGGCTGTCAGTTTTAATTAGACGAGTGAGGTCTCGGATCAGAAGAGAGAGGGAGGGTGGAGGTCAGAGGGAGGAGAGTGACCCAGGCTGAGGGGTCAGTGGGTGGAAAGGAGAAATGCTGTTGAAATTGCAGAGTGACAGAGTAAATCAGATTTATCCTTCCTCCTGTTTTAGCTTTTACTACGTACCCACCATGTTGAGGGTCGGTTTCGACCGGTGTCTTAAATCGGCTGCAAACTACACTCAAAACAATTCTCTATCATTCAATTTGATTCTTACCTTTAGGTTACCTTGTTAGGCCTCATTATCCATGAAAATATTGATTATAATATTTTTTTAGTTGTGGTCCTCTGGGCCTTTCCATGTCTGTATATAGATGTCTGTATACCCCTCATACAGACATCTATACTGAACTGATCTCACATGTCTGGACATGCCCGATGTAGTTTTTCATACAGGGAAAAACAGGCAAAATGAGAATTTACTAAATCTCACATGATTGGAAGAAGATCTGACTGTCAGTGTGTTTCCTGACAGTGCACTTTTGATTTCAGTTTTTGCTCTAATCATTAGATATTAATCTAACCGGGTCAACAGCGACCCTAACACAACAAGTGTCATAATTTTAATAAGAGCATTTTATAATTTAGTCAGTTGAATTGTTTTATTTTTATTTTGTTGAAATAGAGGTTCCTGACAAAGTCAACAAGTCTAGATGCAAAAAGCTAATTTAAGTGGTTCTTTTAAGCATTTAAGGGGGGGGGGGGCTGCTGTGCATGCCTGTATGTGTTGCTGTGGGTGGGAAGGGACGGGTTTTATACTTATTTTATTGCATTATATTTGCCGTTGTTTGTTTTTATCTTTTTTGTAAAGAACCTTGTGTTGCAGCTTGTATGAAAGGTGATATATAAATAAAGTTTGATTTGATTTGATTTGATTTGAGGGTTATTATGCTGTATGTATATGTGGAAAGGCACATTCATGAGTCTCCTGTCGGGCCCTCATGTGGAGATTTACCGTGGATGCAAATCTGACAAGACGTATAAATGTAAGGAAACAGAAAAAAAAACGTCCTTTTAAATGTTTACACATGCTGTGTGCTGAGATTAATTACAGACACACACACACAGGAAGAACATCCAGAGACAACGCAGTCATTTGTCTCTGTAAACACACACACACACACACAAAGATAGCACCACACTAATGTGACATCTTTGCATGCCCCGGGGATGTGAATGAGATTATGTCAGATTGTGTATGTGAGGAAGTCGAATGACAGGAAGTTCATTACTGCCTTTCCACTCAGTGTGAGGCCACCCGGCACAGGGCAGCTCGGCGGGACCTGGATTGCATGCTGGGAGCTCAGCCTGGGGGGGAAAGGAGGGGGCACACCCACTTTGGAGGCACTTCCTCAACAGCAGACAGATAACACAAACATGAAAGCAGATACCTGAAAACAAATCATTCAGGAATAATTCACACCTGCTGTTTGTGCAGTATATTTCTTTGCATTATTAATACACTCTTTTAAATATTAAACATCCTCTCTCTGCACAGGTACACCTGCAGACATAGTTTGTCTCAACAGCTGACTTCAACAGCTTTATTTTATAACTATTAAAGTTGTAAATCTACTTGAGAAATATGCTCAAGCATTCGCACGCTGACTCAACGACGTGCAAGAAGAAAAGTGTAACTAATAAAAGTCTCACGAAAAGGTTGTTACTCCATCTTCCTGTTGGAGGTTTATTATTTTCTGATTTTGCGAAAGAAAAAAGGAAATGGTAGAAAAACACCTCCTACATTTGAATCGGACGAGTTTTATCTGCACAGCCGAGGCAGCGCTCTGGGATTATGAGGTGTTGGAAAGCTGTACTCCACTGGAGTCAGGGTCGAGGTGTGTGTGTGTGATTGTGTGTGTACGTGTACGTGTGTGTGTGTGATTGAGTGCTGGGCCAGAGTGCAGCGAGACACAGGTGTATTAAATTGGGTCAGCGTTTTCATTTCCCAGGGTGAATACACACACGCAGACACACACAAACAGAATCATAGTGAAAACGAACAAGCACAACTGCACATCCTATATGTTTAAGCACACACACACACACACACACACACAAACACACACACACACATTAGTACACACATTAGTACACACATCTCTGCTTCTCAGATTAATAAGGTTAGCAGTTATCCCTTCATCTAGAGGAATACTTCACACATATACACAAATACTTTCAACACGAATTAAACACAAAAAAAAGTAAAGAGAGGTTTTTCTTGTGGCTGCTTTTATGACTGTGTTTGTGTTTTTGTAGCTTTGGAGTTTGATGAGGTCATGTTTACACGGCTGCCATGTTCAGGGTTCAAACTGCAGGAAAGCCCGGTCAGAGGAAGGTAAACTCTCTTCAAAGCGCCGTCAGTCTTTGTACGAAAAGATTCAAAGTTTGAAGTTTGTGTATTTGTCTGAGTCTGCTTCGGGGTGACCACCTTTCCTGTTGTTTACAATCGGCGCTGAAGTGTACTTTCACATCATGAACAACAGGAGAAAGTGAACAAAAGGCTCAGAGAAAGCAGAAACGATAGACACGAAAAGCTTCAATGTGCCTACACAGACAGGAGACTTACCTGTTAGCTAGCCTGCTATGCTAACTGCTTCTTCTGAAACCTTGAGTTTGACACTTGTGTTCAATCCACTTGGAGTGGGAGTGGGACCCATTTGCAAGGCTGTCTGACAGGGGAGGCAAAGAAACAGTCATCATTAGCTTATTAACCCCACCTGTGCTTTTATGAAGCAGCGACAGCTGTCAAGATGTCTGCTGTGTGTGTTAATTGAAAGCCGGTTGTGTATCAAAAGGGAAATAAAAGCTGAATTGGCTCAAAATAAAGCTGGAAAACATCAAAAATAAGTCCAGCCTTAGATTAAAAGGTAATTAGCAGCAGGGAACTGTTTCTGGAGGGAAAGGAGGCTCAAAAGGAAACGACTTAGGCAGTGATGAATGTACTGGACTGGCTTGAACTGGTTTAATAAAAGTGACTTTAACTATGATTATATAACTTTGTTTAACTCGGACTAATGCTGCGTTCAAGTTTACTCGGAAGTCAGATGTCGGAGCTGAAAATGACGTCACACCAGAATCACTAGTGTTTCAGTTACCAAGTCAGAAAAAAAGCAAAATCGGAGGTGGAAACAAGATGGCTACATCTACGAAAGTTATTTTAGCGCTTGCCTTATCCTTGTTTTATTCGGACAAGGCAAGCACTAAAATAACGGAGTTTCCGCCTCTGATTTTGCTTTTTTCCAACTTGGTAACTGAAACGCTGGTTACTCTGGTGTGACGTCATTTTCAGCTTCGATATCTGACTTCCGAGGTAACTCAAATGCAGCATAAGTACAGCAGATCAAGTATCACACTCACCACTTGGTCATTAAGTCGTGAGAAGTCACTAATGACCTCCAAATCATCCACTGCTGACAAATCTTTTTAGCCCGGCGCCATCACTGACCTTTTGACCTCAGAAAGGGCCTTTCAGCTCTCGCAGTCAAAGCAGAGATGGTGTGAAACAGCTGTAACAGCTTGCGCACCTCTGGCGATTGGGTTTTCGTCACATAGTTTGCATGAATTGTCACCGACACTGATGAAACTGTGAGGCTTTCTTCATTCACAGATGCCTGGATTACACCTGGCAACAGTTCAAGCTGCAAGAGTAACTGGCAAAGTCAAAATCTGTCACATACTGTGGAGTGGAAGACGGGGAAAGTGACCGTCTCATTTTGATTCACACATAATCTGGTCAGCAGCCACATGCAGGTCTCTCAGCCCCCAATACACCTTTAATAACGGTGTTTATCACTTTTTGATGGGCTCTGGAAGACCCACATGGGAGAAGAGAGTGTTATAATTTTTCAAAAAAAACAAACCAGTATTTTTCTTTTTTTTTTTTTTTTAAATAATCAGACAAGTTGGACTCTTCCAAACATGCTGTGTCTGCAGTTTGGTTTGTAGCACTGAGGTAAAAACCCAAATTAGGCTTCTTAGCCGGGCTCCCCTTTCTCTGTTGTCTTTATGGCATCTCTCTCCATACCTCCTTCCCTGTTTTCTTTCCTTTTTTTCTTTTTTTTCCCCTTTGTTGCTGTGTGGATAGCATGAATCAACTGTGACACCTCACAGCATGGCATGTGATTTTATGCTATTTTAGTCCTAGAGTAACTCTTTTGTGTTTAATTACCTCTTCTTTAATTCACTTGCTGTTATTGTTTAATTTTAAGACTTTTTTTTTTTTTTTTTTAAATTCATTTATTTAGACAGGACAGTACCAGTTCATGGACAAGGAGAAGAAGACATGATACAAGAAGTCTATTCTCATTGTAAACCAGCCGAGTTAGCTAAGGCTAATTTTCATCCGTTGTCCTCAAACTGAAAAGCAACAAAAAAAGAAAAAACAAAAAATAAAAACAACAAAAAAACAAAACAAAACAAAAACAGGAGGAAAAAAAACAACACAAACAAACAAACAAAAATATATATATATATTTTAATTAACTTTTAACGCTTTATCATCTATATTATATTTTATCATGGTTTTATCGCTTTAGTCCTGGATAAAGCGTTTCCTCAATCATCTGTGGCAAGTTGAAGAGTCCTCACCTGGTCTTTTGTGTATGTATCTGTGTGAGCATGTGAGTGCTAGATGTGTTGAATGGGGGTTGGAAGGGTGGGTGGGGTTTGGTATTTGTATTTCTGTATATTTTATCTACTATATTATTTATTACTTTAATATTTATCTTTATTTACTATTTTATTTACTTTGTGCTACAATCTATGTATGAAAAGTGCTTTAAAAATAAAGTTTGATTTATTGATTGATTGATCTATCCCCGTGTTTTTTTGTGTGTTTGGAGACATTAGAGGCTCAGCTCAGCTCTTGCTGGGGCGGTTCGCGGCCTAGTGTGAAGCAGCTGGGATGCGAATCAGCTCCTCCAAGTCCGAGGCCATGGTCCTCAGTCGGAAAAAGGTAGATTGCCATCTCCAGGTCGGAAGAAAGGTCCTGCCTCAATTGGAGGAGTTCAAGTATCTCGGGATCTTGTTCACGAGTGAGGGTCGGATGGAGCAGGAGATCGACAGGCAGATCGGAGCCGCGTCAGAAGTGATGCTGGGCGAGACTCTCAATTTACCGGTCGATCCACATGCCGACCCTCACCTATGGTCATGAACTGTGGGTAATGACCGAAAGAACAAGATCGCGGATACAAGTGGCCGAAATGGGTTTCCTTCGCAGGGTGGCCGGGCTCAGCCTTAGAGATAGGGTAAGAAGCTCAGAGTAGAACCGCTGCTCCTCCACGTCGAGAGGAGTCAGCTGAGGTGGCTCGGGCATCTGGTTAGGATGCCTTCTGGACGCCTTCCGTTAGAGGTATTCCGGACATGTCCCACTGGGAGGAGACCTCGTGGCCGGCCCAGGACCAGGTGGAGGGATTATATCTCTCGCCCGGCCTGGGAGCGCCTCGGAATCCCCCCAGAGGAGCTGGCAAAAGTGGCTGGGGTGAGGGCCGTCTGGGCTTCCCTCCTGAAGCTGCTGCCCCTGGCCTTAGGGGCCATATGGTAGGTTTTGTGACTTGAGGGTAAACCCTTTATGTTGGGATTATAGTCTCATGGGATGAGTTTCTTGTACCTTGTGTTTATTTGAAATGAAACTCTTGGAAAAACTGCGCTTGAGCATCCAAAATTCCCTCACAGGTTTTACGACGAGGACATGTAACCTGCACACTCAAATTGACCCTAAAGTTTATTTCTCCTCGTGTCAGTTGAATCACTGTGTTGACACTTTTCCTACTCTCCGCACTAAAAATTTGACTTCTCCTAGAGATGCTTTCCATGTATTTCGCACAGCCCGTTATCCCCCCGGTGCAAAAACTCGAACTTTCGTCTGCTTTGAGTTTAACCCAATCTGACTGGAGCATGCAGTGCTTAAACTTTTATAGTTTTTGCACAGCTGTTGTAAGTGGAGGAATGTGCTGGCAAGTGGGTGCAGAGAGACAGAGAGACCTGACAGAGGACATCGCACACACCTGTTAGAAAGTCTCTGTCAGCATTAGGTGACACAGCAGGCCTGCAGTATTCACACCTGTCTGGATCACTCAACAGAAGAGCGGCAGAAAAACACTGGGACAGTCTGCTAGACTGGCTGGGAGGAATCATTGTTCTTTGCAAACTGGAGTGGTGTGATTTATCTGAGGATAGCTTTGCTTCCTATAGAGACAAATGCGTCTCATGACAACATGACAGACTGTGGAAATTCCAGCCTACCTGTCCAGCCACACATGCTAGCTGATAAGACACATTATGTAGAAAAACACAAGTCACAAACTCAAGTTTGCCACCAACCCTGACATTTGCAGCTTGACAAAGAGAAGCAGGAGGTGTTCTTAAGAGCTTCACTCGGAAAGAAAGATATTTTTTGGAGGACGCAATCACCTGTGCTTTACAATACCGAGTGATGGATTTCACAAAGAGCCACAGAATGACTCTGTTACTCATTCCTGAAGGAGAAATTCTCCTCTGTGGAAACAAAATAAATAAAACTGCTGCTCCTCTCAGGGCTGTCTGTCTCTCTGTTTCAAACACACACACATATCCACACAAAATCCAGCTGCTAGACTGTGTCACTCGGCACAGGTGCCCAAAGAACTACAGAGTTTCATTCATCAATCTAAGCCTGAAACATGCAACAACTGTGCACGCTGAAACAACACACACACGCACACGCATACACACACACACACACACACACAGCAAGACAGAGAGAGAGAAACAGCTGCACTCTGATGAATGCCCTACATTCATTCCACAGGAAGCTGGTTCATCTGTCAGTACTGATGCAACCCTTCCACTCTCCCCTCTGTCAAACACACACACACACACTCATGCAAAACCAAGTTCTCCTTCTCTGATTAGACTCCCAGCTGCTCTCTGCGACAAATGCTCCTTTGATGCATCTTCCCGGGGGCCAAAGCCACCATCAGCACCACCCTGCACCTCCTCCCTTCCACTTCTGCGCTCTCTCATCGCTTCCTGCGCGGCTTTAAAGTCACTTCCAGCAGCACCCCCTGCCATGAACCGTTACTGCCTGCTACCCCATTCGGCGGCAGCTCCAGCTCTGGCCTCCAGCTAAATGAGAGAACAGAGAGAGGAAGATTTGTCCGTGTCGTTTAGGATGCAGAGTTCCTGGTTTGGGGCATAGTGAGAACTTCTCTTCAGTGTATTTATGAAATTTTGGTCTGGGAAAATATGCATCTGCACATCCCTTCTTCTTTACTTTGTGGCGACAGCTGGCTCAGCTCACCTCACAGCATCATCAGGAACCCCACCGGAGTTGTTAACTGATGTAAATGGGACTAAACGGCGGCCCTGACTCATCAGTTTGATGAGGAAGACGAGAAAACTACTCACTAAAGCGGGGGTTCAAATGACTTTCATCGCAGGTTTAAAAGTTCTCTTGATTCAGTTTGTATCCATTCACAGTCATCCACAAATTATATGAGGATGCATTCAAAACCTCCAGACAGCACACATAAAAAAAAAAAAGATGCACCATGAAGTCTTTCAGATGAGTTTTATATTCTGCATGTGTTCGCCATGAGCTGAGTATGCATAGATAAATCAGTTTGATTCCACTTGGCTGGAGTGCAGAATCCAAATGCAGAGCAGAAACCAGATTTGGGCATTAGTATACATACCTTTAGTCATCTGTTAATGGGATTAAGCAGCTGTTTTTATCCTGCATATAATGCGGATGGCATTAAAGTGGCAGCAGCAACAGTTCGGATTGTCTCCGTGAATTAGGTTTAGCATTTCATGTGTTCAGGTTCTCATTTGATATCAGCACTCTTTAACCCTTTCTTTTTGCTTGACTACTGTATGTGTGGTTTTATAATAGCTGCATCAGTATCCTAAAAACATGTGAATTTACTAAATCCCACTGAGCATTTTTTGGTCTAAGAGAGGTCTAATAGACGTCTGAATGTAGTCGAGATGACTGGTCTAAAATCAGGCTACCACAGGTCTAAAAATGAAAGTTTTTTAGACATCTACATTTAGCCTAAATCTAAATCTGGGCTATATCTATACTACACTATATATTGCTCAACAGCTATTCAGATTCAGATTTATTTTGGAGTTTATTTTTTTAGATTTCGGATTTGATTGTTCTTTACAAATATACAAATACATTCTTCTCCAAGGTGTAGGCTGAAGCCCATGGCTTATTTTGCCTACCCTCCTAGAAGGAGAACTTGGTTTTGCTATCATAATTATTTTGGTTAATAACTTGGAGATCAGTTATGCAACTCACAGTTGCTTTTTGAAATAAATAGTTATCAAATAATGGATTAAAGTGCAACGTCTAAATTCTGTCTAAAGCCATAGACGGCTGAAATTAGGGCCAAAAAAACAAATGGACATCTAATAGCCGTCTATTGCTCAGTGGGATATTTCCTTACACTTTTTCAGGAGGTGATTTTGAAATAGTACCACTGTCATGCTGACGCCTGTCAGCACCGCGATATAAAGTTATCAGCTATAAGATCAGTGATTTCTTTATTCTGCATGATTTTGTCCAGAGGTGTCTCCAGAATCAAGTCAACTAAAATACTTCTCATGAACTGAACATCAAAATTTAATGAAGGTGATAAACGTGACAATCTGTCCTGGGATTGGATTGTATGTTTTCATGTTTCATGACAGACCAAGACCACAAAAATGTTGAGTTTTATTATAGAGCTCAGTGATGCTATTAACATGTTCATGTCTAAGATCCAGATTTGATACAGATCTGTGTGGAGGAACGCAGCTGCAGAGAGGAGAGTAGAGAGTGGGGAAATGCAGCACAAGGGTCATGGCTGGGACTCGTGCAGAACCAGCACCCCTGCGCTGCTGCTCTTAGAGTAAACACCAGTTATATGTATGGAGGACATAAAATTCTTTGTGATTTGGCCCCAAATTTATTTAGTCATTTATCTAGAGCACACTGGTCTAAGATGGATCAATAATCTGAAGACTGGTCAATGTGTAGAAGATGTCATCTCGCCGTTTTAGTGAGCATGTAAAACCTACAGCTCATCGGGTGTGACGTGCAGATTTTAGCGGGTGTTCGACCTCTGCGCTGAGTTCACTGTCCAGCTCTGACACATAACTGTGCATCGCCTCTATTAAAATAGATCTGTCTCTTAATGGTGTCAGTGTTCTGTCAGCAGCACAAGTGTGAACTTTTAACCAAATGCCATGGTATTTTTAATATCATCTGTTTAGCAGAGATGCTGGGAATGCAGAGGGATTGACTGGAGTGAATAACTGGTCATTTATGTGGCTGTTCAAGACGACTCCAGCCCGAAATAGATTCAGACAGATAAAATGCCATCTCCGAAGAGAAAGCTTTCACTGTAACCCTCTCAGAAGGCCGACATTTCCAACATTTTTGATAGCACCGCGCTTAAATCCAAGCGAGGGCTTGATCTCACTTTGAAGGCTTAGGCGAGATTTATTTAGCCAGCGTTGAACTTTCACGTTTTTATTTCCTGCAAATGTGCGGCACACCTACCTTTTAACGGCCCACAGTCACAGCAAATCCACAGAAATGATGTCAGCCATAAAGAAGCAAAAGGACGAGTCCAGGTAGAGCAGTCAGAGGGAAGCTTGTAAATATGGTTCTTTATTGCACACATGACATTTGTTTTCCTTTTTTTCTTTTCTTTCTTTTTTTTTTTTTTTTTTTTTGGTGTGAGCAACAAAAACTGGCAATACATGTTTTACACCCTAATCAAAAATTCTCAGTCTAACCCTCCATAAAAACAAAGTAACACAAAACAAAATAAAGGCTACTTCACATAAAAACTTACAACTCCACAACAAAAAAAAAAGAGAAATCTCACAGATTTTAGTGCACCACTATATGGATGAGGAACTTACAGTTTATATCATACTAGTATGATTTTAGGAAGAAAAAAAATATATAGATATGATACTTTTAATGCATAATTATCACAGTCAAAAATAAAGAAAAATTCCAGTGGGGCTTTAGATGTTCTCGTTCTGTCTTTTGGTAGCATTTGCCCTTTAACCACCTGAGTGCTACATCGCTGAGAGCAATACTGATTGGTTAACCTGCCGTTTAACTCATTGGAGGAATGTTTGTTAAACAGAACAGAAGAAAAAAGAAACGACTGACAGGTGAAAAGGAAGTTAGTAGATAAATACACTGAATGCCCTGCGTTTGGTAAAGGCACTGAGAACATGGCAGCAGTATGCACGCAGACCTTTACAGCATACTGTGGTCCAATCAGAACAACAGAGTTCTCAGTCAGTCAGATTCAAAACAGGAGCCATTAAACCCAACGAGTTTAATGGAGGGAACAGTTGTGACCAAAAATTCCCAGTTTCCAGTCAAACGTTCCCAGTTATATTTGAGTATGTACAAAAAAAAGCGTGGGCATTTAGTTTGTTTTGTGCTTGACATAAAAGCTTTCCGGCAAGATAAAGGGAGGCAGAAAATTGGCACTTGAATGATAAAATACAAAAATATACTATTTCCCAATCTCAAGGGAAAAGGCACTTCTTTTTTAACTCCCAGATGCATTGTTGTTAGGCAGTGTTTGTTGTGCTCTGGAAAATAACTTTCACGATTAATGTCTTTTTCATCTGCTCGCGCTGACAAACAGAAAAATAAATCGGCTGCTAATGGACGGCTACTGGCTCGAGCTGCTCATTACGGCATGAAAGGAGCCAATCCAAAAAAAGAAGAAAAAAAAAAAGATAAAAAAAAAGCTTATGCTCTACGTAAAAAAAAATGAGGAAAAACTAAGTGTTTGCTGCTTGTAATCCAATCTCTGCCTCGTCTTGTTGGTGTACAAGCAGGTGTCGGAGGCGAAAAACACGCGTTTTTTTTCAGATCAAAGATGTTAATTCCAGAGAGGAAGAGAAGTGTTAAGTTTGATGTTAGACACTTTTAATCCTTGTTCTTCACTTGCTGAGACATGAAGGGAAATTGCGACAGCTAAGGCCGAGTTGTTTTTGTTGTGCAGATTTCAAAAGTAAAGAGCGAGAGAGAGATAGAGAGAGGAAATACTGGGTTATCACTCAGTGGGTTATAAGTAATAATCAGGATTAATAAAGTTAATCTTTCTTTGCTTGTGTGTCAGTGTCAAAACCTTGAATTAGTGGAGGAGGAGGGAAAAAAAGCTGAATAGAAGCGAGAGGAAACCTGGGACGAGAGAACTGACACAGCAGAAATAAAGAAACAACGTAACCCCCCCCCCAAAAAAAAAAAAAAAAAAAAACTATAAATACTGCCTAGCTGAAAGCCATATCAGCGTTTTACACTGGAAGGAATAGAAAGGGTTGTTTTGATCCCAGAGTACTTCATATTGGCACGGTGTACTGGTGTGTGTCTAAGCATTATGGACGCTCCCAAATGGCCCAGTATTAGTGCTTATATCAATAAGCCAAATGGGGAGAAGTGTTCACCAAACAGACAACAGCTGGTGATAACTGTAATGCTGCTATCCAGGCATGACAAGCCACGGGCGCAGTGGAGGAAAAAAACACACAATGAAAGACTGGGGACAGATTTAGACTATCACACAACTGTCATCTGTGAATTTAGCCCCCGAGTTGTAATGTCCTGCTTTACATGATTCACAGTAAAATTAATCCTTTTGAGATGACTAATATGCAGTGTCTTTGCACAGATTATCGCTAGTCCTGCACGAATGAGGAGAAAGAGGACTTTTATCTTTAGGGATTATTCTTCCCACTCTATGAGAGTAACCATTGTGTACGACGAAAAAAGAGAGAGAGAGGAAAAAAAACACTCTTTTAACCAGAGTGTAGAGAGAACAGCTCACCCAGAGGATACCCAGTGACCTTAAGTAACGTGCAGCTTATATGACCACCCCTGCCCTCCCCTCCCATCCCATCCACCAGACACTGCGACACTTGCTGCTGTCTCTCAGGGTCAGTGACACAGAAGGACAGGACGACTAAAACGAAGGTCGTCTCAGAGACGACAGGACACAGCGGCAGTGTGGGAACTGAGCGAGAGGGAAGGGCGAGTATGAAGAGTGTGAGCAGGTTTCTTCAGCACAGAGGTGAGAGTGCGTGAGCGGCAGTGAAGGGGAAGGGGAGGGAGAGGGCGCTTATCAACTCGTGCAGCTTCCAGTTAAGTTGTGTGTGACTGCAGGTGACTGGAGGTGTGTGTGTTTCTGTAGTGTGCGTGTGAATCAGTCAGTGTAAGTGATGGCCAGACACCAGTTTTTAATCGTGTTAGTCCGTGAACCAGACCAAGGTAATACATTCATGAAACTGGTTAAAAACACAAGACAAAATATCAGCAAAGTTAGTAAAATTCTTACTAAGAATGTTTTATTAAAATAAATGCCAAGAGGTTAATAAGAAAATAACAGCATACACCATGAAAACTAAATGCAAGCATGTAAAAATACTTATGACAAGGAAACTAATAAAGTCGCTAATGAGTTAAACAAGCTGGGAATTGGCAAGAAAAAAACAAAACAAAATATAACAGGGAAAAAGGCAACACTCCCCACAAGAGACAGTTTTCAAGATGTAAAAGAGAGGGAGGGGAGGAAGAGAGGGGAGAAAAAAGTAGCAGTGGGTTTCTTTAAAAAAAAAAAAAAAAAAGAAAAGAAAGAAAAGCACTCAGAAACATGATTAATATACATATAAAATGAGATTAGAAAAATACATTATAAACCTGTAACAATGGCTGTTAATTACATTATCATACATGTAGTAGGCAGGCCAGAGAGAATACGGTAGGTTTAGATTTCACCTTTCACCTGATGGACTTATCCAGCCTTTCACAATGACACAGCAAGTTGTAACATTGCAGAGGGAATTTTCTTAATACTGTCAAATGCTGAATAGCCATCTCTTGATCTGCTTTAATATTGCATTTCAATTTTAAAATAATAACACTGAGAAGAAAAATTCATTGACCTTTTCGGTGTAACAGCACAATGAAAGAGCTATGAGTAGAAAAACAAACTGCCAGGGGTGATATTGGGATCCAATTCCTCAATTTAACAATACGAGTTTAGTTTTCCTTCCAGCAATAAACTGGCACTTGTTTCAATAGCTGGAAACTGTTTGGCCGTAAAAAGACTTGTTTGTTTTATTAATCAGCGTTTCATCCGTCCATTATAAACCTCCTGATTGTATTGGTAGTCTGTTGTCAAATAAGCAGACATGGACTGAATGCCTTTAGTTTGCAGCTGTTGAAACAAACAGGGAGGACTCATCCCCCATTTTTATATCCATTCCCTTGAACGTTGTGGCTTTTGTTTTTTGTTTTTTTGTCTTTGTTCATGATCCAAACATGATCTGGCAGACTGCTGCATTGCAATTGGCAGTTCAATTTGTTCTAGGAAGTTTGTCACAGTTCACCAAAAAAGAAAAAAAAAGAAAAATAAATCAAGACAATATCTCATATGATCATTAAAATCTCAACAAAAAAAGAGAACAAAAACCTGCACATACAGCAGAGTAAAGGGCCATCAAGTCAAGGAACAGAAAACAAAATCATTTCAGGAAGACAAAACCATGGCACATATTTTAGCTGGTCAAAACGACTGCTATTCTTTTTGCATAGAATAACTTGAGTAACGCCACGATAAAGGTGGGAGCTACCCTGCTCGATTATTCAGAGCGTGTAACACTAGCCATTCCTCTCTGCGCCGTCGCGGTGGGTGCTGGATATTATTGAAACACAACTGGAATACTCAGAAAACAGAAACCACTGTTGATAAGGCACTTTGATTTGATCATCCTTTTTTTTTTTTAAAAACTCTCCAGGCGTCTGTCTCGCTGTCTCTAACTTTTCCAGGGTTATGACTGTTTTGGTCTTCGTCTTCCTTTTCAAATCATATCCAGGGTAACAGCACTTTTTTTCCTCACCCACTCACTTTTTGTTTCCCCCTATACTGTTTAAAACTTTTTTTATGTCTTTTTTCTGATTTTGTAACTGCAAGTAAAGTATCAAAAGCTAAAATTGCCAAAAATAGATTTCTTAATTTTTTTCTCTTCTCCAGCACCCTGTAAAATTATCTATTTTTTGTTCTCTTCTGTATTTGTATATGCAATGACAGATATCTACATTTTTATATATTTATATATATATATTTATATATATATATATAATACGTATGTATAAAGCAATTTGAACAGGCAGGCATGGCTTTCACATCCTATTTTTTCTTGAGAGAGTTCAACAAAGGTTCATGGGCTCAGGATCTAGTCTACGATCACAGGGAGGTGTGACACATTTTGGATGCGCTTTTGGATGGTTTGTTTTGTGTTAAAAATGAATGTTTCACCGATAAACTAAAACATGTTTAACTGCAGGAAGGCTCACACTGCGCCAACCTTTTGTACCAACTGGGGTTGAATAAAAAACTAACTGGGAAAAAAAGAAAAAAGTCCAAATGTTGAGATGCAAAAACAAAAATGAAAACATAAACACTCTTTTGGCAATGTGGCTGATGAAACAACACAAAATAGAAGCCAGGTATAATGTCAAAAGCATTTATGTACAGACCTTCAAAGTGCCCTTTTCCCTAACATGGACTGTACTCTAGTAGCATGTAGATTTAGTGTTAACCGCCTGCATTTACCTCAGAAAACAGAGCATTAATGTGTCAAAACTCCTGACTGACCCCAAGTCAAATCAGACGGAGGGTTTTGTTTTTATCTGAGAATTCGTTCAAACCTGATAAATAGGCTATTTGAGACAGAGTCAGCTCTGTAAAATGGTTTGGCTGAGTCTTTATTCATCCCCTTCTCCATTTCTAAAATCTGTCATTCTTGCACCCTGAAAGCTGTCTTCTGCAAAAAAGGCTTTTTTTCACTTTTCCAAACTACAAACCTATCTCCAAGAACCATGAAGTTGGTTCAGTTTTGGCACATATTGGAAATTCATTTAGACGTGAAAAAAGGCACTCAAAAAATCATGACTCGTAGTAGTCAGTAGTACGAGCCCCATATTCTGCTTAAATCTAAATTCAAAGACGTTACAACTAACATGAGATACATTTTGTTATGATTAAATTAACTTGACCTGATGCATCATACACAATGTTTGTTAGGAGGAAATACAGGAAAAAAAAGTGGTAGGATGTTTTTTCAATTAATCATCAGATAGCCGGTGTCACTACAAAACTCTGTGCCTCTGCAAAGTTCTGTGTTCTGAAGATGCTGAACCCTGAAAATGGCCTTTTTAAAAATAAAAATCCAAGACAACCCAAAGAGGTGCACGTATGACAGAAATCTTAGACTGGGGGAGAGACTGCACTTTTTAAAATTCAGCTAAAACATTTAACAGAAAGGACTTTATCTGCATCAAACAGCATATAGGAAGGGTGTGTAAAAAACTTGGGGGTGAAATTAAAAAAAAAAAAAAACCCTGTGTCAGATTTGAACTGAGAAACGCAGCAGTCTGTGTCAGCTGAAGGCAGGCACCACAAATTCACACCTTTCCAAACTCTAAAATCACAAAGAGCCCTCTGTGAGACAGATGCATAATTGCAGATATATAATTCATTGGAAAAACCCTTTGGCTAAATATGCACACTTAATACTTTTTTTTTTGTCTTTTCAATCACAGCTCAGCTAACTCATTGAGATATTTTTTTTCTAAATACATCAGGCACTGTATAATGGATGTAGTGTGGATGGGGGCGTAGCAATGGTCAGTAGCTAATAAGCACTGCTCCAATGTCCCCGAAGCCTCAGCACACCCTACTTTCATTGTAGTATTAATTAAAAAAAACACACGCGCACACACACGCACACACACACACAAAGACCCCTCATCCCAAATAATGACCTTCCCATCTTGCCCTTCATCAGGTCTTATTTTCTGCAGCCTGCGTCAAACCTCGGATTGTGTTGTTGTGGTTTTTTTGTGTGTTGTTTTCAAGGGATAAACACCTGCCATATTTTGGCTAGTCAATTTAAGCAAAGATAATTAGTCAAACATGAACAACAGAAAAACCAAAATCAGGTGGAGAAAATGACTCAAAAGTAAAAGCAAACAAATAAGACAGGAGAAAAAAAAAAATAAACACACACACATAAATCATAAAAAGCTCCATTTGCAATCATTTCAGCCATGCTTTTAAAAAACAGACAGAAAGCTGTTTGGAGGTGCACACCCAGAATGTGTCAGCTCATAATTACATCTTAGAGCTCAACAATTGCACTACATGTGAAAAATGACAGAAATTAAACAAGTTAATGTGAGTGTATCTTCTCTTTCCTTCTATTTCTTTTTCTCTCTCCCAAAAAAAGGTGGGTGTTGGAAGCGGGTGGGGTTGGGGTTGGGGGTGGGGGCTTTTGCATTTTAGAGGGATTGCGTCATTTTACTGAAACCAGGAGGTTTGCGTCAAATGGATCTTATTGAACTTTGACTCATAAAAGTGAGGTCACCAAATTAGAGCATTAAAAAGGAGGGTGGGTGGGTGGGCAGGTTGGGGTGGGGTTCTTTATTGCTATATAATTCAGTGCAGATTTATGAGGAAAACTTAAACACATCCACCCGGTATGTGATTCATGAAGAAAAAGAAAGAGAAAGAATGGGAATCGAACTCAATGAACAGAGGGAAAAAATGAATATTACACAACTTTGTTGAGTTTCGTTGTGTTTCTGTGAAGATTCTGCGTTGGTTTCTATTTTTTTGTCAGAACGTGTTAGGGTAACTGTACGGGCAGGCGCCTCTCTCTCTCTCTCACTTGCGTCCGAGAGGCTAGCAAAAGGCAATTACCAGTTAACTGATCAGCAGGCAGGCTTGGGGCGGCTCGTCATTGGGTGAAGAGTTCAGAGGTCAGAAGGTCATGTGTTAGTTGCCGGTGGCGGCTAGGTGGTTAGAAACAAAACAAAACAAACAGAAAAAAAAAGATAGAAAGGATATTAGTGTCAGCAAGAAGAGACTGGAATGACATCATTTTAACAATAAAATGAATGCAATCTCTTATGTTGCCCCTCCCCCACACTCCTAATTCCCATGATGCCAATGTGAGATGGACCCTACAAATCTTATTATCATTATTATTATCATGACGTTTCTGCGTCATGATTCCAACTACTCTACAGCCCCCACCCTGAACCAGATAGCTGTGTGGTTTAATTAAAGCGCACATTGCCCCCATAACAAAAAATAAATACGAAAATAAAACAAAAATGAAGCAGAGACAAGTCGAACAGACAAACAAAAATCAGAAAAAACAAAAATCTAGTGTTTTAGTGTCTGTCAAGTTTGAGTGCAAGTTACAGACAGTGTGATTAGTCGTACGGAGGACTTACGATAACTAATGTTATGTGAGGGGGGACTGTGACTAGTGGCAAATGTGCAATGAATAGATGAATCGATGTTTTCCGATTCTTTCTCTTTATTTAGCAGTATATTTTTATAATATAAATATACACAAGAACCATAAATACATTTGATATAAAATGCTCAAATATAAAATGACAGTACCTCATGTACAACTGAAATATTAAAAAATGTATTTTAGCTTTATTTCAATCTATTTGCAAAAACACTGGAGAGAATGCAAGCTACCTCAGCTTATGTCTGTGCGTGTCTATCCTCCATAGAAAAATAAAATGCAAAATAAATTTTAATTTCAAGGTGAAATGGTGCCTGGTAGCAGCTTGGCTACGTGTCTTCTGCTCACTAGGTCTCTCTTATGTTACAGTATAGAAATGCTTCTCCTTTTTCTTTGCTCCTTTTGAGCTGAGGAGATAAATCATGTATGGGAACAAGCCTGCCCCATTTTACGCTCTAATCTCACATCAGAGGAATGTCATTATACACCTTCAACACTGCCTGCTAAGTACTACCTGTCCTGGCTTCACAGCTGCATGAACCAAAAGCTGTTCGGATCACTTTTGCCTGAGCTTTGACATATACACAGTCTACATATACTGCATATGTTCTAAGTACTAATGTAAACAAAATGTGCATACCACAAGCAACCATTTAGCTGGTGTGTGGATGTATGGGGTAGGAGAGGTGGTGGGGGGAAAGGAGAACAAAAAAAATAATACAATACAGACAATATACAAATTCCCAACTAAGGCATCGAGGCATAATAGGCATAATAATCATTGAAATTCATCAGTCAATAGCAGAGTGTAGCTAGGAGACTAAACTGACCTCTGTCAGCGGTCACAATCCTTTGGTAAGGATGGACCCGCGTGTCATGCCGTCTCACTTTAGTAGCCATTGCACCTAGATTGTAACAGGTCCACAAGGTTAGAAACCATTCACTTTGAACAAGGGAAAACAGTCATCTTTTACAGTAATAACATTCACATTTTATCCATTATCATTATAATGCTTGGATAATACAACAATACACAGAATAGCAACATAATACAGATTATAATACATATACACACATCACACCTATCTGTTTTTCACTTGTAGAAAAATGCAGTAGAAAAAAAATAAACCATCTTTTTTGGAGTTTAACTAGGTATTTAAAAAATGCATAACTTAAGTAATAAAATTCCACAGTGCTCAGAGTTATACGGAGGACTCTTTGAAGGGGGCGGGGGGGTAAAGGGTAAAGGCTCCTGGGCTGTCTGGAAAACTAATGTGATTCTTCCTCTGGGATCCAGGGGGGGATTGAAAGAAATTTGTCTCTTTATTTTGAAAGGAGGGGAAATCCAATACAGCCCTGATGGTAATTGAATAGTGCCAGACACCACCTGCCTCTTCCTTTCCCTCTCTCTTTCATTTTCACTCTCTCTCTCCTTCACAATTTCTCTCCAGGTCAATCTGTTCTCTGGCGGCAGAGGCTGTCATTTCGCTCCCATATTTGTCACAACTGATTTCTTCCTACCGCGGTGCTTGACTCTGCCTGGAATACATGACACTAGCTGTTGGCGAATCGCAATACTTTCAAGTATTTCAAGAACGGAACATGTTAAAGGATTAATAACGACGAATCGAGGTCTCCAAGGAGAAGGGGGTCAAAGTGAATTACATGTGCGTAATAAAGCGCGACATGGATTTCTGTTTTGGCGTCGTCAAGTCAGGAGAAAGTTTTGGCTCGTGTCGACAAAGACACCTACACCGCTCTGAAGTAGCAGATGGTCTGACATCTCCTTATTCTCAGCGGCTAGAGTCAACGACGCAGGCAGCTGAGCTGAGTGCAGAGTGTGTGTGTACGCGAGTGAGTGTGTTCCACAGGGCCCTGTGTTGCTGAAGGCACCAATCGATAGTGTGAGTAAATAAAATGCACTAAGCTGGTGTAACCCTGCAAGTTAAAGAGAGAAAAGCCAGTCAGCTGCCCCTGTCTGTTCTACACATGACTCCCAGAGGCATCTAAAAAACACAGGTCAGCTAAAATTGCACTGTGTCGGCTGCTGCCAGATGATGCTGCAGACAAAAATAAAGGAGGAGGACTGGGTCAAACTGGGGCCTGTTATGTCTAACATGGCTTTAACACACAGTATTGCTTTTGTTAACCAGGCCTCCGATCCATCATGAGGAGATGGTCTAATTTCATCACTGCATGTTCAGTTGTCTCTTTGGTAGCAGATGTGATGAGTGTAAAGCACCAGTGAGAATGGATAGAATACATAGATCTTCATATGAAACCGTACTCCTGACACAAAAAAAGGAACGTCAGGTATTAGCACTGAGCTCGAGTTCAAGAGGGGTGAGGCTGAGACAATTGGGAGAGGGGAAGGAGGAGAGAAAAAGGGGAGACTGGAGGAATTTAATGAACATCCCCAGTGGGAGTGAGAGAGGGACTATCTACAGGCATCAAGGCGCGCCTGCAGAGAGCAGCGCGGAGAAATGATTTCAAAAGCTGCAGAAATCCGGGGGGATCTGCCGCCAGTCTGAATATGCCTCCAGGCCAGTGCATGAAAGGGTTAGAGAGCAGGCTGCGTGTATGTGAGCGTCTTTATGCCGGCGTGCCTCATTTCACACTGAGCCAAGTCCTCCTATATAAACCTTGCAGAAAAGAGGCAATGTAAACCTGAGAGCAGAACTGTTTTGGCGAGAGCGGGTCTAAAACAGTGACGTCTAAATCATAAAAGAGAACTTTCCAAGAGCCTAGCCCTCACAAGGTAATGTCCCCCCTTTGCCTTCTTAATACAGTGTCCATATGAGCCACATAGCTGGTCATCCCATTACCAAGAGCTTCCCCAGCAAATCCACTCTTTGAGTTTGTCTGTTTTTGATCCTCAGGTGGACACGACATATTTACCTTTCAACAAGTCCTGACTGTGGCTCATGGAGGCCGCGTCCAGCACCCCAGCTCCGGGGTAAAACAAGCTGCCCTCCTGTCCAGGCTGGCTAAAGTTGGCCGCTGTACCTGCCGCACCCATGCTTCCCCAGGCTCTCTTACCTAGAACCCCACTGTGCTCGATGGGGTACTCCAGCAGGGAGGTGGGTGCCAGGGCGTATGGGTACTCGTAAGGGGTGGTGTAGATGAGCCCGCCATCCGGTGTGGGAGGCACCAGGGTGGGGGTGCCATTGGGCAGCATGGCAGCCATCTGAGTGGGCCGGATGAGGTTCATGATGGGAGCCCCGGCTGGTGTTGGGGGCCGGAGTGCCTGGGGAGGCAACACCTGACCAGTGGGGGCCGCTATTAGGCGGGGGCCCTGAGCGGCTGCTGCCGCTGCTGCAAGAGAGAATGCAAGGGTAGCTGCCATAAGCAAGAGAGCGAGGGACAGGAGAAGAAAGAAAGAAAGAGGACACAGACAAAGTGTGGTGTAAATGATCATAACCACAGATGACCAGTAGGTGAAGGAAAATACAAAGCAGGAAAAGAGAAGGGAACAGGAAGTGGCAGGTACAAAGGAGAGAGAAGGGGGGGCAAAAGGGAAAATTAGTCCATGCAATGATCATGGTGTTGAACCACAAAAGCCACAATCTGTTGCAAAGGAAAAGTCAACATAGCCAAACAAAATTAAAAACCCTCACACCAAAACACAAGAAGCACAAAATGCTGCTGTCATCCCAATGCATTCAAAGCATACAAATCACCATGGCAGCTACACATTCATCTACTGGAAATGCCACAGGTGATGTTAACGCACACACACAAACACACACGCCAACAGAAATGCAGCTGATGACTTCATGTAGGGGACGGACACTTCATGAACGTCGGGCAGGTTTCACCAAATACTGATCACAAAATATTATACCCAAGTCTTTCACAAGTGTTGGTCCCCCACATAGTCAGCCCTCCATTTCAGTTGGAAAATGTATAATTTTTACACACAAAAATCATCTTTCAAGTGGTTCTGCATTAGCATGTGCTGCGAGCCGTGCCACACAAGCTTCCCCAAAGGCAGGTCAATTAAATCAAGCGCTGTTGAAACTACGGTTAGATGATGGGCCAGTTTATCACGGCTTCCATTTTGAACAGATGTTATTCAGGGAAAGTTAATAACGTTGATTAATTCCTTTGTAATTCATTTCATCAATGTGAGCCCAAGTATATGACCATGTTTAAATTAAATTCTGAGTGATAATGAAGTGTGGAACCAAGGGTCAAGAGAGTCCAAGATCAGGACTATTATGAAACACAGGAAAAATGGGCTTTATATGGATTCATGTACCCAATCTTTGAATTTAATCAATGTTCCAATTTAATGATTAAAGATCAGACGTTGGAGATGTATGCGCTTGTGACTAACATGCAGAGTTTAGCAGGTGAAATTTAGCAATGTGCTGGAAGTGGACAAAGAGCAAGTGATACAGAGGGATCGCGTCTGTACTGCAAGGAAGAGGATGAACGGAAGGATGGACGAAGTACAGAAATACAAAACAGGACAGGGTGGAGGTTGTCCTACTCATGGTTGGGTAGGTGAACAGAAATTGTTCAGAGGGATTCAGAAACAGAGAGAAACCTGCGAGTTGTCAGATATAAAATGATATGTACAAAGGAGTTCTGGTTTTAATCTAATGGAGGTAAACAGTATTAATTAATGGAAAATTAAATAATGAGATTTCTATGATATAATGTGGCCTGTGGTGTTAAAGTTAGTTGGGTGTAGGAAAAAATCGATGGGCTGCTTTAAGAGTGTCTGTGGGCTCGTAGCAGCTCACTTACGTGTTTTGATGTTGTTGTCTCTGTACGTCCCATTGAGTATCGCTAGCTCCATCAGCTGCATCTTCTTCAAATTGTCTTCTCCCTCCGCCTGTGGAAAACAGAAACTTTAATGTTCATTCACAATAACACATCGCATGCTAATTTCACACGAGCTGAGGCTCCTTTATAGGCCATTTGAAACAACCCACATAGCGACTGTTTCACCTAACAACATGCCTGGGTGTTGTAAAAAAAAAAAAAAAAGGAAACTACACTGGGGCAGCTAAATCATTTGGACACTACATGTCATCTGTTCTCCACAAGCACTGCTTGGACGAAGCTTAGAGGAACAGAGATGGTGATAAGCTAAAGTGCTGTTGTCATGGCAGAGTGCCTTGTTGCTCCTAAAATGCTGACAGAGACATTAAGTGTGGGAATGCATATTCATAATCCATATCAGAATGATAATTACTGTAATTTTCTTTGCTCCCTTGTGCGCAATCAAATGCGCAATAACCGCCCTGGCTAATGTCAGTCCTGTCAATTAATGTTTGGATAAATAAATACAAAAGCCGCAGCCACTGTCATTATCGCCAAATTAGGGGACTGAAATTATTCACGGAAAGCAATTAAGATAGCAACCCCCCTCCCCTCCTACGCACACCCATCCATTCTCTTCCCCCTTTCCTTTCTGCACACTCCACTCCTCCCCTAAACTCCATTTCCCCTGAAGCTACAGAACACTCAATAACCATGACAACACAAAAGCCCCTGTGATTTTCCAGGTTGTACATCATAATTCAAGCACGCTGCATGTGAATTATTCTCCACACAGTTAAGGTTGTTAAGACATGCATGTGACGCCGGCTGACCTTTGACCCCCTTTGAGTGAACTATTGATTTTATGCCTTTTATTGCTAAATAATAGATCTGATACCTGTTTACCCTGCATGGACAGAAAAATTAAAATAAAGGTGGCTCATGTACTTTCACTCTGCAGCTGCATGTAAACACATCCTGTGCACACGGAGAAGAGCGGGCCAGCCTCTTTGTGGAGGTAATAATAAAAGCAGGAAGGCAGATACTGAACCTTCTCCATTTCTTTTCTATCTGTGCATAGACTGTGTCTCTTGGACTCAGTCTAACAACAGTCTGCTGCTCTATTCAGGGGACGATAAGGAAAGAAAGACATGGTGAGGGAGAGAGAAAGAAAGGGAAAAAAAGGGACGAGGGCTCAGAGTTAAGCCCTCCCCTGAGACTCCTCTTCAACACAGCCACAGAGAGAGGAAGAGAAAGAGCGAGGTTAAGCAAGAGAAAAAGTGACAGAGGCTGGTCTCCCTTGACTAAATATAAGGCAGTGGCTTCAGAGCAGTCACAGTATTCAGCTGTGTGTGAGTGTGTGTGTGCCTTCGCAATGTTTAGTGTACCACAGAGCTGCCAATTAACCAAGCAAAGGACATTTTCTCCACTGCTTTTTCTCCTTCACTACCTCCACAGCACTTCATAGCTATTCTTTTAATGGGGATGCTGGAAGCAGCAAAAATGATGATTTTCTTAAGCTACAACAGTCTCTCATGTTGGGACGGAAACAAATGATCAGTGCATCGATGATGTTTATCAACGCATTTAAAAGGTGGAACTTGAAACTAGGGCCCAACCGATTTATCAGCGAGCCGATTCAATCTGCCAATTTTAGCCCGTTTGAGACTAATCAGTAATCGGCCAAATCTTGCCGATTTTTGGCGATATTTTCAGGAATAAATGCGGAGAATAAGATTTGGTTTCACTCAGAAAATGTTCCGCCATTTGAAAAGTTCCCTGACTTATCCTGTAGATGGAGCAGCGACCTCATGACAATCTTCATCCACTAACGACCTCACAGCACAGCAGAGTGACGGATCTGAAGCAGGCAGGTCAGGGACACACGGAGGAGAGTGGTCCGCCTCAACGGTAAATAAACCAGTTTGTGAAATACACAATAAATCAACAAGTTTCAGTTCAACCCACTTCACGATGTTCCCCGCTGTGCTGGTCTCGGTCACGCGGAGTTAACGGTGAAGCACCATGTAATATGCAAGCTAAAGTTAGAGCTAGCCACCTGCTATTAGCCTTGCCACACCGTTAGCTGTGCCAGTAACGGTAGAATAAATAACAGCACAGATTACGTGATCGAGCTTCTTCTCAGACTGAGGCAGCTGCATGTCTCCAGACACTATATATATATTTTTTTCATAAATTTTTTAAATAAAATCAAAAAAAAAAAAAAAAAAAAAAAAAAAACCTGTATCGGCCCCAAAAAATCCATATCGGTCGGGCCCTACTTGAAACAGCACTGAAAAGCATAAACAATGCAGATTTTATACACCTATGCATGGTATTGTGAACTGTTAGGTCTAGTATTCAACTAAATGTAAGATTATACAACTTCTTAAATAAACAGTAAAAAGGAGTCGTGCATTTCTCAATGTTTTGAAGCTGATTTCTGAAGATGTTCTGAACAGCGCTCCTCTTCTTTGTTCCCTCACTAACAGCTTTGGATGTGAGGAAAGGGCCACTTGACACACAATGTCAACAATTATAACCAGACTAGGCTAATTGAACATGGCCCAGGTCAATAGCCAGCCATGCTAATATGGGCAAGTCAACCCTCCGAAATGGAGAGACAAAATCACTGCTAATTAGACGTTGCATGAACTGTGTCAACATGAGCACACATGAATGAACAAGTCATGAAAGAGTTGTCTACTACACCTCCAAAGGTGCAAAGATAACATTATGAATCTCTCATTGTTATCTCTGAATTATTTTCTCTGTGTTCCTCCTTTGTTATTTACAGCTTTTCTCTTCTAGACTTTCACCTCTTCAAGCTTTTCAAATATAGAGCACAGACGAGTCTAACCAGTATTTTTTACAATGACTTCCACAAATCATAACAGCTGTTTTCATTCCCTCTTTGTGCAGTGTGTTCATCTCCTCTGAAACTCCGTCAGTGGTTCTTCGAAAGTGGGCCAAACACACTTGCGAAACAAAGGAAAGAGAAGCAGGAAGAGGAAAAGAAGACTAGAGAAAACTTCAGCAGATTCAAATCATGGATGGGGCTCGATGTGTTCGGCTTTCAAAGCTGCACATTTGTAACCACAATGAATCGAACATTTGTCTTTGCCTTTGTCATTTTATGGAAAGCTGCTCAAACATGAGTCACACGACTGAAATCACACTTGACACAAGCTTTTCCCCTTCCACACGTGAGGCTGCGGTCTCCTACCCTTATTTTCCTAGAATCAATCCCTTTACTGAGGACGGTATATCCCTGCAGAGTAAGTGTCAGCTGGAGCGACACAGATCTTTTGTGTTTTTGTGGCACCGTAAAAATACACTCTAAAAATCAAACAAAATAATGAGCACATTTACGGCTGTCAGAGGTGGGTTGATGTGTCTGTGTGAAAGAGTACAAGTGGGGTTGCTTCACAGCAGGCTGCATTGCAGGACAACTGCATGCTGAGAAATGATGTCACGGCTGCGTATGTGTGTTTGTGTGAGTTGTATGATGATGGATATGTTGGGTTGGGGGGGTTAAATGTGTGCAGGGCAAGAGTGGTGCCACCATCCATCCAACTCTGCATAGGTGGCACGCTGCCTGCTGAGAGGAGGGAGACAGAAATAGAGGGCAGTGAGAGGGGAAGAGCACAGATGCTGCAGCTAGGATGAGGTGTGCGCTGCTGTGTGTGAAATGTGTGTATCCCCAGCGGAGGGGTGCTGATATAGCTCCATCTTCTCACTAACACAGTTTGTTAGCTAAAGCGTCCAAACCCCAACAGATTATTTCTGTTTTGCATCTGAAATAAGCCAATTTTCCCGCATCAAGATACAAATTCCCTGCTGCAAACTTCCCCTACATTTTTCTGTCGGCGTCTGGGAAACGTTGGCAGTGTTTCAGACGCACCATAAGAAAAATGGCAGATCCAAAATGGCTGCAGACGGGAGCTGTGAGATGAGAAGAAACCAAAACATAATGTTTGAGACAAATCTCTGGAGTGGAGTGTGAGGAGCCCCCCTGTGTGTCCTGGGCCAGCTCCTCGCCACAGATGCACAGCTCATATGAATCTTTGATGAACACTGCCAGTGAGAGCAGTTAACACTTTAATGTTTCCTTGCTAAAGGTGTCGCTGCATTAACAGACTCCTCAGTCAGCATGCAGCCCCCTATGATAAAACATTCACTCGGATTCAGCCACTTCTAGGACCCTGTGTGTAAGCCGGCAGCATGTGCGTGTCTGTAATGATCTTGCTGAGGGGGAATTCCCGGGAGAGGAATAGCTGCTGGATTATAGAATGAGAGGGATGAGGGGAGGAAGTTTTTCGTTATCATCGCTAACATGCAAGCATGCGTGCGTGTAACAAACACACACCCCTTGCACACTCCTGTCCATCAGGGGGAAAGCCACTCAATAAAGCTGCTCTATCCAGAAGAATCAGATTCAATCAATGAGGCCTATTTGTGAAATCAGCAGAGCGGGAAAAGCTATCAGGGAGGAGCAAGACGGAGGGGATGAGGGAAGGGAGAGAAGGGGGAGGGCGGTGTGAGGGGTGCGGTGAGCTAAAGTAGGTGAGCCGTGTCCCACTGCCACTACCTGACAACCCTGCGATGAGGTCACTCGATGCATACTAAATCACTGTCATGCTTCACTTTTTTGCGCCTCTCTCCTGACTGAAGCGTCTGTTCATATGTTGGTAAATACAAACTGCAGCTAATGCCAATTGCGACACACAATCGAGCTAATGCTAAATGCTAAATGATGTAAGTGCACACGAACGCAACCGGTGAGGGCTACAGCTTCACTCCCCGCCCTTACACCCCAGCACAAGACCCTTTTACATCCATTTCACCCAGAGATAAACACAACAGGCGCCTGGATTAGGTTGGATGAATTTGCTCATGTCTTTGGCCGCGACTGACGGGGAGTTTTTGCTCATATCTGGCAGGAGTTACTGTCTATGCAGCTTATGTGCCGGGAGAGATGAAATGATGAGCAGTGAAAGATAGATGAAAAGAGAGGTGGAACAAAAGGAGGGAAAAAAGTGCTGCGGAGCAAGAGCAAGAGAAAGCGTGAATGATTGTCTTTGAGTTGGTGGAGAGATGGAGAGATATGCAGGAAGAAGAAGAAGAGGGGTAGCCGGAGAATATGAAACAAGAAAAGACAGACAGACAGTGTAGTGAAAACCAATTTGTCTGTTCCCTAGTGGGCCGACACCGCCTGCTTTCCTGCTCTGGCCTCACTGCCAGTCATCACAAACAGACGTATGCACCAAGCCTGTACACTCACAACCACACATATATAACTCAGGCCGTTGCTGGGCCGGGGTCAGGATCTCTCCAAACTACTCCAATTACCTCAGCAGTAAACACAGCCTGCCCCAGCTGCCTCCTGGGATACAGAAAGAGGCTGAATGTGTAGAGCTGAGAAGGAGGGAGGAGGGTGAGTTTAGCGGAGTTTATGGGGGGCGTTGGTTTGGGGAGCCTCGGAGAAGGGGGGAGTAGATGACTTCATGTAGAGGGGTGGATCTAGTAGTGGTGGCAGCTGGTTTTTCTCTCACTCCCCTCCTTCTCCCACCTCCCTTTTCCGTTCCTTCCAAAACTCCAACATCTGGGGGAAAATGATTACTCTTGCCATGCTGCCAAGTCGACTTATCAACAATTCCACACTCTCCAGAAGCGGACGGTTGGAGGAGAGGAAGGAATGAGTACTTGTAGCGAGCTTGAAAACATCTCCACACTAAATAAATAAGTGACAAGAAAGTTTAATCAATTCAAGGCAACTAAAGCAAACTTGGATGTCGGATTGAGTTGGGAAATGAAAACATACTGTGTTCTCAGCAAAACTGATTCCCATGTTTTCATGGTCTGGACTGTAAGTCAAACAGCGACTCCAGTGAAACCTAAAATCCCCAACATTAAACACACAGCTCCTCTCTACTATGGAAGAACATGCATCTATATCAAGTCAAGAGAAGAGAAAATGCATACATGATGTAAAATACAGTACAATGTATTAGTCAACGTCAATCCTTTTCAAAAGCAAGTATCAATCAACCAAAAAGAAAAGGAATAACAAGCTTCACAAACACGTGACCTTCTCCCTTTCCTCTAAAGAGTGAGATGGAGTTAGAGCTTCATGTTCTTTATCAAATTCACTGATGCTTTCTCAAAGGCAATCTTCTCTCCTGTGCTTTGCTCCTCAGCTTTTGTGAACGTATCTGCCAGGGGAATCAGGCCTCAACTGTATTTCGCTTTTACCGCGGAGACTTAACAACGCAATCTCCGGCAACTCTCCTCTCTGACTGTCTTATACCTTCACAACACTCCGGTAAAGCCTCTTTATTTCTCCTTTACTCCTCTGCTCCCCTTCCGCGCTCCCAGACAGCTCTGTTAGCGATGTGCACCATTAGTCATGCTAAACCACCAACACACTTGCTCATTAGCATAGAAGTGAACCTGACTCCAGTCAGATTATTACAAACACATCACTGCTGCTCCGCCCCATTACTGTCAATCACCCAGCTTACCGAGGTACAGTTGAAAGTGGCACATTACAAAGTCGGGAACTGAGTCTTCTCTTCATTCTTCACTCTCTGTGTCTGAGGGCTCCCGAGTGCCAAAGTTCTACTTCTATTCCTCAGTGTTATCCATAACGTGCAGAGTTAAAATGGGTGGTCGACACAGACTGAGCTCCGGCATTGGGACTGACTCTAGGATCTATGTGGATTAAAAGAGCCTTTTATTGTCTCGAAGAAGAAGGAAGTGGGCAGCCTTGGTGTTCTGTGCTTCTTCCATCAATATTAGCTGACACACACGTTCACAGAGTCAGTGCCAACAACAGGAGAGAGAAGATGAAAAGAAAACGGGAAGGAGAATGTTTTCCAACAAGCTCGCTGCACTTTCTATAATTGAAAGAGATAAAAAAGAAAAAAGCTTCACCTCATTTCCAATTGCAAAAGGAAGAAAAAGCAGTGTGGAAATTCTTAGCGATCTTGTTTATCCACAGAAACTGGGCTGGTTTTCAGCATAACATAACGGCATTAAGAGCGGATTAAACTTTGTATAAATAACCTAAAAAATATAAACACAGATTTTAACATCAAGATGTAGATGTGTTATTAATGTTTGCTGGCCTGCAGCAGCTTTGATAAACACATGATGTCTGCAGCACAAAGCTGGAGGGATCGCTTGGTAAAACCATGTTCCTCTGCTGGAAAAACAGCTGGTCCTTCTCTCCGTCATCATCTACTCTTTCAACAAAAGTCTCTCTTTTTTTCTGTTCTTCTAGCCCATGTTCTCAATCTGCACCTTCAACTGCCACCTTATGCATCCACTTTTATATCACTTCTCCTTCTTCCCTCTTCCTCCACCCATCTCTTTATCCCTCAATCCACAGGGCTGCCAGACGCCGTATTGTTCTGTCCCTGCGATCCTTTAATGCCATCCAATCGAGCAGGGAATATCTTGAAGGGATTTGGCCGGGGATGATTTGGGAGCTTTAAATACTGCTGGGGGATTTGCATCATTCAGAGATCCTGACTCCAGGCTGATCGCTGGAACCTTCTCATAAAACAGGGATCTAAGAACCTCCTGTAAGATTCAAATGTGGGAAAACTCTGGATGGAGCTACCTGGACATATGCAGGCAGCCCACGGACACAAGTTTGAACTAGCTGCAAAGTTTAATCCTTGATTTAGTCGACATGCCTCAATATATATATTCACATTATTCACATCCAGGCATATGCACCCATGAAAACATCCATCTCTGATTATACTGATGCAGATGTTACATGCCTTCTCTGCCAAGATGGGATTTCGATAAAGCTTTCAGACCTGTAAAAAATAAAAAAAAAGAGGAAAGAGATGCTTGGGTTTTAGTTTTGCTGTGCCCTACTAAACACAACCAAAGTTCCACTTTAGGAAAAAAACAGTTAGCTCAGTAGAAATCAAGTGGAAATCGAGAGGAGCTGCTAAAAACAGAGATGGTGCAAACGAGAAGAGATGCCAACTGATAGGCAAGGCAAGTGAACCCAAGTGAGATGAATTCAACACTCGATACACATTGAGGGGAGACAAAGAAAGCCATCAGTCTAGGATTGGCTGGTGGGGCTGAGAGAATGGAGTCTGAAATGACTTGAGAGGGGGGCTAGCAAAACGAGTCATCACACTGTAGGAGCTGAATTTGATGGGCGGCCTTTGGGCTCTCTAAACGCTGAGCTCCACACAATCCTATTTTCCCTTCCTAAACACTGGGACACGCGGTCACAAGGGAGGCAGAGATGAAAGAGCAAGTGTGTGTGCGTGTGCGTGTATGTGTTCCCACTTTGCAGATGTTCAGGCTTGGCCCTGGTTAGACCCCCGAGGAAGTTCAGCAACCACCGGAAATGGACAATATATAGTATAGTGGAGTGTAGAGAGTCAAGGCGAGGGAGACAGTGGGCTCAAGCCTCAATCAACATTGGACGTATGGAGATATGGGGTCCAACAATGGGGCCCCTCAGGCATATGCACCCATGAAAACATCCATACAGACACACATTTCTGTATTTCTCTGCTTCTATGTGAAGGGATTAAGGGGACCTTCAAAGAGAGGCAGAGAGATTGGCTCGGGGCTCGCAGGGTCCCTCTCCTCTCCCACTGGAGGAACCAGGGCAGATTAAAACAGCCCGGGCCTCTCAGCCCGCCTTGTTACCGCCCCCTCTTTCTGCGTTCTGTATTAGGACACTTGAAACACCCTTCCCCTCCCCCCTCCCGGAGGAGCCTAGTGCAACCAGGTGGATTAGGAAGGAGGTTATTCTGCAATGATGTGAGAGACCTGGGTGGTTTGGGACCGGGGTGCATGTGTATATGTGTGTGAGGTGAAATTAAAAGGACAGTACAAGTGGGTAAGGCAATTTCGAGAGTGGTGCAGAGGGCTTGTGTACATAAAATGCGCCTTCACCGGGGACCTTGGCTGACTTAAAGATCTAAATGAACGAGACAGGAGGAGAAACAGGACTCCTTTCCTCAGAGGGAAAAATGAAAGAGATGGATTAGCAACAGGGTGATGTTTCAAGGTGTAATAAGTGAAAGAGGATCTCAAGAGTGTAAAGGAGAAAGCGCTAAAAGAGGTGAGACTGCACTCAGGTTAAGGGGGTGTCGAGTTTCAAACCTGAAGTAGCAAGTCTTTTACACTTGTGTGACTTTTGGGCCTCATTCAACTAGTTAAGATGTTTTCTTTGTAAAAGGTGTTGACCAGGTTTTATGATTAAACTTCTGTAAAATTCAAACAACTCTTACGCAACTGTGTCTCGCTTTTATCTAAGTTCACCACATCTGACATCTGAATGACAGGGAAACAAAACAATGGAGGGAAAAGTGAGAAAGGAGATGATGTATGCAATCAGAATTTTTCCCCCTGCTTTGAGGTTGACAACATTTCCTGCAGCTCGCCCCGAGACCAGACTGGTGATGAAAACTGGAGTAGCAAGCAGAAAGGAATTCAAAGTCTCATTGTGTCTTATGTGTGATATCATATTTCTGAAACTAATGAGCTTAGTATGGATCCACCCCAGGGAAGATGCTTACGTCGGTACACACACAAGTCTATTAATTCTAATTGAAAAATAACATAAATCAACATCACTGCTGTCCTTTCTGGGCTTTTCTATAAGTGGTTTTAGCAACATATAGGGAATCATGTAGGGGTGATTTCTTTCCCCCGGACTGAGATTTGCTGAAGATTTCTGCCTGCCTCTCATTTATAGTACCAGGAAATTAAAAACAGGAGGAGGACAAGACCGGGAAAGGTGGCCAGGCTCAGGCAGGTTGTTCCCTGCAGGGGTACTGCATCTTTAGGGCTACAACCACCTGTCTGCCCCTCAGGAGTGCTGCAGAGCAGGAGATGAGGAGGAATGGGCAGATGGAGTTTCAGGTGGTAGTGATGGCAGGGGAGGAGCCCTTGGGCCCAGACCAGAACAAGCCCTTCCTGTCGGGTTTAAGCTGACTGGAGGGGCTTGGCACACATGAAAAGAAGCTTAATAGTTACCTTGTGTCATGCAGCAACAAAAAACTAAGAAGAAATCAGTAAAATCTTGTCAAAAATCAGTTAGAATGGTAGATTTTTCTGGCTTGTTCGTCCTGAGAAATCTGTAGATAATTGTGGTTTCATAAAGCATCAGTAACTATGCTATGGTTTTTTTTCTTTGTTTTTCTGTGACTGGCACTGACAGCTCCAGCCTGTCGTGTGGTTTGTAACCTGGTGTTAACAGGATGTGGTGGCCTTCAGGCAACAGCAGATAAAAATCATGGAAGAGAGTGGCAAATGATTTGTTTCCTCAACCATCGACAGAGAGTGAGAGAAAGAGAGAGGAGAGAGAGGGAGAGAGAGAGAGAAGAGAGAGAGAAAACAACATAAAAACAGAGGTGGAAGAAAGTCAGGTAGTCTAAAAGTTAGAGAGATGTCCAACTCTGCATCATGAACTGATGTTTTAAATACCTTCATTTACCACAGCTATACAGAGCAATAGTAGGTTTGTGTTTTTCTGTTCTGTTATTTTAAGCTAGGGAAAGGTAAACTTACAAACCAAGCATACCATCAAATCCCATCAACCAGCTCTTCAAACATGACTCGGCAAAAATAAAAAAGTCCTCTGGTGGTTTCCCTTCTTGCCCATCTCTGACCTGGTAAATACAAAAATAGCCTCCTTTGTCCTCTATTCCTCTCTTGGAGGTACAGAGGGAGGGCCCAGGTAAAAAATAGCTCCCAGCTTCCCCTGCCAATAATCATTTGTTTCCATGTGCGGGTCTTGTGTGTGAAGTGACTGCTTGCATGTGTGTTTATTTTCAACCCAGGCCTCACGGGGACGGCAGTCTGTGTCTTGTCTGAGCTTGCTTTCAGGTGTTTGAAATTAATGCCAACGTTTGGGCCAAAGGACTAAAACTTTTCATTGTTGTTTTGGTGTCTGGAGTGCAGTTTGGGGAGGGGCTACTGGGACCAAGATTGGCAATCACTTTTGTCATTAAGATGGTCTGGACAAAAAAAAAAAAAAAAACAGGCAGAGAATGCTTCAATGTCTGAGCATGTGCACAAGTAAAATCAGTCAAAAACAGTTGTGGTCATTTCTAACATGCTAGGCATTCAAATGACACACAGTGGGAATCATTATCGGCATCAGAATAGACATGTCTGTTTGTTGTGGTAAAATGGTTAAAGAGGTCAATTCCAATTACCCTCTTATCACCATCAGATCATTAATCAGAGGTGATTTATACATCTTACAGTTTGAGGGTTTGCTCTCCTGTTACAGGGTTTCAGTAGGTCTCTGTGAAGTACCTGTCTAAAGGGTATTAGCGGGGCACACGCGAAGCAAAAGGCTGCACTGATGAGTACAAAGGTCCAAGAATGAGAAGATGGATAATAATGAAAGTGGCAAACAAGAGGATAGTTGGGAGTCAAAGGTCCCGCAACTTCCAGGCCAATCCCTGCAGTCTGAAATGTGTGGACTACACAAAGAGATTAACACACTCTAACACACACACACACGGCAGAGTAAGAAAACATAACAGCAGTAAGGGAGGAGCACAGTGATGCAGTCTCAAGCAGAGGTCACCAAGTCAAGGAAGCCAATTAAAAAGATGATTAACATTCATATGGGAGATGCAGTGTCTACGTGCGGATGGGATGGGCTCACACACACACACACATATATATATAATGAGAGCAGTGAAGAGTGCAGTCCAGCCTGTTGTAACTGTGGTGTCCTGGGAGGTGGAGATCAGGAGGTTAATATGATCCAATCCAGCTCCTTCATTAGCCTGATGAAGGTAATAACAGCCTACAGGGACAAAGAGGCTGCCAGGTTGACTAAAAGTATCTACCTACTGCCAGCCTGAAACTCCTCGAAGCCTACTTGAGCATACTGGCAGAGAGACACAACAGCCACTTTAGTCATTTATCACATTTACATGAACACAAATGTACAAAATGTGGGATGAAAAAATCATCTAATGTCTTATTTTGTGCCATGTGAGAGTCCGTGTACGTGACTTGCAGATCCACTGTCCAATGTCAGGCCCCAATCTTGAATAAGAACCCTCATGTGGAGCCTCGTTCAGTAAAGAGCTGCTCAGAAATGTCTTCTTCACTGCCCTAGGTCATGTTTGTTTGTTATTCTGCTCTGTGTGGGCTACGGCTGCAAGTCCATCGCTTACGCTTACCTCATCAACTTGCATTTATCGTATTTATCATGAGATGGCAAATATTTATCATGAAGGAATTTTCTGACAATATATCATGAACAATAATTCATCGCCCATCCCTAAATAACAATATGGTTTGGGAATGATGGCACAAATCTAGTTTCACCAAAGAGCAACCACAGCAAAGTCGTAGCTTTCGATCACTAATTCTGTTGAATGATGATCTGGAAGAGGGGTCATCCATGGTTCATCCACACTGACTTTTTATTCTTTTTTTTTAAGAGAGAGAGAGAGAGCGGCACACAAGACAGACATACAGTACATCCTTGAAATTCTGACGAAGCTTAATTTCATGTACTACGCCTCTAGCCGTGGTTTGAGGCATGATTAAAAATGTAAAATAGACAATATTGCTGCTGATGGTCTATTTCTCTTATGTAGGTCAGAAAGAGGCATTGCCATTAAAAGGAGTCTGAGAAACAAATTATTAATACACATTGCTAATATAATCTGCGATGAGTATTGTTAAAAGTCGCGGTCCGAGCTGATAAATGAGGCTAAATGAGAAATATGAGTTTATGATCTTGTAGATATGGCTGTAAATCATGCATGATGTGATGTTGGTTGTGAAGGTGGTGGAGATTAAGAGTAAATAAGAGGAGAATGGTAGTGATAGGTAGAACTAACAGAGAATAAACATCATTAATTGGAGAGGCACACATGGATGGATGCAGCCAGATGGTGTTTTGTACTCATTTGTCAGACGCTGGTGACAGAGAGAGAGAGAGAGAGAGGATGGGGGAGAGTGAGCAAGAAAGAGAGAAAGAAAACAAAAAAAAGGTGTTTAATGATTGCATCGTCAGTGCACGGCAGCCTCGAAAAAGACTTGCACTGTTTAAATGTAGCTCTGCTTGTTCTGCATCATCTACTCTGTGTGCCTTTCCTGTCTGAGTGGCTCCGATGGTGCTGCCATTGTAGCTCTCTGCCAAGCCGGATGCATACTGGCGAGTACAGACACAACACCCTGCCGATTGCCTAACTTGGCGTCCATTAAGGTCCATCTGTCTGGCTTTTAAAAAAACACAATTTACTGTATGTTCTTTCTCAGAGGAGGTCCATAGCAGAGAGAGAAGAGGAGAGAAAAATGAGGGAGATGAGGAGAAACAGAAGGCACAAGAGAGCAAAAGACAGGGATACCAACAAAAGGGTTGGCTTGCAGGTTTGCCTAAAAGAGAAACTTACTCTTAGCCTGGGATGACTATGATGTGTCTGGTGTGCCAAACATGGAAACGGATTGGAGAGTTCTCACTCCGCTGTCTACTGCCAAGGTAGTTTATTAAAATGAAAACTTGGAGCAATTAAATCATCTCCTATTTTCATAACAAAGAGTAAAGCTACAGAAGTATAAAAAAAGATACCAAAAATAGAACTTTGTGAAAGGGGCATGAAAGGAGGAAGGGGGAAGTGGAGAGATGGGGCACAAGAGGGAGCAGTAAACCGGAGCGAGAGAGCAGGGTAGGGTTCTCAGAGTGTGCAAATGGAGAGAAGGGCTCGAGGCCGCTGGTCTGCTCCGGCTGCTACCATCAACACTTTGTTCTCGGCAATGACTGTTTCATTCAAGGAGACATGCACTCGGTTCTCCAGGGCCAAAGTGCCACTGTGCCAGCCAGCTCCTTCTTTTCTCTGTGTGCAGTGTGCTCCATTCTTACCTAACCTTTTCTGCTTCTGGGGTTCTTTATCAGTCTGTGTGTGTGCAATGAGATTCAAGGCTAGCCTGCTACCTCCCTTAATGTACTGTAGGTACCTCGAGGCGAGTGTCTGCCTTCAGCGAGCTGTATCAAATGTAGAGCAGTGAAGATAACATTGTCAAAAGTCCCTTTTGTCAGACAATCTCGCAGAGTGTAAATAGCAAGGTAATACTTTAGAATCTGCCACAATGTGGAGGACGGTCCCCTAACAAATCTCATCTCTTTTTTCTCTTTTTTGAAATGATAATAAATAAGTGATTTGATCACTATGTTAGTCCCTGTAGGTCCAACAATATTCACAAGACAGGAAACAGCAGACTTTACACTGGACTACAGATCCTGTAGACATGGCTGATTTGAATACAGAGTAAATATGTTCATTTTTAAGAGAAGATGGGCTGCTACACTGGAATTGTTTTCCAGCTTAACACTGCTTACATTGACAACTTGAATCTAGCTGTGATTTTTACAGTGTAGCTTACAGTAAAATGTGACTGAATCACATGCTTTGTTTTGTACAAAGGCTTTGACTAAGTGAAAAAGGAAAGGTCAAAGCAGGTGACAACTTCATTACTGCCGCTTTAGCCGACTATATTTAGCTAGGACTCAGCATATACATGCCAAAACCAACAGGTAAAGGTATGACTTGTTGAAACAAGAGCAAAGGCACATCAGTGATTTTTCTGGATGTCATTTATTTTGAGACCGGTATGAGTCAGAGGACAGTACTGGCCTGCTGAGTCGATTACTATTCCTCTCCGGGTCTTCCAGGGGCAGTAAAGTGAGAGAAAATTGACCATTCAGGGTTTATGCATACAACTCTGAGAGCATCTGTGTGGGGGTTACCTAAAGTGCAGTGGGGCTCTGCTGCAGTCTCTATATGAGGACCCAACCCAGGACTCAAGGGATGAACAGAGTATTTTAGTCAGCTGGTGTGTGTGTTTGCATGTGGTAGTATTTTTCTGGGCATGCATCTCCATGTGTATGTGCTAGGTGAAGTGTGTAGCAGGCAGGATCAGGAGAGTAAATCCACACTTGAAAGAGTGGCTCAATCAAGCTCTCCCACCCATCTCTCCCTCTGTCTCTCTGATCTCACCGATGTTTCCCCTGCTCCCAGTTCATAGAGAGTTGAGGAGTTCACAGAAAAAGAGAGCGAAAGAGCTCCACGAAGGGCAAAAGGGCACGAATGTGAACCTGTAGCACAACTCGCTAGAGCCCTCTTTTATCCGTCAATCAATTTTTAGTAAGTAGCAGCTGTTGACAAGAGTGTGACAGAACAGTTGAAACCTTCTTTGCCAAATGACATGTTGACGGATCCAGAAGTGGAAAAAATGTATCTACAGCATACGCACGGCCTTCACAATAAGAGCCACTCTGTTTATCTTTGAGTGCTTTAAAAATGTCTACAGTTTGAGTGGACATTGTTGGTAGAAAGAGGTGAGTTCTGCACTGGGTCAGGAAATGAAAAAATAAAAGTCAGTAGATGCTCTCCTATGGTAAGGGACAAAAGATCAAGATACAAAACAAAAAAATTATCTGTCAAGATGATTATTAAATAATATCTAAGGTAGAAAAACAAAATCCTTGAATAGGCAGGGATAAGGTATGTCTATGCATTTCAGCTGAGTCTTTATCAGGACAAAGTCTTAAAAGTGATTTTTTTTTCTTGTAAATGTAGATTTATTTTTTATTCAAACACTTCTTTGAATGAAAACTGAAAACATATCTGTCAAACGACATTCTGCAAATGCTACAATATTCTCATCACATCATAAACAAGATGAGCCTGACTGGTGTGTCACTCTATGCTCAGCTTTGCTAGTTACAAGTGTTTTTAATGCCAGAAATCCTGGCTCCTAATCCACTGTGAGGCAGTTATGAGATTATTAAAAAGCAAAACTATCATTATCCAGCCTTTATCTTTGATTTGACACCAGGTTTGCAGACCAAACAAGCCTCTGGTAAGCACTCTATCCTCTCTTTTTGTTTCAGTTCTGCAGCTGGGCCTCCACAATGACAAGTAGAGCCTGGTCCTTGAAAGGGAATAAAAAGCATGACCTCATTTTGTACCCAGTGTGATTTAATAGAGACGATTTTACGCTACCAAATGTGGAAAAGATGCCCTTCATTAGAACATTGCATAACCACCGTGTCCACACTTTAATCCCGTCTAGTTTAGCATGATAAAGGCCATAACTGCCAACCAACCCCACTGCCCACCCACTCATGACACGCTTTTATGTACATCCACTCAATAACAGGAAAGAAGACCTTTGAGATGCTCATGGGTAGATGATGCACCAACCAAACATTACGGGTTAGGACAGCAGCTAAAGTTGTGCCGTACTTAAACTACGTCACTTCTATTGACATTTAAATTTGTCATCCTGAAGGCTGGTGTCAGGCCTTTGAGGTGAAGTGCATTACCAGTTGGGCCTCTAATGGACGTAGGTTGAAAAGGCAGAACAAATTAATGACTTATTGACGCAAGATGCAAAATATGTTTCAAAACAAATTACAACTGAAAACACTCTGGAGAAAATATTCATACTAAGAAGCAAGATAGGGACATTTCGCCTCAATCATGAAAACATTTATACACAGAAAAACAGCCGTCTATCTAATGGAGGGATCTTTTCATTACATTAAAATGAACAAAGATGCCTTGCTTGAAGGAAAAATGGCCTCTGGTGTACTGCAATGGGTCATTAATTAGCTCTATAAAAGTCGTACTTGAATTAGGGGAAGAGAGAAACTTTTTATGAGCAAGATTTCATTAGTGTCTCAAAAGAGCTCATAAGTGCTTTCTTCTGTTTGAGTAATAAAGGAGCTTCTTCTCCTTAACCCCATAAATGGTTCAGGTACTGATTCACCAGACCATCTTTAATGCTCTTGTCAGGCTGCGAAAAAGCACTGAGATTTCTCAAAAAGTGATGAAGCTATTTTTGTGGCACTCCATTCAGATGAGAGCTGGATGCCGAGAGCTGTCATTGACTTAAAAGGACGCCCAGAAGAGGTTTAGTTGTGTGTGTCTACACGTGTGTGTTAACAGTGACTCATTCTACATCACTCTTCAAAACACTGGCGCTTCCAGAGATGGCTTTATCCTCATGTGTTTTTTTTTTTGGTGTGCGTGTGTGTGTTTTTGTCTGTGTGTGTGTGTGCGGGCATGTGTAAGTGTGTCAACATCCTCGGTGTGTGTACATACAGGCTGTGGAGATCTGAAACACTCAGAAACAAAACAAGTGCCTGAAGAAGTGACAGGCGGGCTGAATAAAGGAGAGCCATTTTCAACAAGAGGACATGAATTGAAGTGTTTCCACATTGTCAGGCTGAGCTGAGCTGAGCTGAGGCCCGGCGGAGACAGACAGGGAGGACAGATTGTTGTAGACAGTAGACCTTGACATGGAGGCACCTTTTGTGCCAGATCTTTCATCAACAACTGGCTAAGTTGAGATAAGCTGTGCAAAAACTTGCAGTTCAAATTCCAGGATACAGCCATATGAAGTTGTCATGGCCAGGTTGTCAAATACAGTCTCTGACCAGTTTTTTTCTGTTGTCTTATCTAGTATAGGTGCATATCTGTATACAACAGGAAGGGGGCACTTTTTGTAGTGTTGCTTTCCCTCTACATAGATACAATCTACTACAAATATAAAGTTGTAATGCATCTATTAGTAGAGCCAACATCTTCCCAAGAGCATTTGTTTTTCCTGAAGTAAAAAACAGCCATAAAAACAAAACTCTGTATAATGATACAAAGTGCGTTCAGGAAAGCGCAGAGATAAAATTGCTATTCAAGAAACCCTGCATCTCTGATATGGTTGCTTGCCTGATATTAGCTGGCTGCGTTTCTGCAAACCACCAAGCCCAGTGTGCTCCCACATGATGGCAAACCGGGGCCTTCAGCTGCCGTGTCCACCTGGTCATCACAGTCAACAGCGAAAAAAAATGCACAACGCATGCCAAAGTACCAGCAGACCTCACCGGCGGCTCAGTGTGTGAGGAAGTTTAGGCAGAGGGGAGGCGGAGGTGAAGTGTTGCAGTCACAGGAGGAGCTGCTAGCTATGTTTTTTCCACTCTGCTGGGGGCACGGCCAACCTGTTCCCCTAGTCTATATATGGAAGTAAACAGGATGCTAACAGTAGGCAAGAGGTGATGAGCCATATGCAGCCCCATCATCCTGTTGTTTGGACTGAGTTTGTTGAGCCTGGAAAGGCTTCTCTCAGCACTAAATCAGAGCAAAACACACAGTGTCCTTTGTGTCAACTTCCTTAGAAGCACAAAGTACTGTGTTGGGAGCATTAAAAAGCTAATCAGGCCACAGGCAGCCCCCACGGTGTGTGTGCTGAGTGTATACGAGCTTATGCGTTGTATGTACTCACAGCAGGTACGAGGAGCTTCTTCACCTCCTCCACTGCTCTCCTCATCTTGATCTCTGCTCTGGCCTGTGAGTCCTCCACTGTGATCAGGACATGAAGGTCTTCGTTTAGGTGTTCCCAGTTTGGCTTTCCTCTGTTCTGCTCCTCCTGGATAGAGAAAAAGTGCGTGAAAGAGAGAGAGAGAGAGAGAGAGGGAGAGAGACAGTGAGTGAATGTGACAGTGTGGGTGTGTTGGAGCACCGGTGAAGCAGCACAGCGTATCAGAGGAAGCGGAGGCGAGAAACAGGCATACACAGAGGACGATGGAGGCCCTGTGAAGAGAAGCGGGATGACAGGAACGGCCCTTTAGTCAGCTATTTAGCTTTAACTTTGAAAGGACACCCTTCTTTAATAGATCCCTCGCTTCAGAGAGACAAAGACGACAGCTAGCCCTGCAGCAATTAATATCACTGAAAGATGGATGGGTGGAAGGATCAGAGAGATGGATAGGGATTTTTAGTGAGTCGGGGCGCAATGATGATACATGGAGAAAGTTTCACGGTGTGAGAAGGTGTACAAGCATGCGCCTCTGTCTCTGACTTGTGTTTGTATGGACAATACTGTTAGGCTAACAATAACTCTCAGAAGGGAGCCATGTTTTCCTCCTGAAAAGGCAGCACCAAAGCTTTCAAAGGGCGCTAAATTGTAGAACTAGCAGTACCTGAACAGCAAAATGGGCTGTATTCAAAACCAACATCACTGCTTGATATCTTTTCAACACACTCAAATGGGAAGCAATTTCAATTTTTGAATTGGAAAGGCAGAGGTTTGGATATTTTGCACATTTTTACATTTTTTTCTGGTGCTTCTATGAAAAGCCCGGTAACACTTGAGTCTTTGTGAGAGGGGAAAAATGCGAAATGTAGGGACAATGATAAGGTAGCCTCATATTTGTAGATCTTTTTAAACTTACTGTTCAATTTAGTGTAGTTACAGTCCTCCCTCTTCTGGTTGCCCTGCCGACACTAACCACAGCTAGCAGACACAGAGTGCTCTAAAAGGCTTTTTAGGTTGTATCACATGTCATTGTACAACCATGAAAGCCAGCGGTTTGAAAGCTCAGTACTTCCCCCTGAGGTGAGGAGCTGAGGTCTAGGTTGTCGGAAAAAAAGCAACCTCAGTTTCTCTGATGAGTGACACCACAAAAAAGGCGATTACAGAGTAATGGCGGCCATATCTGACTGATGTGATGAAGACAAAACAGAAATGCCAGAGAATGTGACTCAAAAGCGTTACGAAAACAGATTTGTGATCATTTTTTTTTTCTTTTTGTTAAAGAAGTCTGCGCCTCAAAAAGGCTTCTCAGATCTCTGCCCACCTGCTGCTGGTTTGGTTTGTACAGCTTGTTGATGATCAGTGTGTCATTTAACCCTACCCACGCTAACCACCTCAACTTCAGATCCCTGCTCATTTGGGAGAAGTGATCCACTGTGATTGTATCTTGATTACAAACAATACATTGCTGTTCTCTGCAGGAGACCCACCTGACATGATTTCAATTGGATCAACAAGGTTGCGCACACACACACGCACACATGCACGATCTCACACACACATACACACACAGCTTGAACTGAGTGCCACCCACCTCCTTTCTACTCCACAGAGACCTGTTGCCATGGCACTGCTCTTTATAACACGCACACACACGCGCGCACACACACACACACGCACAGAGGAAAAAGTGCAATATTCCGCTCTCGTTTTCCCCTGTTCCACACGGGGGGGGGAGGGCCTTGTTTCAGCAGTCAGGCTATTATTTCACCAGGACTGTTTGCTCATGGCCTATTAGGGGACATGGGGACCGAGACATGACTCAGCATTTTTCAAAAGGGGACACAAACTGACAGGGCACGAGGGCTGCTGCATGCAGTACACTGAATAATAGCACATGGTGGCCATAAATGCACATTTATTGGCAGACTGTTGCAATCTGTCAATAACTCTCAGTGAGTCATGCGCTCGGTGTGTGCATGCCGACGTTCAGGCACACTCAGATTTGGTTTGGATTATGTTCAAAGAGAGGGAGAAGAGAGCGCATATACACACTTGCATATACACCAGCATGACCGCCTGTGAACAAGGTCACTGTGCCCCCTCAGAGAGAAAGTGACAGCATGACAAACATGAGGGCTGGTAGAGGGGGGGAAGGCGTGGTGGGAGAGTGAGGGGGGAAAAAAAGAAGGGAGGTGAGCTCAAAGGAAGGGGAATACTGGGAAGGCCTCTGACAAGAATGTTGTGCTCGCTGACATCAAATGCCATGCCAGTAACTACATCGCAGAGGGTAATCGCTTATGGCAAAATATGTGGCATGAATAAATAGCACGGCCTCTGCATGTAGGAACAACATCTAAGAATAGGATCAGAGGGAAAAGACTGCTCGTCAGTTATGCTGCCTGACGTCCATCGTCTGTCTGTGCAGCACCTGTTTGCCTGCCGGCTTTCACTCCCCTCATCTTGAGCTCAAGAACTTCAAGGCCTCAAAATCTCCACATGGGTGACACCACATGCAAAAGGTAGTGGAAACAAAGATGGCCTTTTTCTTCTGACTCTCTCTCTTACCTTTTGTGGGTTGTGTTCTTAAAATTACATACACAATTGCAGCTCAATCTGGTGGTTTACATTCTATAACTTTACCCAACCTTCGAACACCAACATTTTTGCCTGCACCTCTGATCACAGACCAAAGAACTGGACCCATATATGCAGACACAAACCTTTCTATGCTTAGTGTTGTCGCTGAAGGTCATTCTAAGTTTATAGACCACGCTGCTGCCTCAACAGGATTTTGGACTATGTGGTGCCACTATTTTGTCCAAGCAACACTACACTTAACACTCATAAACAAAATTCTTGACCGTGTCTTAACTCAATCTCCCTGCCATGAATGGTTGCCTCTCCTTTAAATCTCAAGGACATAACCTGCTGGGGTCGAGGATTAATGCCAGCAGGCCCAACAGGTGCAATAGGGGGCAGCTGGGGCAAGGAAGGACAAGAGAGGGCTGTATGTAGTGATAGTGAGACACAAACATAAACAGAAATGTGAGAAAAATGTTCATTTTGAATAAAGTTTCAGGGTTTTTTTTAATAAAAGGAGGAGGTTTGGCTGTCTGAAGTTTGAGGTCCATGTCTAAGACCTACTCGGTGCTGTCTTCACTGACACCACAGTGAAGCTACTACTAACTAACAGCAAAATAAAACACGACAAAAAACAAAAGAAGAAAAAAACACCCACAGAAAATCCATTTAACACAGAGTACTTCTCGAATTCTCCAAGGACACTTATAGTGTTGAAAGTAAAACAGCTGTGCAGGTGCCAACTGTAATCTCTCACTGTGTGGAGGACAAAAATGAATTAGGGAATTGTTTTTGATAAAGCTGAGAAATTGTATCTGTTATTGAATTTCTTTTGTTCCTGTTGTTATTTTGCATCAAGCCTGACTACAGCAAAAATTAGGGAAATCAAATTTCTACTTTAGATGAAAGTTATACGGTCTCCTAAAGGAGCCCCAGTCACTTAACTCTATTAGGACAAAATAATCAAAACAGAAAGAAGCAAATAAGCTCCATCCCTCCGGCCACCAAATAACCTCCCATGACAAGGCAGGAACTAAATCCAAGAAGCTAGAAGACAGTTTAGTGGTTTTTAACACTTATATTGGTCTCAGTGGTGTTAATTTGTAATTGAACTGTCTAAGTGAGTGTGATTGAAAATGGAGAACAATGTGAAGTTTTAAAACAGGCCATTATTCTGCTTTATGTCTCCTGTTATTTAAGCTAAATGAGTCCTGCCGACGCAAATACACAGGTAAGTTCTCTCATCTCATCTCATCTTTGACACTGCAGTTACGGCTGTTATGTCAACAACAACTTTTATCTCAGATGATTCAAAGAGATTTCATAACAGTCTACAAAACTGCTGCTGCTAAAGTGAAGATAAACTGCTGAATTTACAAAAGCAACGATCATGTTAGAAAATTCATATCAGGTATTATGTTCACGAAGGATGAATTTCCTGCAATGCTACATTTGCCTGTCCTTGGCTTGAGTAGCAAAGGCTAGCTTAAAAAAATATGTATATATGGATATGTATATTCAGAGATTTTAAATAGGATTAAAAGGGAAAAGTAATCAGGATGTATCTAATTATGAGCATTATATTTGGTCCTTTTCGTAAAGAGTGAAGTCCCACATTTATCTCTTCATCTTCCTCTTTTTTTCTTCTTGATCTGCTTGCCTCTCTCCCCATTGTTCTTTATTTCACTCGACTTTTCCTCTCTCTCTCTCTCTCTCCCCCCTGCTCGACTTTCTCCCACTGCATAGCTCCAGTGAGCCGACTCCCCGCCAGGCAGTGCAGCCCAGGAGGGAGCAACCAGCTGAATTATTGAGAGCATAAAAACGCTGCCGCTAATGGATCCTGAATAAACACACTGGCTAAGCTGCTCCCGCGGCTTCCTCTGCTGCCACAGGGCATCAAGCTGAAAATACTGAGGTTGAGGATGCAGCAACTGGAGGCCACAGCTGAGGCTTTTGTCTGGGGCTGAGCCAAAGCTATGACACAACCAGAGCCATGCATAGGATTCCTGAATGCATTGGGGGTTTAACCTGATCGTGACTCCTGTTATTGACTAACAGTGGAGGTAGTAAAGCATGGAAACCAGCACATTATAGGAGTTTATTTCTATTTGTAGTCCTTTGTCATTAAAGGCAGGGCTGGGCGATAAACTGAAAATTTACCGATAATGAAATTTACGACAATAACCAATGTCATTTTGCCCATGTCAATATATTTAGTATCAAAAAAATAAACAAATAAAAGTTGGTTTTGAATGTGTGTAGGTAGGCTATGGTCTCGTGTCCCTTTAAGACGCCGTCCTACGTCGGAGATGTAGGACACCTGACAGGGAAAGACAGGTGAGGAGAAGGAGGACGGTTCAAAAGTTGTAGCGGCTGAAGCGGTGGCTGAAGTAGACGAAGTTAATGTGGGAGGGGGTGCGCAGCTTGTGGAGTAGTTATTGTCCATTTTGCCTTATCGAGGTGAACTGCCTAATATATTGTGATATTGATTTGAGGCCATATCACCCAGCTCTAATTAAAAGTGCTGTAAATATCTAAACCAGAGGTATAGTCTTCACTTACGGGGAATATGGAGACTGTAATTTAAGCTTTGTTTGGAGAGTTGACATGATATATTATACAAACCGTACAGTTTTCTTTAAACTATTCAGATTTAACCAATCAATTTACAATATTAGACACTTCACCCTATGCCATGACACTAAGTAAAGAGCAAACCTGCTCACCTGTCTGGTGTTTAAATGTTTAACTCTATGGGGCTTTGTCAGTGAGTTAATTGCACAGGGCCTTTGACGGGTCCAGTCCAAACAAAGTGGCCCAGGTCATTAAGTTTTAAGATGGCACTGAGATGATGAAGGTTATCACAGATTCATGTAATGAGCCTAGGCAAACTTTGTAAGTGTGTGTGTGTGAACAGGTTTGTACTTTGAGTGTGTCCGCCTCTTTTTAACAACTTCTGGATCTAATTCCAGAGAAAGAACCAGAGTAGAGTGTCTTCATCTTGTTCTATGATAATGAACACACTCAGAGGGAAATGAGAAGAAGAGACAGGAATTAAAACACGAAACGGAGAAGCTATGAAGAAAGAAAAAAAGGAGGGAAGAAAAACGTTTTGGCCCTGCAGCAAACTGGAGCTTCTAAGATTATGACTCAGCTGAAAAAATCTGTGTTCGTCTTTGTGGATGAAGCCTGTTTCTGTTTGGATGTGTGGCGGACTTTGCGTGTGTATGTGTGAGGCTGCGTGTGTAGAGAAGGTGATTCCCCTTCTTCTGCCTTATGTAAATGCAGTACAATATGGCATTTCTGCCTGGCAAATCAGAGCTTCTGGGAGGTTTAAAAAAAAAAGAAAGGAAAAATGAGGGAGATTCACAAAGACATTGCCAAAAAGGTGTCACTCAAGCAAGAAACACACACACACTCACACACCACAGACATAAAACAGAACATAGCTAAAAGCAGCCATTATGGAACAGTTGAAGCCCATGGGCAAAACATGCACAGATGCTTGAAATATCACAATTTTCAAAACTGTCATTTTGTCCTCACAGTAACTTCAAAGTACATCAGTAAATCTGATCTGACACACACTGCAATCCCTTGGGGATGAATCCAAGTTATTACAGCATTCAAAGCTTTGACTTTCATTGTTTAATCATCTTCTGGGGCTCAATGGTGTGATGAATCTGGATTCAATATGTAGGCAGCTGAAATATGCTCTGAGTCAGCTTTGTAGGCTTTAAAGATATACTATTGCAAGGCTGACCTGATGGTACTGCAATACAGGACAACTAAAAGTTGCCTGTATCTCATCAAGGTTTCTTTTGTGATAGTCAGTCCCTTTGGGTTTTCAAATGTTGTGATGTGATTCTCAAAGAAGTACACAATTTGAAGGTGAAAAACACAAAAAGGGTTGTTTGGAGTCTCTGGATGCACGAACACGCAATACTCGCCTTTTATGTCTCCAGCCTCAGCTCTGTGGGTCCAGAAATAGAGGCTGCCACTGGCCTCATCTGCCTTCTTTACTACTGCCTCCTGTACTTTCCACTGCACAGCATTTTGCAAACAGCCCTATCGGATGTCAGAATGCAGCCACCAGGCATCAAGTGTGCGTCTGTGTGTGTGTGTGTGTGCACGCGCCTCGTGTTTCTGCAGGGCTGCTGGGATGTTTTCGTATGACAGTGGTCCCAGCTTGTCTCCTCTTTTTGTGTCACATCTTACACAGAGGATGAATTCTTATAGTAACAACACAGAGGTGGGTTCGAAAATAAATAGACGTGGTTATTTTTTTCTTTATTTGTGCGAGCTGAATCTCATCTAATAAATTACATTGTTATCAGGAGATGAAGCCCATTAAACACACTGGGCACATTACCCCGCTGATTAGCTTACCTTCTTCTTGTCTCTCATGGAGCTCTTGCCTCGCACCATGATTTTGCATCCCGTCTCTGCTTCCAACTGTTTGGCTGTGAGTCCCCGAGGGCCAAGGATTCTCCCCACAAAGTTATACTGCAGATAGAAAGAGAGAAATAAACCAGTTAATACAGGTGAAAAGACATCTAAATCTCCTTTACATTAGAATACCAGAATATGAAATCAGAACACAAAGAAGGAGAGGGGTTTGAGAGGCTTACTCCTACTTTATCACCCCCACTGGATGTTAAAATGGCCCCAAATAGAAAATAAAAATTAACTAAGGGGAATAAGACTTGGTGTCAATGTTGGGAGGCAAACAAGGAGAAAATCGAGTTGAGAGGATGTCGAGGGGGAGGTGAGCTGTGTGGAAAGGTAGTGCACTTGACACAATTTTCTTATCAAGGCCCCCTTTCACTGGTGTGTGGCTTTGGAGCTTTGTACGGAAAGGAAACGTATTTAGCGACGTAATCCCCGCCACTTGAAACTGGCTTCCAACAGGATAAAGGGAAAATGTGTTGAAATAATCCAACACAATTTTCTGCCAAAATAAAAACAGAAGGGAAGGGAAGGAGAGAAAGGAGAGGTGGAGGGTGGGGGAGCACGGTGACGCATAAAGAGGTAAACAAACCATCCGTGTTTAAACAGCGCGCACAGCAGCTGGTGGAGTGCATAATGGGTAAAAAGATCTCTGACACTATTAAAACAAGATATTTGTACCCAAGCTGAAATCCAGAACCTGAAATATTCAAATGCTCACTGACACAGTGGAGCGCTTTTTCTTGATGATGAGAACACAACTGTTCATCGCCTTAACTGTTACAATGAGCTGTGACACAGCTGCATTAAATTCTCAAATGCAGTCACATCTGCTTATGCACTCTGCCGCACCCACGCCACTGTGAAATCCAAAGGGCCATCAGGGAAGTCACATTTAATTACTGGGGGATTACAAATAGGATGCAACGTTGGTGTGTTTCCCTTAAACTACGTGAACAAACGGAACCGACGAAACCTGAAGGCTGTTTCTTTTTTATTCTGCCGACGTCACTCGGCTCGCTTGCAATCGTAGCCTGTCTGTCTGTGACGGGAAAGACACACCCCGAGATGCCGAAGTCTCCCCAGATGATCGTAGCATGCAGCTATACGCAGGCTTAATGCGTGTGTAGCTTGGTCACAAGGCAGCTGTCTGTTTGGTTAACTTGCATCAAGGAAACTGGTGCACGGGGCTATTTGTGATAGTGTGTGCGCCTGCTGAGGGACACAGAGGCACCTGTCGTCCGAGGTCAGCCACCAACCGCGCGCGGTCGCCTGCTGCTGACTCGCATGTAAACACACACATATATGCGCACAAACACGGCCTGAAGGAGCGCAGGAGAGAGCTGTCTGTCTGCATCACAGCACCCGCTCTAGACAAGGGTGAACCCCGAGCTCTGAGCGTTATGCTGGTGTTCCCACACACACACACACACACACACATAAACAGACCTCTAGCCTATTAAACACAAACTCAGTGTCCTGTAATGTCCTTGGTGCTGTTATAAAGCTTACCCTGCTAGCAAATAGCAATATGAAAAATGCTAAGTGTCAAGTGGCTCGTACAAAGGAGTACACAAACAAAGTTTTAAAAGTTTTCCTTCTCCAGTTCTTGTGCTGAGAAGACATGTGATGGTTCCCAACAGCCTGACAGGCTACAAAACCTTCAGTCAGAACCAATCCTATCTGGGCTGAATGTAAATACAGTGAATGAATGACAAAGCGAATGCCAAATAAACTACAAAAGGGGGAAAAATACACCAGATTAAACACCCGGTTTAAAAAAGTGCATTTGAATTGTCATTGTACGTTCTTTAATTCTTACAACACCCCCTGTCTGAGAGCAGAAGGTGGTTGGGACTTGACAGTGACCTGGGTGTGACTGAAGACAGCTGAGAGAAATAAAGAGAGAAAAGGTTAGAGAAGATGTCAGAGGGGAAAAAGTTCGTGAATGTCTCATCTTTCAAGAACTCGGGGGAGGGCAAGAAGGGCCAATGTCGCCGTCACATTCCTTCCACGCTCTTTCCACACTCGACTCCATGTGATGGGGCACTCAGGGATAAAGGGTGAAGGCAGGCCAATACATGTGAAGGGCTCAGGTTTAATGCCCCCACCCCCACGAAGTGAGGGCTTCTGGGTAAAGGCCTGTCAGATGTCAGCCTCGAGTCAGATGTGTTTTTATGGTGACAGACATAATCACAACAAGTGGTTTGGGGGGCGCGGCGCATAACAGGCGTCCCGTCTGGCTGAGGAGTTACCGCAAGTTTCACTCACGCACACACATCACACGAGGAAAAATTCAGCAAAAAAACACATCAAAAGAGTGTTTCTGATGAAGCTTCTCACCACAGTCTGGCAAAGTAACAAAAAATGAGTCCACACACTTCAAAGTGTAACTCCACAGTAAATAAAAATAATGCCAAAATCATCATGTGATGGAATAAAGCTCGGAGTTAAGTGTAGCTAGCGGCTCTCGCTGTTTGCTGGTTTGCCGCTCTCGTGAAGGGCTTGACATTCTCCTTGTGGATGGTGATATGCTGTTAGAAAAGGCGACCTCCATTTTAAGCCACTGGAATGTAGAGACAATGGAGAGCCAAGCGGGTGAGTTATCAGAAGGGTGCAGGGCCATTTGAGCCTGCCAGGAACTCCACTCAGCACAGCCAGAGGAGTGGGATGGATACAGTGCCCTCACTGCCAAATACACTATTCGCTCTTCACCTCCTCTTGCTAAACTATCTAGCCTCCTCCGCACCGACTAAAAAAAGCAAGTTTTCATCTTCTATTTTCTATTTCGGCTGTTACATGGACTTTCCAAAGAGCCAGGTCTGGGAAACACCACTATTTTCTGGCTGGGTTTCAAAGCTCTGTGCCCTCCAGAAGCCCTTGAAGCTGTCACTAGTGACAGGGAGTTTTCAACGTGCTTTTGACAGCCTGAAAATTAACACCAAGACAAAAAAAGTGTGTCTGTTAAATGGTGGGGCTTAGTAAGTTTCCCATGCTCCTTGTTATCCAGATAATGAGAAACAGCAACCAAGTATTCTGAGATTGAATGAAACAACTAAAAAAAAAAATGTTCATTTATATTTACCAGCTATGCAGTCTCAGCAACTGCTTTTTTAATTTTTTTTTCTCCTGATCTTTCCATCATTTAAAGATTAAAGAACAGGGACATTTGCTGGACAAACTCTTCTCTCTTTTTCCAATCCCATTTATCTGTGTTTTGCCAAGTTCCTCAAACAAACACAGAAAGCACATACAGTATACTCAAACACAGCTCATAGCACAAACAGAAAGAAAAACGGACAAACACACACAGACACACACACATACACACAAACAGAAAGCCCCCTTCAGGACGAGGGCTTACAGTGACATTAAAAGGCCTTTGTTTAGCCCCAGTTATCACTACTCCACAGGCGGGTTATGCTCTGAACATTTCTACGTCTTTGCCAGTGTGTGTTTATGAGCGGGAGTGTGCGTGTGTGCACAACCACATTACATGGAGTGAACTCTCGTAGACACCCTCAGCACCCCATGCTGATTGTCACGTGGGTTTGCATGTGTTTGTGCATCGGGATTTGTTTTTTGTGGGAACAACTAAGAGGCAACAGCAGTTCCACCGACAATGCTCAGAGACTCGGAACAATCGAGCCTTTGACGGCTGGTTTGTTTGTGGTGGTGTGGAGACAGGAAATGAGATCACGCTGCGGGCTCTGGGTGTGCGTGTGCAGGGCTTATGGAAGAGCGGGGCTAGGCCGGGGAGAGAATACCAATTGCTTATTAGCCAGCCTCGCCAAGCTAATGGAAATGAACAGTTCAGTCAGTGTGATGTATCAAAGCAAAGGTGGGATCTGTGCTTACACCAGGCACGGCCATCTCTCCCTCTGTTTTCTATCACTCCCTTTCCTCAGCCCACTTCCTTCATGTTACAACATATTGTGAAACAGCTCATTCCACTGTAATGGTCCACCATTTATCACAGCAAAACTCCCCTTTCCCTCACACACAAAAATACCTCAATTCATTTCAAGTTACAGTGTTTGGAAGCTTCATTGTAGGGCAGAGAGTTGGACTCTCCTCTTACACGTTTTCTGCACCTGGTGTCCATTCATAAAGTTTGGAGACTATGCAGGCTTCCTATTACTCTTTGTCTGGACACACAGGATCTTCCTCTTCTGCCTCTGCCTCGAACAGCAGCACATACTCATGTTTCTCTACAGCCACACACAGTCCCCCTTCCCTGGCTGCCTGCATTTTATCAGTCACTCATATTTCAGCTATAATGCTCCATCATTCAATTAATCCAACTAACTGACCCTGAACTCTGCAGCCTGTTTACCACAACACTCACACATGAATGCACAGATCGCACTAAAAGGAAAAAGAGAGATGGGCTGGAGATGAGTCAACAGCGGTTAGCATGCTTGATCTACAGGGGGGACAGAAGAGGTGAGGCTGGGACGATGAAGGAGTAATAATATTTTAAGTTTGATACCAGTGGTGACATTTTCGCCTCAAAGCCCTGTAGACTTCAAAGCTCTCTATTCAGCACATCCAGCATTTAGCGCCTAATCCATGACTCCTTTCATAATTCTGTTTGGGTTTATTTTGGGGTTGCAGGCAGAGTGGAAATACAGGGGAGAGATGGAAGGCGTAAAGATTGATGTCGGCTAGACGTTTGGAAGATGTGAGTGAGGGAAGTGCGGAGCAAAGTTTTTGAACTTTCAGAAGCGAGCAGCAGAAACAGAAAAATAAAATCAGAAGGAAGATGCTGAACAACATTCAGTCTCTCCCTGAGTGGTCTCGCATTTATCACAATATGCTGGTGGAAAAACTGCCCTTTGACAGAACGGATGGAACCGTAGACAAGTGTGTGTCATGATGTGCTGTCTTATCAAACTCTCTTCAGGCTTGCTGCAGGTAAAAACACCTATTTAAAATCTGCTGTTTGGACCTTTAAATCAATTTAATACTGGAGGAATTAAGAAGTGTGATTCTTTGGACTTTTTACCCCTCATCTCTGTCAAAAAGGTCAAGTCCAAACCTTTAAAAAACAACGCCACGTGTCACTTAGGACAGGAAACTGTAATTACACTATGATCAGATGATCAAGAATCAGCTGCATCACTCATGCCTAAACTTTTGCGTGCTTATCAGCTGACTGGCAACAACTGACCACAATATGAGCTAATAACAAGAACACAGATCCAGAGTTGTCCCACATTTTAAAGGGATGATCCTAAGACTGGGCGATTATATGATCGTGATAAATTTCAGTTCAATCATAGTGATCAGCTGTGAGCATATTTAAATGTGCGTCACTACGGCCAATCAGAGTCGAGCTTTTCCTTCTCACTTCTGTAAGTTACCGGAGGAGTAAACAGGAGAGGTGAACAGAATGACTGAACATGGAGATAAATGCTGAGCTGAGGGCAGAAAAATAGTTGTCAGGCGTGACTTTGAGTCATCTTCCGAAGATGTTACTTTTGAGAAGTTATTCAATGTCAGTTGTGTTGTGGTGGTTCAGGTATCTCCAAAGTGACGTCAAGTAATTAAGCGGATGTGCAAGGTATGTTGGCGGTTGGTGCCCATAAAAACCTGCAACACAACAGATCTGTTTAATCATTCGAAGAAGTACCTCCCCAATGATTATGCGGGAAGCATGAAAATGTGAGCGGAGTCTGTACAGCCTGTCACTGCTGACAGCACAAGTAGCATTAGCAGTTTAGCCACAACTAGCGGTGCAGCCACCAGACCTAGGCAGCGATTAATCGTATCATCTACATTTACATCATATAATGTTTACATTTTAAGGTGTCTTCATTATCTCTGAGGGGGCGATTTGTTTATTTTGGGTCTTGCATACATGCAAAAACACTCACGACTGTAAACTAATTCACTGTATTATTTAGTATTTATCTACATTTGTTGTACTGTTGAGTAGAAATGTTTTTTTAAATATTTTTCGATGTTTCTTATTTAATTTGCTTTGTTATTTACTTTGTGCGTTAAAAAAATGTTGAACTAATCTCTAGTTTCTTTAGTTTTTAGTACAGATGCTTTAAAACGGGCAATTTTAAAAAAAAAAAATTGTGATAATAATCGAGATCAGACGATACGACAAATTATATCGTGATCATTTTTTTTGCCAAATCGCCCAGGCCTAGATGATCCCCCCCTTCTTGGTATGTACATGTCATCGATATTTTCTTATGTAGACAGATCCATGCCAACAATGATTTTCAAAAAGACAAGATATCAGTGAAATCATGATGGGATTGTAGTTCAGCTGGAATTATCATTAATGCTGCTCTATCTTTCAGTGCGATTCATAAGCCCTGACGCAGCCTCTGAGCCCTGAGTGGTCAACCTTTCCTCTCCTTTGTCCTGGTTCAGTTTTCTCTTTCCTCTGCCTCTCGGTTGAATCCTTTCTGAGACAAACAGGCAAAGAAGAGCCAAGTACAAATTCATAATATGCAAGCAATCAGGGGCATTAGTACACTTATAAACACACATTTAACAGCTCACACTGTTGCCCTTTGTCATGTTCACTGTCTAAAACAAATAGAGTCCTCTCTGTTTAAATTATCTTTGTAATTACCCTCCTCATCAAATAGCTAAGTAGAAAACCACCCGTTCATCAAATTATCATCATCCTGCATGGCTGGCTAGCTACAGATATCAAAATCCTCCACTCTGCTGCTCTGTCAGTGAGGTGAGGCGAGGTGTGGGGCGGTACATTTCTAGGGCTGGTAATGACTTAAGGGGGTCAGAAGGATATCAGGGCTGGCATGATAAGTGATGACACCCCCATGGGAGCAAGCTTAATGACTCTGAGTGTGCAGGGAACTGGCCGGTTTGGTCCGGGCAATTTTACTGCAGTGAAACAGAGAGGTCTGGGACATCCTGTCTCCTTAAATCACCTGTATCTTGTGTCTGTGCACTGCAGTCAGAGCGAAGCATCGTCGAGGGCTAAAGCTAATTTTGCCAATTTCTTCATTGAAAAACAAAAATAAATGTACATATACTTCCATCTTGTGGAGTTTCACCGCCTCATTTCATTACCTGGAACAAAAAAAAACACCAACAAAAGGATCAAAATTCGTGGGAAAGGGCTCAGTCAGTGAGTTACTTTTCTCTAGCTTTGATACACTGATGAACAACAGCAAAACTTCCACCCCTGTCTCTAACAACTGGGCCAATAGAAACTGTATTGATCTTTTCCAAGGTGACAATTTGTTTGCACTGTTCAATTGGATTCATTAGCCTCCAGAACAGAAACCGATAACCAAAAAATATAGACCTGATGAGGGATCACACATCTGCTCTTCTGAGGATTGATAGTACCAGACACTTCAAGTGGAGCGGAAGAGAGCAAATTGGTGTTGGGGGTTTTAAAAGGATTCCATGTCTGAGGTAAACAACTGTGAGAGGCATGACACTGCCAAAACTCCAGACAAACACAGCCACAGAACATACACACCAGAGCTGTGCCGCACAGCTGCTTTTACAGGCTGATGAATAAAACCGATCTTTCACCTCTCTTAGGCAAGGAGAGTGTCCCATTTCACAGAGTTCGGACAGCAAAGTTGGAGTCCATGTGCGTGTTCGTGTGTGTGTTGTCACTACTAAGCACTGACCTGCCCACAAGCAACCCAACAGTTTGCAAATACAGGCACACTGGGAATAAAAGAGGAGACAAAGACACACTTAAAAGACATGTCACACATCCTATCAGCTGCCTGAAGGTCAACGGAAATGACATGCTGAGCTGTCAGTCAGCTGCCTGTCAATGTGTGTGTGAGCGTGTGCTCGGGAGAGAAGCGGAGCCACAGATAGCGTTTAATTGAAGGTTGAAGTTATCAGATAGCCTGCGACTCAGCTGTCACTCAAGATGCAGTCACCACGGTGACGCTCCACGGCGCTCTGCACCACTGACGACATCAGGAAATGGCTGACTTTGAAGTACAGCAAGAGAGCAGGTAGCAAGACACATCGGCAGACAGGATGATAGAGACACAGGGTGACGCACAAACACACACTTACAGATGTGGGGCACACAGGCGGGTGCACACAGGCCATAGGAGGGACACACTTAAGGGAATTAGAGTGGAAGCATGCTGGCAAGGCAAGTTATTTTGGTAAAGTTGACATGAGGTACTGCATCCTGGCACCAGGACAATCTAATTATCTACCAGGGAAACGAAAGCAGGCAACACTTTGGCGGGACAGAGACAGCCCCTCTGAGGAAGAGTGGCTGTGCTGTGAGGGGATATGGCAGATAAAAGTAAAATGGGAATTATGTTTTGCGATCAAAGTCGAAGCTGAAAAGGTGGTGAGTAAATCCAAGGTGTTTCAAAAAGTGTGGAAGAATGGCGAAGATGGGGGAAAGTATGAACTAGGATTAATCTTCCATGGCAGGTGAGCTGATGCCAAGAACACAAAACATAGACTGGGGCTATTAGTCCCGGCTTTCTTGGGAAAACCTGGAGTTGCATTAGCAACACGCACAAGTGCACAAACTGAAACACATGCCTTTTCTATTAAGGGAATCTGGGAGATCAGACGCAAACGTGAGAGGGGGGAAATATTCCCAAGTCTAATAATCATCATTACAGTGTCCTGTCCTTTTAGCAATGAGCAGGAAGGAATAGGACGTGGCATTTTTCTTCTCTTCTTTCGTAGTCTTTCCTCTCTTCATTTCAAAGCTGATCCCACACCATCTCCCCTCTTATCCCACCATTAAATGATTACTCTTTCTATCCTCCAAGGAAATACTAACTGTATACAGATCCACTGTAGTGTCTCTCAAAGCATTGAGTACATAGAGGCATCAAATCTCTTAAATAAATGGTAACAATTTATCTCTGCTACATCATAATACTCAAAAGTGTTTTGATGACTTTATTGGGAAATTTTTGCTCGTAAACACTGTTAGGTCTTTGACACCAGGAAAAGAAAAAAAGGTCTCAAGTCCAGAGCTACATCTATCTGGCAATTTTCTGTTTCTCTGAACACCTCATGTCCCTATAAAGAGGAAGGGTTTTGTATGTGTTACAAAATGAGTGTCATTGTGCATTGCCAGAAGGGTGTATTTTTCTCTTCTTGCACATGTTTACACTCATAGTAAGTGTGTGTATAAATTTCTCTCTCTTAAGGGCGTCAGTGAGTCATCTCGGCCACCAGGGGGAAGCCTAATTAATTTAGTGTCTTTTGCGGCGGATCGTAAACATAATACTGAGTTACAGCCTCGCTCGGCGCAGAGCGGCACAGCACACAGAGCAAGGCAACACACGGGTCATCTGAGGATGCCACACTTTTTTATAGTCTGTTTGTGTCCATATGTGTGTGTGTGTCTGTGTGTAAGTGCGAGCGCGAGTGAGTCAGTCCATTAGTGTCTTTACCACAACTGGTGGCAGACCCATCTTCTCAGACCTCCCCTCACTCTCCTATAAAACGCACACAGCCTTCTACTGGGTTAGTTACAAAGCCCACCCACCTACACACAATGCAGGGATTTCAGCTGCAGGGTAGAACATGGGATCCCACAGCTAAAAAGGTAACAATCGGAGCCTTATGGCTTTAAATAGCGTTTTCTGCATGGACTGCATTATTTCAGAGGGAGAATATGACCTTTAAAACAACTGAAGCTTCGACTACAAAAAAACTGCTGAACAAGGAGAACCTGAACAGACAAGCACACAATTAAACAAATTCACAGACCTGACTTGAACTTTCAGAGAGGATGTGGATGTAAAACATCTTATATCATTGCTCAATTTACACTATTAAGGAAACAAAAAGGTTTTTATTTAAATCATAGATGAAGTCGCAATACTTTAACTAAACTTTGCAACTAAGAGAAATAAAATCCAGCTTTTTGTAGAAATACCAATGATACAAATAAAAGTTCAAGACGGTTAGGACAGACAGAGACTGTCTAAGGATCTGAAGTCCTGCACTGGAGATGAAAGGTCAAAGACTGTGTTGTCGCTGCTTGATTTAGTTTGAGCTTGGAGGCTGAGTCTGTTGGAAGGGTCAGCTGAAGCTAAGCTAATCCGAGCTAGTCCCCTGTGCCCTTTATCAATTCTGTCAGGGGGAAAATGCAGTCCACGCCTGGCCGGGCTGGGCCCTGCTCTAGTGTCTCTTATCCTTCGTCACCTCCCTCCATTCATTTCCCCCACAGCAAGCTGCTGGGATTACGAGGAGAAACGCTGCTCCCCCAAGATGGGACACAAGCATTCGTGTGTGCGCCAAAGATTACCTCGAGGAGAGGGAGGTGACCGACCGACCACGGTTTCAAACTTAGGTTACACTTGTTCTGCGGGGCTCTGCTCTTATATAGGTCCATCTATAATTCTTTAGATAAGGGGTTTTACTGACTTCCATTGAAGCCCATTACACATAGACAAAAAAGGAAAGCACCAGTAGTATCAAAAAACAAGGGAAAAACATACATGTAATTTTAATTTTTACCTTAACATTAGCAAAAACTATCCCCGGAGTTCTTTGGTGAAAGCTTTGTCATGTACTATACTTCTTCAGCTGAGTGTGACTGAGTGCATGTAAATACATATCCCCATCTTAAGCACTGTTATGACTAAAAAATGGTAATGTCAAAAGATTTCCATCTCCTTCAAATGAATATTTATGAAATTGCAGCTAACTTTTTATGGCACTCTTTCTTCATCCTCTCCGTCTGCCCCTCTAAGTACTAATCTACCGCTGAGCTGGCCCATAAACACCCCAGCATGCCATGTTTTCCTGCGAGTAAGGCCTATTAAGACCGCAACCTGATACAGCTTTAACGGCAGTCCATTAACAACTTGAACATGCAAGTCCACCAGCTTTTGTTTAGCAAGTGTAACTTAAAAAGAGCAAGAAGGTAATGGAGACTTAAAGAAGCTTAAAGAAGAGCAGGGGAAGCACATGTGTGTGAGAGTGAACAAGAATGTAGAACAAAAACAACCAGATCATTTCAGAAGTGTCTATGTCCTCAGTGCTGACAGATTGTTGAACCATCGACAGCTGACATTCCACTGATGACACACCATTAAGACACACAGCCTCGAGCAAAGGGCCAACCACATGCGTGGGTGTTTGTGCGAGTGTTCATTTGTTGTGCATCTCCTCACACAAATTTTGAATCAGTAGGTTCTCATTTAGCTTTTCAACCAAACTTTTAAAAGAAAAAAAAAAAACATTTGCTGTATGAAATGAGAATGAAAATACAAAAATATGCAGCTACTTACATCGGGGTACTCTTTGACAGGCACAAACAGTTTTTCCTGCAGGTGGACGATGGGTCCTGTAGGCTCAGGCAGCTCCAGAGGGTGTCTGTCCACAAGGCCATTCACTGTGTCGCTGTACATGTCTTTACGCACTCTGTTGATTTCTGTAACACACAAACATGTGCACTGCGGTGAGCAACTGCAGACTAACAACAAACTCAACATTTCTCTAATACATCAGTGTTCAATTGATTTCCACTTGTGGGGAAAGGCTTAATGTAGCATATAAATCTGAGCGGTATAAAAGAAAAGAACGGCAACAGAAATTTGTCAGTTGCCTTGAGTAATGTTTGTCATTTATCGACAAACAAATGTGTAAGTTCGTTTTCAGGGAGTAAACAAAGAGCTATCACAGCCTGGGAGAGTGAAAATATGTGACAGTTGAGCATGGGTGCTTCCTATTACCTGCAGGAAAATGTTGTTTCTCAGAGAAAATTCACAGAAAAATGATGTGTGTATTTTTTGGGAGTTTTTTTTTATTTTTTTTATGCCAGGGCCAAAGTTAAGTACTGCATTATTTAGGGGTTAAGACCACTGTCTCTGCTTTCAGCTTTATGCTCCCCAGCGGCTGTTCACTAATAGAGTAGTGAGTGAGCGAGCAGCTGGGCAGGTGGGGAGAAGAGACGCAGAGAATCGCTCAGGTACATGCCTTCAGATCTGATCCCTCTGTCAGATAAAACTAATGGACCTCCCTTCTTATGCTCGCTTTCATACACATACACAGCTGACAGAGCCTTCTGCTCTGACCGCCTTTCAAACACACACACACACACGTGTACCTTTAATTCATACAATATGACCGATTCTGTGGCTCACCTGAATTCCCACAACAGAGAAACGCTGTGTCATGCAGCCTGAAAAAGCATCCATTCATTCTGTGTGTGTGTGTAGTTGTAACACCCATTATAGGGGAGACAAACTGGTTGCCCTTTCTAACTTCCCACAGCACAGAAACAGTCATGCAACTGCTGAAACTAATAGTAAATCAGCAAGAAATGACAGGAGAAACTTTCTCAACAAAAGACACAAATACAGTTTTCCAGCTGAACAGCTGGAACTAAACGGTTGTGCTCGTGACACCTCAAGGCATGACATGTGTGAGGTGGGGGTTTCGGCACTATCGCTATGTCTCATGAGACTTCAGGCCAGTTGGGAGTCTTATTTTAAACTCTAGCAGGGGAACATGACACTCAACTATAGATGGCCTTAGTGAAGCATGCCTGACCTCAAGGCCTTCACCTCTCACCAAGGCAAAAATAGAAGGTGGATTAAACTTACATAACTAGGATTTTGTGTGGTTCTAGTCATTGTTTAAAGCAGGAAGAGTTACACATTTGGACAAACTGAATTAAGAGTAAAACTCAGCTCTGAAAAATAAAAGATGTTTTTAATCCGGGAATCAGTTTTTTACGAGTTCCCTGTCCATCTGGAAAAGTTTGTCTCTGGATACTGCCGATGACAGACGGACAAATGTGTGATTGATGAGCTTATGGACACTGACAAGCTAACACATAAGCATCTGGCCTGCAGCTGTGTAGAAAAAAAAAACACCTTGCAGGACAAGTACTTTGCGAGCCAGTGGAGCGGCTGCTCCCAAAACAACATGATGTCAGCAGTCTGTGGTCCACGCAGACACTCCCTGTCCTCCCTAAACATTGATTCAGCTTCATGGTATTCTGACCCACAGGACAGATTACATCAGTCTTGAACGACACGAGCAGCATCAGGCTTTGGTGTAAACAGACGGGTTTGGCATTGAGACATTAAGAAGGGAGATTATTGGGACAGCATGACCCAGTGAGTAATAAGTCATCTAAAAATGCATTTGATTGTGTGTCAAAAACAGGGCTTGACACTAACTTTTTCCACAAGGAGCATATGTGTTCCTAAGTTGAACAAGTAAGGAGCACACAAAGAACTTTAGGGACACGTTGAAAATTGATCAAATAATGTGTGTCTTATTGGTCGATTTAAGTATTATTATTTGAAATCAATTCTAGGTCTTCTGGTCACATGACAGGTATTACTATTTGAAATAAAAAAAATTTTATGCGCACATGTAACTAACTACATTTTATAATTTTTTATTTGCAAATGCGAGTGAAACGGTCGCTTTGTCGAGCCCTGAAAAAAGACCTCACAGCAAGTATTTAAACCACAGATCCTTTCAATGGCTTGAAGAAAACTCACCCACTGTCTGATCACTCATAGTTAGTATCTCCGGAAAAGAAGATCGCTATTAAAAGCCATGCTGTAAAATTGAAAATGCCCCTACTTACTATAAATCTTCCGACGTTACTTGCTGCGTCTGTCACTTGAAGCTAACATTATTAAACACAGAAGAGCTATTTAACAGACCACTGGTGGGCTAAGCATGTGTGTAGGAGCCATCAATGACAGGGGAAAGAGGAGCCAATGTTCTGTAGGTTAGAAAATCACTTCTCTGCACATACTTTACCACAAAAGCAAATATACTGGATGCTTTTTGCTTCTTAGGAACACTCATTCTTCAGATGAGTGGAGAGAATAAAACGAGGAAGTGTGTGCATGTGACAAAGCAACCCCAACAACTGCCGACAGCAGCGGCAGCAGCAGCAGCAGCCCCCACCGTCTTCTAATTCTGTTTCCTCTCGCTGAAATGCCACATTAACATAAGGGGGCCGTGCTGGGCCATCAGCGGAGACGTGCGGCATTTGACAACCTCTAATTTCAGTGCGGCAAGTCTCTGCTGAAGCGCTGTGCTCACCTAAAAATTACCCCCTGCCTTGCTCGACCGATGCAATCATTTGTCTAGCTGTCCACCCCGGCAGGAAAAGCAGATTTTCAAAGAAAGACAACATGAGGGGACCGTGGATTACTATCTCAGGAAGGAAGAAAAGTAGAAAAAGAGGACAGCTAGCTGGAGTAAGAAGGGGATAGGTCACCAGTGAGAAAATTCTCTCAAAGTGAAGAACTAGAGGGTTAGCATTTGGAGGATTTGCATCTTTTCTGTACAAGGGTTAGGAAAAGATTCCTCATTTGAGATCCCGTTACTCCCCCTAAGTTCAGTGTGTCATTCATAGCCCTTGACTCAGCAAACCACACACACACAAACAGCACTTTCTGTCTGAGCTGTCTGTTTACCCGTGAGGGGTGTCTATGTACAGACAGGAACAAAAACACGGGCACACTCAGGAAGAGATCATGATATCTGGGTTGAGCATTTTACCCCGACATCTGTCAGGAAGAGACAAAAATCAACCTTGAGAGTTGTTGGAGGGCAGAGAGGAGACAGGTTTGATGAGACAAAGACAAAAGAGAAGCACCAGAATGATCAACCACAGCGCTGAGCAAGCACATTGCTGCTGTGTTCTGCTTTTTTCTGCGTCTGTGTAAGTTGAACCCTATTTCATTTTATCCATTTCTCCTTTTGTGTTTTTCTCAAATTTTTTTTTGCCCTTCTTCTCAAAATCTGCAGTCAAAAAAAAAAAAAAAAAAAAAAAGACGAAAATGTCACAGGCTGCGGCTGAAGATCTTTCTGCCCTTTGAAAGCTCAAGTAAAGAGATGTTTTTGCCTCATCTTCTGGGCGATCTCAGAAAAAAAAGGGTAGATGAATATCTAACAAAAAGGATAAGGAAGAAGAGAGCCATAAAGGGAGGGATTTTAAAAGGTACTGTATAAAGGATGATGCAAAAGTAGTTGGATTGAGCCCTTTCGCTAGTATTAATTGGTTTGGTCTGTTTGAATATTTCATCTAACAATTAAGAAACTGTGCTCAAGAGCCTGGACTTTGGCACTGGAGGTGTTTGTCCTGGTTTTCATCCAGGCAGTACACTTGTTATCAGGAATATTGACCAGTAAGGAGAATTAATCAATCTGCAACGACATTCCAGCTCCCACTGGTAGCAGTCTGTCAACAAATATAGCTCTATCAACAGATTTCTGCACACAAAAAGGGGTTATCTATCTGTTCTAGATCAAAATGCCTATAGGTATAGGTAAAAACAATAATCATCACAGAGGCTGATTATTGGTCCGCCGCTATTTTTAATTATTAAACAGTAAAAGGTCCTTTCACACCGTTTTTGTCGTGCGATTATTTCGGACGTCAATATTTATTTTTCGAAACCATATCCTGTCAACACAAGCGTTCACATCAGAGATGTTTTCCCATCCTGCTATATTGCAGCATTTTTTTTTTTTTAGGTCCACGGTCGATTTTTTAAGTTCCGCATATTGTGTGTCCATTTCTGACCAATCAGATTGCGTGTTGTTGCGACGTCAGATTCACCGGTATATCAAACATGGTCGACCGGCTGATTGTTTACATGTCTGAGAACAGAGTGCTTTTTGATAAAAGACACAAACATTACAAAGATAATGACCTGAAAGACAACATAGCATCGGATCTCTCATATGACGATAGTTTGTGTACTTAAACATTTTGCTAAACATCTTTGTTTTAACTTTCATCTGCGCTAACGTAAGCTAACGGCTGTTACCATAGTTTCATGTGCTTATCTTATCATCTCTGATTGGCTGTAAGTGCTGACCGTTTGGCTTGAGCGTGTGATGATGTTTCCAGCTTTTCTAGCCAATCGGAGGCGAAGGAGGCGGGACTTTTCCCGGCAAAAGTCTTCCCCGAGATGCGTATTTTTCCCTCCGGAAAGTCGCAAAATCCCATCGGGCTTGATGTGTATAGTCAGGCGCGTCAAAATTCGCCTCCAAATATTTCATAATTTCACGTTCTATATTTGAGTCACCCCGGTGTGTAAGGACCTTAAGTGTAATTATTGAAAATGTAAAATGTGTTCAACTACTGTGACAAAGCTTAAAAGCAGCGTGACTAACTGAGGAGAACTCTTCAGCCTGGCTCCTATCCTCACCATGACTGGTTTTAGCTAACCAATTATCCCTGCCGTACCAGGAGAAAAGCAGTGGAAACAGCAGCCAATGGCACCGAGGCAGATTTTCACCGACGTAGAGACCATTAGCTATTGATCAGACAGTGCAGAACTAGGCCTATACTGGTGAGACATGTGCAGCAGGGAGGAACAGATAGAAGGGGCAGGGGGAAAAAAAATCCATTAAGTGAATCTAGTCATCTGAGTGAGTGATATTTGACAGAGTTAGTCACCATGAACACCATGGGATAGGGAGGCTTTTCATTTATTTACGCTAAAACGTGATCGCACTAAAGCAGCACAGGCAGAATCAAGAATGAGAGAGGAGGGGAAGATTAGCCACTGACGGTGGGGGTGTTTCTTACTGTTGCATCTCCTCCCCCCCGACATGATCTCATGAATGTAAACACAACATGAAGGAAAACACTGAATGTAAGTGAGAAAGGGAGAGATCAAAGACAGGCGAGACAGAAAAAGGAGAGGTCAGAGGAATATTAAGAACAATGGAGAAGTCCAGGAGGGATACAGTAATCAGGTTTAAGACCGGTGGAGATCATTCTGCTAGACCTGCTCCGCTAGAGAACAGGAACAAGTCCATTAAGAGCCCAAAAATAGACCCTGCTCCATAGCTGCTTTGTCCTCACCCTGTAGCTCTGAGCAAAAGGCCTTCCGACCCTGCTGAGCACATCTGTCCACACAAGTGTGAGAGAAAGAGAGAGAGAGAGAAAGAAATCTAATGCCTGAGGAATTGGAGGGATCCGATTTGCCCAGGGAAAGCTGCTTTAGATGCCTTGTGATGCCTGGTATTAGGCTGATAATATCTGGCACCTGACACAGATTGAGTGTAACACCAATTAATGTTAAAGCAATGATCAAATATCACTCTGTGCTGAGGGACTAAACATGTCCTCCCTCTTTGGGTCAGTTAAAGATGAAAAAAAAAAAAAAAACAAGAGTTCACATTTCGTCCATATTCCCTGCATGCATAGTATGCAGGAGTGCTCAATCAGGTTTTGAAAAGGTGAAAAAAGGTAAATACAAAGAGAAAAATGTGGCAGCCATGTCCAAAAAAAGAAAAAGAAAAAAGAAAAGGAAAGCAATCACAGATGCAGCTAAATGTACGCGTGCAGAGTGAAACAACACTCAGGCAAGGAACAAGCCTTTTCACTTTAAAGCTGTGCACTTTAGCAATCACAAAGCCCGGCTACCCGTTGCAAGCGAAAGGATTTGGGCGTTTAATGCATTCCTGCCCTTTATTCACGGCACAGACGACTTTATCCAAGACGACACTCCACTTCAACAGTTTAGGGGTTTGGCAGGCCAAGCATATGAAAGACGGAGGTTTCTTTTAAAGCAGAGAGCAGAAGTATAGCGCGCAATGGTGGGGGTGACTGAGCCATGAAAACATATGCATTTCTGGGTCTTATCATCTTCTCACAGCCGCCTCTCTCTCCCCTCCCCTTTTGTGGAGCAATGAAAAAAAGTTTCCTAGTGTCTTATTTTTCTTTCTAATCTTTGATTTAAGAGAAGGCCCACACTGCTTTTCCCTCTGATGTCTGTGTTCTTTTACCATTAATGAGCAAGTTGTTTTTACAGTATCGTTCAAGAAGAGAAAACGTGTTCCAGCGCTCACGAGGAAAAACACCTGGTTTAGAGCAACCACTTCCAACTGTAACATAATGTACACAGAGCAGGAAGCCTAGTCTGGTTTGCAGCATAGATTCAGCCTGTAGAACCTGCTTGAAAAAGATATTGCAGGAGAAGAGAGAGTTCAGGGTCCCAGTGGTAAATAACAGAAAACTGGCTAAGCAGGAAGACAAATTAGACAAGAACTGGATCAATATTATTTCACCAAATAAGAGAATTTTTATGTCTCTAGATATGGAAACATTAAACACTACAACTCTTTGGTGACTGTATTGCCCAGGTGGGTATGTTAATTGCAGCAGTTTTTAACACACTGAGGTGACAGTCAGTCTCCCTGTGGTATGCAGGCAGCCACTTTGCGCAGATTCAAAGAGAGAAAAGGCAATGACTAACAGCTCCAGAGCGTCCGTGTCTGTGGATGTGTGACTACACTCAGTCATGCAAAACACACAAATTCCTGGGCCCCTAAATATAATGGCCAACCAGAACGGAGCCACAGAAAAACAGGCATATGGGCTTCTGTCTCTGAGACATGAACCAGGCTTTTTAATCAGGAGCAAAAATATAGTATTGAATTTTTTTTAACCATACCTACAGAGACATGAGTCTTTACATCATTGATCAAATCAGATAGGGCTTACAGTTCATTTTCTTGATATTGTTTTATGAAAGAAATAGCACTACTTTACTGTAGGGGAGGGAATCTTTTACTGTCTCATGAATCGATTCGATTCAGATTTTTGGAGCCACGATTCCATTTAAAATCGATTTTCAATTCAAAACGATTTTATTCATAATAATTTCTGATCATGATCTTTTAAATAGATCCTGAATCGTAGTAAATTAGACTTGTGAATCTTGTGTGAATCGATATTTTGGCACACCTCTAGTATTTAGTGCATAGTTTATGTCTCTTGTTAAGTCCCTCGTCCCTTCATTAACAAGAAACAGTAAGGAAGTTCTATGCAAAAATCCTATAAGGTCAGAGTGATGCCTGTTTACACATTCATATTCAAGCTTTACATGTTTTGTATTAGAAGTTTGTACATGCTGCCCTTTGGCTTGTAGCCACCTTTAGTAAAAGGTCCTTCATAAAAAAGTAACTGAATAGGCCTGTAAGTAACAAAGAGTCCATACTGCCAATGTGAGCAAAAGAGTCCACATTTGCTCCAGACTTCATCAGCTTTTCAATGTATGCATAAGTGTGAACATTGTGAGACGGGCTTTGAAAAGTATTAACCTTTGCATTAATTCATTGAACTGTGTAAATGCTCTCACAAGGTGTTGCAGACATGAAATTCAAAACAGCACTGATACGCATAACCGTGCTTTGCTTTACAGTGACTCATTCCTGATCCCTGACATGATGTGAATATCGGCGCTGGCCCCCACAGGCTGAGGGGGTCTAAATGGCTCGAGACAAAAGTGACGGCGCTGTTTGCTGGCAGCCAGAGGGAGAGATTTATATAGTGTGTCAGGGGTTCTCCTGAAGCAGGCTGAGTAAAAAGCTCTAGCGTCAGGTCTTTAAGTTGACAGACCCCTAAATAAATGTCTGGAGTAACAAGGGTCTCTGGATTTTCACCTCACCGTGAAAGGTAACAAAAAAAACAAAACAAAACATTAGACTACATAAAAACACACACAATCATGCGTAGTCATCTCAAGTGAAAATGGCGAGCCAATAGACAAAGGAGATGTGCTTTCACCCCAAACAGGCATGGAGTTGATGTATTCTTCACAGCTTACACTTGCAAGCTTGCAAGGAACATCAGAAAGTACACAAAAACTTAAGTTTGCAAATGAATGCCAAGGCACACTTGTATCCCAGCCAGTTTCCTCCCTGAAAGCAGCGAGTTCTGCCTTTGATTGTCAATAATGAGCCGAGGCCGCCTGAAAACACACAGGGAGCTAATGTCGCACATAACAGACTGTGGTCCAACAATACGCAAGGATCTGTGAGTCCTGACACATGGTCCAGCCCATATACATCTAACACAAACACCGTACTACACATTAAAAACACCTCCACACATATGAGCTAATGAGCTTTTTTGTGTTTGTAGGCAGGGCTCTCCTGAGAGAGCGAGCTCACAGAAATAGCACTCCACATGGAGGGAGGAGGGAAACCGCCTCAGAGAAAAATCTGCTGAACAAATACAACAGGAAATGGTGCTACATCTCGCCTTCACCTTGCTATACTTGCCGATGCTGCGTATTGAGAACTTTAGCCACAAAAAGGTTAGCAGAAAAAAGCAAATATGACGCAGGATATTCTCCTTTTCTATTCGAAAAAAATCGTGCCAAACTTACATCTGGTAATGACAAGCAAGCAACTTTTATTCTGGCTGAGCAACAAGGGATATGTGTGCTAAAAGCAGAAGGTGTAGGTGTGGAGAAGCCAAAAACAGTAATCAGCAAAGCCATTAATCATTACCAGTGGCAAATGTGATGGTTTTTTTGTTGTTGTTGTTGCTGTCATCGTGACTGCATGCGGGAAGGGGAAGAAGTGCCAAGCTGAATGTGGCTTACTGCGTCTGCTGGCAGCGATGGTGACGGTGTGCTATAGGAGCATGTCATTGCACGTTAGTTTGGTGATTAAACAAAGCAAACAGACAAGCAGACAAGGAGAGTGGGAGGCAAGAAAGAGGCAGAAATAGCAGTAGTGTGGGACAAAAGGAAGTGAATACACTGGGACATCAATGGCACGCTTTTTCATCCCTCAAAAATACCAGTGGCCTTTATTAGAAATTATGCATGAAGGGATGTTTATAGCAATGCAGAACAGAAAAAAAAAGCAGTGCCCCTAACACAAGAGTCGCATCTCGACCGGGCAGAGACAGACGAGCAGGTGCAGAGATTGTCCTGGAAAAACCTGACTCCAAAGTAGGCCAAGTTAACTGAGGTTTGAGAGGGCGTTATGATGCTAATGAAGACATGATGATGATGATCGTTTAGGAGGTTAAGCCATCTGAAGACTGACCAGTTTCCAGGAAATATAGATGCAGGTTACATTAAAAAAAACACTGAGTCTGTGTCCGAAATGAATCACTCAATCCCTAAACCCCATATGGGATTTCACTATGTAGTTGACTATGTAGTGAACTCAATCACCAGAGGTTTTAGACACTACATGGCATGATGCAATGCATGACGGGATGCCCACCACCGATGAGTGACAATCCGATGGTCACTACATTTTGCAATACCTTATGGGAAATTTTGAGTCGCCTATATGGGGCACTGGAATTGATCACTGAGGTTTCGGACACCCCTCAAAATGGCGCTAACCCCCATGTAGTCACCTATATAGGGGTTAGGGATCCATTTCGGACACAGCCTGAGAGAAAATGATAAAACTGCAGAGAATTTCACATTTTGTTGAGGTCTCAGAACTAGAAACTTGTTGCATGAAAAATATACTTATTTTTAAAAATATTTACAAAAATAGGAATAGAATCTCTCTACCACAAAAGCAAATGCAAAAGCATGTAATCCGTTGGTTTACATTGGTTTGTGTTGACATTATAAAATCAATACTCCTCTTTTGAAAATAAAGCATGGTTGATTCTTATTTTAAAAACTGTAAACTCTCCTTTAAGCAAATTTATGATCTTTTTTTGCCAAGACTGCTTAGTCAAAGTTACAGTTTATTTAAGCCAACTGGCATATCTGATTCTGTTAAAGTTTGACCAAATGGTAACAACAGCTACGCCAGACAGGATAAAAATGTGTGATTACTGTTCTCATTAGAAGAGTCCACTTCTGCGATGTTTTTTTAGCCAAATTATACATTAACGCAGTGAACCTGCAAAAGTTGTCAAGAGAAATCAACTTGTGACACTAAACAGTCAACCTCCTCTACAAAAAACATTGTACTCGCATCACTATCTCATTCTTCTTTTACAAAGTGGTATTTTCACAGCCAGTCAGTCACATTTGGCTCAAGTGCTGAGATAAATAATTTACATGATCCCTGAAAAGTTCTAGCGAAATCCTTTCATGTTCTGCCATCCCAGGCCTAACAGTGAAATGAGTGATTCAGACACTATCTGCTGAGCTATTAAGACTAAAATTAGAACAAGAGATCATCACACTTGATGATGTGGAACTGCTTTATGGGCCTGTGTGCTGGTTGGGGGCATGCTGGCAGCTCAATGAGCCATAGGAGTGCCAGTTTTGTGCTCTCAGTGGGGTCTGCCATGGAGTGAGGTGAAACTGGCAGGGAGGGCTGGTTCAATACTGAACCATAATGGCTTACTCTTAATGGTTGCCGCGAGGGGCCAACGTTCATTACTCTCTGCGTGGGGGGACTTTCAACAGGCTCACAGGGGGAAAACTTGGGGAGTGCACGCACACCCACATGCATTTAAACTTGAGGGAGGGACCCCGAGGCGAGTGAGAAAAGGTAAAAAGCCACAGAAACTGTTTTCTTTCCTTCTTACACTCACACTGATACAACTCCCTTACAGCAGGTGCTGTCCAGTGTTAGTACAGTGGCTTACAGAATGCTAAAACCCCCCCCTCTCGGTTTAGTTTCATAATACTGTTAATTATTCAGCGAAAAATATTCTAATCCAGCACAGCAGAAGCCAGAGTTTTGTGCTAATGCTTCCTCTTGCCTGGGTTCACCCTCTAAAGCAGCCCTAGCTCAGCTGAAACTGCCAACATAATGCACACAAATGCAGACTCAGGCCCCCTAGAAAAATACCAGGCAAAGATAGGCTATTTTAACGCTGCTTTTGCCATCTAAGGGGGGGAGCGATATGTAGCGTTAAATTGGAAGCCACAGCAATTGTCATTTAACAGGCTGGCTTCAAGAGAGAAGCCTCATGAGCAGCAAATGGTTTCACAAATTTTAGAGGGGAAAAAAAAGGAAATGGCTAGACTCATCTAAGATACACAACAAGGAGGGAACCCACTTCCAAGAGCTATAACCTAAATCTTTCTATGAATACTAAAATTGATACTTGGTTGTGACAAGAGCCGCCAAAACTGGTGGATTAATTAGTATGTGCATGAAGAGAGACTCAAAGCATGAACAAAGCATGAGAATAAACCGCTAAACAGATTGTTGGTTCTTGTGCATCTCAGGGGAGCTCATTTCACAGACTCTACCTGCCAGTGAAATCAGGCAAACAAACAAAAGCGAGACCTGAGTTGTGCTCACATCGTGCTACTCAAGAATCCCTCTCTCACTGTGCTTTAACCTATTTAACTCCACTGTCAGTGCATCGCTGGATATCAACCCGCTGCTAAGACATCTTGAAACACATTCTTTTTATCCATGGAGGCCCCGGGCATACTTTTACAAACATGCATCTGCACTTGCATTGACATACACACACACACACCCACAACAATGCATGGAATAGGATGTAAAAAGAAGCACAGGATGCCTGCTGTGAGCTGAACAAGATGTGAGAACACAAGATAAGAACAGAGAAGAATAACAGGATGAAGAGTCAGGATGCATGCTGATGGGATGTATGTCTTTGATTGGAGGAGCAGCCCATGGCCCCATTTTGTGTTGCCCTGCAACCATTTCCTCTGGAAACGATGTGTCTTTTTTTCTTCGTGAGTGGGGCTGAGAAATTGGACATTTTCCGTCGGTAGCAAGACTGGCTCCTGTTCGGGTTTAAGGAAAATCTGTGCCTCAAAGGGTGACCAGAGAGTAAAACTTACGGGCCATAGACCACAGATTAGAGGATCAAAAAGCACAAAGCTGTTAATCTATTAAACACATCTTAACTGTGTCTCCCTCTCACACAGCTGCCCCCCCTCCGTCACGTAACAATGGCAGGAAAGGTCCAGCTGTCAGAAGAGGAAATAAGAGAGGAAGAGGGAGGAAGGAAAGGCACTGACTGTCAATGTGACTGGAGCAGATAACATGCGCTGTGCTTCCTGTCCCCACCCCTGTCACTAAGGAGACCACAGTGCTCGTGACCAATGGGAAGATGGGAGGGAGAAGGAAAAATTTGTCATCCTCTCCAGCACAAGTTAAAACAGGGACTTTTGACTTTATGTCTCACAGTGATCTAATCTCTATCTTTGTTGTCTGGTTCAAAGCGATCATTTATACTTGCTTCAAAATGCTGCCAAATAATTCAGATCTAACGATAACAAAGTCGCTTTTGGCAGGATTATGAAGTCTGCAGACAGAAAACCAAAGCGTTTACGTGAAGGGCACTGAATGTGGTACACCCAGGCAGTTATTTTCATCACAATTCACCGTGAAATGGCAACATGGATGAAAGGTTAAGAGATCAACGGTGCAGCATTGGCAAATCCTTACGTTAAATAATGAACAGACAGTAGCAGCAGGAACTGGCCAAAAGTGCATTTTGCAGCGTGTCATGACAGTAAATTCCTTCATTTAACAGGGGCTTCACAGGCAGGGGGGACTGGCATGATAAAAAAAAAAAAAATTCTCTTCCAGTATGCAAGTCCAACAACAGTGACAACTCTAAAGAAAATATTCAGCCTTGGTTTTTGTGTCAGAAATTCCCCATCATATCACATTTCCAGAAAGAAAAGTTGAACAAAACAATGCTTTGGAGTCAGGATGTGATTTTAGATCAAAACAGGGACAAAAAAACCAAAACACATTAAACGGAAAAGACAGTCACAAGGCCCTGACTTCCTCCCTTGCCCCATGTGAAACAGTAATGAGTCAATAATCGGAAACATTATCATAAAAAGAGTAAGGCATGCCTGAGATTGAATAAATAAAGCTAACTACACAGAAATTATTGCTCTAAACTGATGTAATCAAACACAACAGCCCTGCGCTGAGGCCTACCTTTACGGCTTTTTATCTTAGAGCCGTTGATAAGACTGTCTCAGTGCCAGAGAGCCATTGATTCTACAGTGGGTGATTACCATGCTGCTGTTTGTGTTCTTGTTGTATTGGATTGAATTTTAATGAAAAACAACAACAAAGCATTAATGAAGAGAGCTCAATGTCATCTCTCCTTTTCAATATACACTCACTCGTTACTGGCTAATCATCTGTGTCTGCCTTTACACAGACTGATATCAATGAGGAGGACAACATGTTTGAAAGACAGCTCTGTCGTTGGCAAAGTGAACCTTTAAAGCGGCCGTGACTTTCAATCACACCCTCTTCAAAACTCTCCAAACTGTTTCGACAGGCATGGTCCTGCACTTATCAGTTCAGTAGTATTCAACCTTCTGGTTTTAGTCACCACTGCCTACTAGTTCAGCCTGACAGATAAGCGATTCATTTGATTTCTCTCCATTATCACAGAGGGATATGACTATGAAGAGGTACTTCGACAGCTGTTTTCTCAAACAAACTACTTCTTTAAAGAATATCTTACATTCTCATACATTGACAGTCAATTCCAAGACGAAACACCATCTGCTCTGCTGTGTTTTTTTTTTTCAACCATGTGACCGCAGACAGGGCCGACACAATTATATGTTATGGCCTCATAATGCTCTGCTAGCCAGACCACCTGATGAAACCTTGTCTAAATCCCCCAAAGCACCGTTAACAATAAAATGGGTTTTTATATCCTTGCATGTCAGACAATGTAATTGAGTAAGTGGTAGGTCTACATTAGCTGGGTACTGCTGGGCCATGAATGAGTCTGTTTGGCTTCTGTGTAAGTAATGTTGACCCATCTCTCCACCATGATGGTTCGCAGCTGCTGTAACAGGTGACAGTTATCCCTGTATCATCTGAATTCTCTGTGCGCCAAACTCAAGGAAGCGTCTTAGTTACAAACAAAGGTGTAGAAAAACTGGTTGGATCACAAAGTGTACACATAGCATGTGTGTTTCAGCTGTTCTTTCATTCCCGAGTTAAGGACCTGCTGAGGCATGTAGCTCCCCCACCTTAAGTTCGACTCCGACAGCCACTAATACCCTGTCTCCAGCTGTGACAACACATCACAGATGTTTTGTCTCCGTGCTGGTCTTTCATTGCCCTCATAACCTAACATAGCGTTTATCCTGGATCTCAATGTTACCACTTCAAACGCCTACTCATAACATGAAAAATTAGACAACAGAGCTATGTGTTAATGTCTGGATAGATATGCAGGGTTTCTCTGCCAGAAATTCAATTGTTGAAGGCCAAGTATCTTAGGATGGATTGTGTGGTAATCGTAAGTCAGAGGTACGTAATGATTCACTCTGAAGAACAAACAGGCCTGGCACTGTTTAGAGATGCTGAAAACTCCCTCAGTGTCTGATGCACTTCCAGATATTAAGATTGACAATGAAAGGAAGATGAGAAGACTCCTCCTGACCTACTCCCTTCTGTCTGCACATCATCACAGGAGCTGCTCTTTGGATCTGTGTTTGTTTTCTTTTCTTTTTTTTTTTCCTGGAGATCATCCGGTTGATTTGTTTTGTCTGCAAAGTCGTGTTGAATGAACCATTAAAAGCATTTAAAAAACAAAGATGTTGATAGGGCTGTAGCAACTGGGTCAGAGTGTCATAAAAAGAAAGAGAGGAAGAGTCGCTGACTTGTCAGTCATTAACAAAGCTTCCACTCTGTTTAAGCCTTAAAACATTGATCTGCCTCAAAGCACTTGGGTGTGAGGGATTAAAGAATTTACATATACATGTGCACAATTACAGCCAGGCAGATAAAGGCGTGTTGATCTCTGCAGCCAACGTTAAAGCCTGGGAGAGGTTGTGCAATAAGGGAAAGGCATATTCCAATCCCGAGCAGACAGCAAGAGCTGGGGCTGATGCAAACAGACAGACCACGTAACAGGCCTTTAATGTCACCACTGGTCCTCACATGAAAGAGGGAATGTAGCCCCAAGGCTCGAATTTTGCCACACATACTTAGCAGAGGGGGGAGCTGCAAAGGAGGAAACAAATGGAAGAGTAAAAAAAAAGGGGGGGGAGTTGAGAGGAAGGGGGAAATCTGGAGAAGCAGGAAATGAGAGGAGAGAACACAAAGAGGGGGATCGAAAACAGGGAGATGGGAGCTAGGAGTCATGCTGTTAAGGTAAATAGGTAAAAAGGCAAAGTCAGGAAAATGTGTGATTCCCTTGGGAGAACAGGTGAAGATTTTCTCCTTTAGCAAACACTATGGCATTGACAGACGGCATTTAAACACGCGCAGATGAGAGAGACGCATGTGCATGTTTACGACAGAAAAGATAAGATAAAAAAGAAAAGGAGAAGCAAACTGCAAACATGCTTGTGAGAATGCAGGGAGAGCAAGATGATACACATGGTGATGAGGGAGGAGGAGCAGAGGTATAACAGATCTGGTTCATCGAAAGTGTCAGACGCTCAATAAAAATAACGCTGCAGGAAGAGCTCCCATCACAAACACCCTAAACTCTGTCAGACTCATGCTCTCCAAGAATGCAGAGCAGAGCAGAGGAGAGGAGACAAACGGTGAAACAGGGAAGAGGAGAGGAGGATTAAAGGGGACAGAGGAAGACAAGTCCATCCAGTCCTCACCTTACAGTGTCAACAACAGCTGGCACCTTGCACATGGCCAGACCTGTCTCCCCTGCTGAGCCCACACACCGTCCATCCACAGCTGCCTTAGAGAAGGTTTCCCAGGAGAAACACTTCCTTCATACTGTGATACATGTTTTCAATCCTCTACTTAATGAAGGGGGGGATCACAAACACCTAAATTGCGACTTAACTCAATTCGTGCTGAATCACTTCATCTTTAAAATCACTCCATGTCTATGAGCAAGTCCTCCTTGCAAGCCCTGCAAGAAATTAAGGTCACTTTCACACCTGACCAAGCGGACGATTGGGAAGCTAAAAGTAGGAGGGGTATGTAACCTCACGGATTACAAACAGGGGTGGACTCGCCTTCTCGTATCCTGCTTTGTCACATTATTTTATGGAATGCTACAACGTTAGTGAACGCAACTCTTCCTATAATGCTATCGTAGCTTGTCAGGGATTGGTCCTGTTATTTTTCTAACTTTGACGATCTAACATGTGACAACATACGAGCTCAGGGTTTATGGACCGTGACTGTTGGTAGTTGTGATTTGATTTTGTTTAAATATGCCAAAATGTGAATTTATGGGTTATTGTTGTTCAGACAATTGAGCTAAGCTAGCTAGCAAATGCTAATGTCAGTGGTCACGCGTTGCCATAGCAACAAGTGACGCCGTGCACTGCGTATGCACTGCGTATAGCGTCATTCCGTACATTTGGTCCTGTGTTTGGTCCGGTGAGCTTTCACACTGCATACAAACCGAACCAGGGTTCACTTGCAAGCGAACCGAGACCCACGTTTTCAGGTGGACCAGAGTTCGCTTGTTTGGTCCGCACCAGAGTTCGGATGAGCTTTCACACCTGCCTAAACGAAGCGGACTATCCAAGGAAACGAACTCTGGTCCGTTTAAAGCGGACCAAACAGCTCTGGTGTGAAAGTGACCTAAGACAGCTGACAGACAGCAGCTGCAATTTTATCTAACAGGACAATAAAGTAACACCTTGTAGGTCTTTTATGGGCAACATTCTTGACACCGAGCCGTCGTGGCAGAAGTAAAGGCTGAGGTGAACTGGAGCGGCTCCAGGGTGGAGCAAAACGGTCAAAATCTCCTCTTGAGTCACTTTGATGACTCAGTTGGGAGTTTTGTCAAACTCACCCAAGGCTGCATTATTTGACTGGACTATACAGTGGGATAAAATGACAGTCTCTTATAATGCTTCTACGTGTACAGACGTGGCAAGGCAGCTTCAACAAAATACAAGCAGCTGGGTAAAACATAAAGGGGTCCACAGATTTAGATTAACCCAAGCTTTTCACTCTACATATGAGCGCCATACTGTCAGCAATACTAAGTTCAGCTGCATTAGTAAGAGCTTCACCATGCCCGACGTCTTTTCAACTGGATGCTTAGAAAAAAGGATATCTGTAATTTACTTTAGCTGGTGTTTGTTTGCTAAAGCAGTGGGTTGTGCTGCCTACAAGAGTCTTTGAACAGACTGTGGTTTGTTCAAGGTCTGAGGCTGCAAAACTGAACTACTTCCAAATGGCTGATCAAAGTTTTTATTAACACTGCAAGAGCTATGTTGTTGTCTGTGCGTGTCTGTAGGTAGTAATCATAGACTATGGGTGTGAACTGAACTATGTTTTCATGGTCATATTGATGCATAATTGTTGCACATCCTATGTACAAAAGTTCCTCACAGCAAATCCAGCAGAAGGACAAATCATTTTCCCATCATGTATCTCTCATTTTATTCCATCTAAACTCTGGTTCATGTCAGTTACAGAAGTCACACATGCCATAAGTTGTTCCCACCACAACTCTTTCACTGTGAGATTAACAGCGCTTTGTGCTCACTTCACAGACAGCACTTGTGTGCATCCCTCTGTGTGAACTGCTCGGAATGACCTGGTGTGTGCGCCTGGCCCATTAAAGCACAAAAAGCTATTGTGTATCATTAGCTGAGGGGGAGGAAGGGAGAGACAGAGTGGTGGAGTGTGGGGCTGAGGGAGGGGTCGTTGACCTTCCTCATAACCGAGTGGGTGACCTCATTCACAGCATACAGGGATCCTCTGTCTCCCCCCACTGTTCTTCATCGCATCCACCGTCCTCCCATCGCTCTCAGCTGCCTCGCTCATCTTTTTCCTTTCACCCGACACAATCAATCAAGGGAGCGGGGACGAGGCTCACGCTCACAAACCCTGTCATAAACACGGCACATTCTTTCCTGCTCAGCTACATGTGGGTTTTTATGTCAATCGTTCCTGTGTTACACATGGCGCTAAACAGGCTCTTTGTTCCAACAATTAAAGCTTAATCATACAAAACCAGCCATTGTTTCTGCTCTATAATCTCCTCACAACCACTGAACTGATAAGGACAGACAGACTTAAGCCGCACCACAAACAGACAACAGGCAGCGACAAATGCTAAACAAACACAACAGCCACAAAACTCTTTCACTTGCGGTTTTACATTTCTGACTTCTACCATCGCTGCCTCTGTAGGCCGGGCATCTTACGCATGAGCATAAATCGTGCTATGCAAATCCTGTTTCACGTTACATCCCAAGGCTGTAAGGAAGACAGCCGCGGTCAGGACAAGTGTGCAACACATGTGAGCTAATTCTAGTCAGGCACACAGAGGAGGCCCTGTTGAGCATCTAAGAACACGGCTAATAGATGGATCAGGCAGTAGATTTCAAAACAGACAGCTCTGTAACATCTAAAAACTTCTGAGAAATCAAAATAAATTCCATCACTGCAAGCAGGGAACACTTGAAGGAGTTGAGCGGCTCTTTGCAACACGCAGACCCTCTCTGATCTGAAGACTGAAGCAACAGCATCCAATCACAGCCCCGCACAAAGTGAAATGTGAGATTCGGGGGCCGTGTAGGCTGGCACAGGTGGTTTGAACATGATGAACTCAAATAACTTCAGAGCGAAATGAGCTCCTTTACCACTATCTCAAACATGCTCACCAACACAGAGCCCACTCTACTTACAGAAAGCCTTTAAGCATGATTGCTTTGAGGCCGCTCTCCTTCACCCTAAAGCCGAGCTTTACACTTTTAACACTTGACATGTGATCCAACCACACAGCCAGTCTTTAAAATAGACCCTTCAGTTCACAAAGCTGCAAGTGCCAAAAGCAACTCAAGTAAAAACACAAAAACAACAGCAGTGCCTATTAGCATACTAGTATCAAGTTGGGTTCAAATGTTTGCCTTCAAGTGTTTACGCAATTGATTTGTATTCAAAGATGCATTATGTAAGAGATAAGTGTGAAGCAAGACTGTGTGAAAGAGAAATATCGCAGATAAAGCAAAACCACTTCTGTTTCGTTCTCCACTCCAAGTAACAGAAAAAAAAATATTTATAGCTGTTTGAAACGATGCTGACAAAGTTTCATTTGTTCTGCTAGGAGCTGGAAAACTATCCCAAGGTAGTCCAAAACACACCCGCAACATTTTCACACAATGTGTCAATTTCATTCAAAGGCATAGCAGGAAAACCTAAAGGGACAGCACAGTCTGAAATGGTGCTGCAAACCTTTTATAAGACATCATCTGCATTCAAGAGGCAAAGTCGGTTTAACAACAGGAGCCTTCAGTAAAGTGCAAACAACACATGATTGGCAAACTGAAGAGTTATAGTTAGAGAAACCCTTTCTTTAACAGAACAGCGTTGAAATATAAAGGACAGAGTAAAGAATATTGCAATATGACTTGTGTAAAGTGTAGAGTGGAAGGGTTTTCACAGATGAGGAAAGATGTTAAAGTTACAGCAAATGAATTGAACTAGATAACTGCAACACATTTTACAAAATATCCGAATGCAGAAAAGAGGAAATATTGTTCTGGGAAGAGTAAAACAGGATGAGACATGTTTGGGTTTTTTTTTAAATGAATGGAGCCGCAAAAGTCCTGGGTAGAAGCAGAGATTGGTTTTGGACAGAGTTGCCAGGGCTTCATATTTGATGGCAGAGCCCCTCCGAGGAATCTCTTTACCTCTTGCCACTGCACTTTCCGTGGCCCTCAGGGAGGGTTATGGCAGCGCAGCCTGCTCTTGCCAAGCCTCACAGAAACAACACAGGCAGCTGAGGGACAGGTAAATTATTCATCTATGATTTATCAGCCATCCTGCAACTGGTGAGCTGAGGTAAAGGCTGCAAACCACAGGCAGAGCGATCCAATGGGGTGTCTGAATTGGGACGTGAAGAGTTTGGATGATGAAGAGGGGAAAATATTGCACAGATAAACCGTTTTTCTAAGATAGGGTTGAGCATGTTGCAAAACTACAGGGTTTAGGAAAGCTTTTTTGTCTTTGATATTTTTACATGAATAAATAAAGCATACTAGTCCCTGCTTTGAAACAAAAACTCAAACATTTGAAGAGTTTATCATTTAGAGTAAAGCAGAAGTTCCTCTTCCTCACTGTAGATGGAGTTCACATTAAGCACAGCTAAAACACACTAGGAGAGAGTGTGTGGGGAAAACAAACACCAGGCTGGAGGTTAAGTGTTCCGACTGTGCTCCCGGTAAAATTCCTGAGCTGGCTGCCAACGCTCAGCTACCATTGCTCCTCTGAAGGAAGGAAAAAAATGAATGCGAAGGAGGGTGCGAGGGTGAGGGAGGAACAGAGTGAGCATTCAGCTCATTTTTTCACCTCCTGTCATGATAAAATGGGGGGGCACAGTGGGAAATAGAAACAAATGTTGCCTGGAAAAACCCGTAATTGTTAGATACAGTGTCTGTATTGACATTTGAGAGGTTCGAAAGTAAGACAGAGAAGAAAAAGTGAGGCAACAAGGGGGACTACTTTCAGCAAGGGGTGGGAGAGCTATTTCAAGCATGCAAAGAATGTAACAGGGTGGAGCCCGTTTGTACACTACAAACTGGGGAAAATACTAAGAATTGATATGTCTTGAATGTTTGCATCACGGTTCACGATGTAACCTCAATGAGTCAAAAGAAAGCCAAGAAATGGACCCAGACTGTGGGTGAGGGTTAAAAAAAAGGATTTCTAACTTGTCACCGAGAGACAAAAAGCTCGAAGCGTGAAAACAGCTTCCCCCGACTTCTCCCCGTCTGCCTGAAAGAAAACAAACCACTGACTCGCCTTCTCCAAAGTCCTTTCCTGTCTGAAAATGGGCGTTACTTCCCGCAGATGTTTTTCTGCATAAAAAATACAGCACAGAAAACAGTAAAAGCTAAAATAACTGGGGTCAAGGGCAAGAGGAGGCGCCACGGTTTCAGTAAAAGGGAATAAACAACCTTGTTTAATGAACAAGTCTGTGCCAGGGAGCTGTTGTGACATAATTATTACAACATCCCCTAATTCATGTTCCTCTTTTAGCACGGCTTGTCATCATCTCGTACACACAGAAACACACAGTACGATGACTCCTGCTTTGACTACAAAATTCCTTCAGTGAAATTCGTTTTTTATGTTAATTTTTTAACCTGATTACTTTGCTTTAAAGCTTAAGGCATGAGAAAAAAGGAGATTATAAGACTGTAGCAATGCAATGCATAACTGGTGGGAGTAATCAAAAGAAAAGACACTTGGTGTTGGCGAGGGCAGACCAGATAGTCAGGGTAGGGCAGAAGACGGGAGGCCAGGCAGCAGCAGCAACTGTGATAAGCAGGCCCCGGCACTCACGGGATTGAGGCCTGAGATAAGACCCCGAAGCTGTCGCTGGATGACTTTATCATACACAAACCCCTGGGTGTGCAAGTGGCTGGGGGTGGGGTCCGCATTGCTGGGACTGGCGTGGGGCCAGAGGGGGCGAATGGGTCCAGGGTCGGAGTTACGACAGGGACATAAGCCCACACAGGCAGTGCGGTGGGGCTACTGGATAGGAAGGCAGAGACGTGTCAGGCAGAAGAAAGGGAAGGCAACTCTGGGTCCTTCCACAACCTCTACACCTCACCCTGTCAGACTGATGCCACCACCTAATTTATTACCATGGAGGGAGAGAGAGGGACCGCGCGAGGGCAAGTGAGAGGCAGACAGCACAAAGCCTCCTATTCTGCTTTCTCACACTGGTGGCAACGGCTCAGTAAACCAGCTCACAGAATGGCTCTCGGTTAATTAAATTCCAGCTTATAAGTGGTGCTTGGGGAGAGAATGTGGGGAGAAGACAGAGAGGTTGTGGAGGGGGATATAACAGGTTTCTGCTTTGCAACAACAGTCCTGGCCTAACACCCTCAATTCTCGCCTCACATCACTCTCTATCAGTGCTTTCTTGGGACTCAAAGCTGAATCTTACTTTGCTAGCTGTGCTCAGTCTTATTAGCTGCTAAATTGATTGCATGTCAGAGGTTAGTGAAGGTCTCACCCTGTTGCTGAAAAACGCTAGGGGGGGTCAGCCAAGAGAAGGTATGTCCAGTGCCGCAGCTGAGACAGAATGAGATTGGGAAAGCTGACACATTGACATAAATATGAGACTTTAGTTGGAAAGCCAAATGCATCCCACTTATCAGAATTTGTTCACTAAACAGCTGTTCCCAAAGGACCTGTTTCCAACTCCAGCTCCACAGTGGACAGCAGACAGTTTGTCCTCTGAAAGCTGACAGCTCTCTTGGGAAGGTCCTGCTAAATCACAACACGCAGAGACAAACAAGAAGACTGTATATGCAAAGGGGGGGGATGTTGATGCCAGGAACAAATGCTACGATGCCCCATGCAGCGCAGTGTGCAATGAAACAACAGCCCGTTTAATCTATCATACAAACAGAACGACATAATGAGCATGTTAGGAGAGCATTTTCAATCAATCTGACTGTTCTGATACCCTTAAGACAATTGCCACACATCACGACAACAAATACAGACCTCCTCCTTCTCCCCTGTGCCACTACCCTACAACGGAGCCCACACTTCACTCCCGAGCTACATCTCTAGATGTTATATTGGCTGTCTCCTCCTGCCAAGAGAAAATATAGCAATTTGAAGCCGCTTGTTGGCTGGCAGATCGTAAAGAGGAATAAAAAAACCTCTATAGCAGGTGTCACCTCGGGGAGATGAACAACTGCAACGCAAGGGGGTTTCAAAGAGGGGCCTGTCAATCGGCCAGAGTGACCTTGAGGGAGTACACACATATTGGGAAAGTAATGGGGACGCCCAGGGTGGGAGCAGGCGTCACGCACAAGGGTGGTGTCGCCTTTCTTCAGCCATGAAAACAGCTGTGTCGACACACACAAGACTTTGGGTGGGTGGGTGAGTGAGGGAGACGAGTGCAGCTGTCGGGAGGGCATACTCAGGAGAGATGGACAATTCGAAAGAGCTTAGACACTAGCTGGTTAGATTTTTGCTCTTATTAAGTGTACTTGAATCCTACAAAGCAAGGCTTTTAAATTCTTCAATCATATTTGAGCATATAAAACGCCACTTTCCCTTGAGTCAAGTGCTGTCTTTGTTATTTACCACCAATACAGAAAAAAACTAAAGCCACCCAGGAAAAGAGAAGTTGATATTGCTGACAGATTAAGACGGTCCTTTCACTCTCATCTTGGTACACCTTTTAAAGCTCTTTACTTGCTGGTTTTGCTTTCTACTTCTGCTGGCTGATCAGTAGCTTTTCATGTCACACCTGCTTTCTCCTTGACAAGACAATCGCTTTTAGTGAGACAGAACTGACAGATAAGTCTCCCATATTGGCAAAACACTAAGGAGGAAACAACCCGTGGTCTCAAAAATAGCACACCAGAAAACGATTTCTACAGTTATAACAGTTACACAAGTTCAAGATTTCCCTCTTCTGACGATCTTGTCTGAACTGAAAGTCGCAGTCAGGTGAGTTATTATCTTTACTGCTGGAAAAGCGGTGGATAATAAAACATGATTCTTCATCATCATCGGTAATGCGATCTCTCTGAAACAATCTAAAACAACAACTAAACTCTGTTTCGGATTAACATAAATCGTAATCTAGACGGTGCATTTGTTTTTCCTCTGGGTGGGGTCATCTAAGCCGGCGCAGTTCAGGGAATACTTGATTACTGCATCTGGGCTTTGACTCCATCCAAAGACAAAAAGGCAAACCAAACCACCCCTAACAGGAACCAGACAGTCAGGCCTCCTCTGAACTGGGTGGCTTTCATCACACACATGCAATTTCTGGCAGTGTAGTTAAGTTTAGGCTGGTGCTGTGGAAACCCTTGTAAACCTCAGACTTGTGCAACCTCAGAAGAAAGACACAGACGCTGTGGGGTTTACAGTGACCCAGCCGTGAAATCTCAAACAGAACATTTTGTCTGTCGTTTTATTTGTTGACTGCGTCATGGTATCAACCGACTGATACAGACTTATGAGGACTTTTTTGTGAACCTCCGACAATATCACACCAGTACTTCCAAACGCTGTACGGTGCGAGTCATCAAATAAATATTGGAAAAGCTTTCAGACCGACTGGTACGCTGATAGTTTAGCATTTTATTGCTGATGTAAACAGTACTTTTTTTTACCACATACAGAAGAGGAAAACTCTAAAATTTCTCATAGGATAAGATATATGGCTTTGCGCTTTTTAATGTCGTACCTACAATTATTTGCACATTTCATAGCACTCTTAAGGTGACCATAAACTGAGAATAAAATGTGTCGAAGTCCCCGAAAACATTGAATGTGATCCTTGTAAACATCAGGGGTCTTAGGGACCTACAGACAATAACTTAAAACTTTCTGAAAGACACAAATGACTTTCCAGGGTCCACAGTCTGAGTAAAAACTGCATTAAAAAACTCTTATCACATGTTGTAGTTGCTAATGTGTTTTAGTTGTTATTGCTCAACACGGGGAAAGCCAAACCCTTACATCAGATCTGTTTCCATAAACTGCTGACTACATAGGAGCTTAAAACAATCCTTCTGTTAGTGTACGACTAGGTAAGGAATGGAAAGAAAAACTAGTCCGCTTCCCGAGTCTCGCCTAAATGAAAACATCAACATGACCATCATCCTAACCTCAGTTCAATAACTCAAACAGCACTGCGAGAGACTAAAGAGCTCTCTAAGGCCTTTAAAAGGAAAAACAATGTGTGTATTATTCCAAGTTAGTTTTTAACAATAATTTTTGTTGAGTTTACGAGGGCTAAGCCAGAAATAGACTAGAACTCGAATATATTTAAGCGTTTAAATTGTTACGTCCTTCAACCTGACTCTTCAGAGCTGATATTTGTAGGTGTAAAGCACCATAAACTAGTTGGCTGATCGAGTGTATGCGGAGAAGACAAAATTAAAGTCTTCATTTTAAATTAAGGCAAGTGTGTTTTTCAGGGTGATGCAATTTTATCTTGGAGTAGTTGGCTGAGAAGGAGAAGAAGTCTACTTCATGTCTGAAGTGGCTTGTTTATCACTCAGCAAGAGAACAAGAAAATCTTTGCAGACCGGTTCAGCGACTACATACTACGACACCTACTCATCCAGACATGCAACCGAAACCGTGAGGTATGCGCTGCTCTATACGTCTACTGCTGCCTAACAAGAAAGCACTCATTCATGCCATGAAGTGGTCAGAATGCGTGTTATTTTTAATCCACGGTGTCACGGTCTCTAGTCCGATACTACTCACAGCATGGGGACAGTCTGCAAGGGGGGCTGTGGCGCTCTCTAGTGTCCCCAGCTCAGTTACATAAACCACGGGTCCTATCTTCCGCGAAGACCAGCTTATGGTATTGATACTATCAACATAAACTGGAGAATAAGCTTTGTTTATCAGCGCCGCTCAAAATAAGTAACAGGGGCGGAGGAAACACAGGTAGCCAGCCGAACCCAGTCTGGTCGACGCCGCCGACAAAAGGCGACGTAATTTTTTTGGTTGAGCGAGAAAAAAAAGGAAAAAAAAAGAAAAACACGACGACTGCTGCAGCAAGGGGGGAAATAACACCGAGAAAAGCAGCCCCTCGCTTGGGGGTGAATATTACATGTGCTCGGTGGAGGAGAAAAACAGAACGGTGCTTGTGTTCATGAAAAAGTTGGAAAATAATCTTCGTGCACTCCCCCTCCCAGTAGCAAATCACTGGCCATTGTTTGGGCAACAAGCAGACACATTCCTTCGTGCTTCGAGCTCGGCCGCTGGGCAACTACGAACACAACCTCTGGAAGCACAAATGACACAAGTCAACTTTTGAAACACTTTTTGGCGTTTGTCTAGGACGCCGTATTGCCTGGTTTCGTCTCGAGAGACAGTCTTTTGCTGTGTAAACGCTGCCGTTTTGGTTCCTCAAGAGTTCAGCGGAACGCAGACACCCAGTACTCGCTAGCTTAAAATGTGGCTAACCCGAGCTAAATTGCTCTGGAACATGTGGAATCAGGCCCCGGCTAATTAAAGGGAGATTGCATAGAGATACGCCTAAAGTGTGCTTCAGTTCTTAAACATAAACCATTTTAGTGTATGTGTTGACATTAGTCGGCTGAATAGATTTATCTAAGTGAGTGGGGGAAAAGTTTTTGCCTCGTCGCCATAAAGTCAGGAGAACAGTAACAAACTCCACGAAGCCCAATGTTAGCGACTCTCAAATCCACATCTCATAGTGTGTTAACCCATTTGGAAAACTATTGTTTAGGATAAGAGGAATTACGAAGTGTTTTGTGGCTGCCACTGTTAGAAGTATGAGTTTATCCGATGTAAGAACGTTATGCAGCAGGGACGCCCAGCCGTATGGAGCCGTACCGACACTGGACTGCGCCGCGGTCACGCTTCCCCACCTCCCCAGTGTCTCCAGACTCCCCCTTACCTTCATCGAGAAGCCTTTCCAGGTGTGTGAAGATGCCGCAGAGATTTGGCAAACTGGTCATGAGCTTTTTCTCGTTCAATAATTGCATCAAATAGTCGGGACTCGGCCTCGGTCGCTCCTTCACTTCGACCTCTCCGACCATCATCTTTGCGGCGAGAACGGAGAGCAAACCACCGCCAAACACAGAATCCTCTTTTCGGAAAAAGAGAAAAAAAAAACGAAAAAGAAAAAAAAAACTTGCGGCTCCAATCCCTCGCTTCCCTCCTCCTTAATTTGTGAAGACTGTGCAAACCCCCCTAAAAATTCAGGTTTGGTTTGTTCTTGTTGTGAGAGTGGAGAGGGGCAAAAAAGAAACCGTTATCTTCCTTCCAGAGGCTCGCGCGCTGTACTCTCCTCTACGCCGTGTGCGCTCGGGGACGTTCGATTCCACCACTGTAGGCGCGAGAGACTGTTCCACCGGAAAGGCTCCGTCCTTCTCAACGGCCATTGGCCAGCGCGGATTTCAGAGACTAATGGGCGAACCAATGAGCGCTTACATACAAACTAGAGGGGCGGGATAACGTTGTTTGTTGAATAACGGACAGAAATTTGGGCCAATGGTGTGGAGTGCAGAGGAATGCACATAATACTAGTGAAGTGGAATTGCTCATTTACTTGATTCTTTCTGTCCTTACCAATGGCCTTATCCCAACATCCAACATTGCTCTCATTCTAGTAATTAAAAATCTTTCTTTGTACTTTATATTCACATTAATGATTACTAACTTGTAAAGGAAGGATATTATAGATAAAAAGAGAAATCTTTTACTCTTAATAATTTCTTATTGAAGTCAGCAACATGAACTGAAAAATAAATATTGCAACAAGGGTCCCATTCCTGTAAAATAATGTTTTTCCCCTCTTTTGTAGTTCATCACTTTTGTATATTTACACCTATATAAAACCAAATACTAACAGGGTTAGAAATGCTGCTGAAGGATTAGGCTAAAAATCTTAGTTACCCTATTTGGAAAATCTCTGGGGTGCTGAGCTCTTTCAGCCACAAAGTTTCAGATGTTGCACAAGACCAGCAGTGCGGCCCTTCATGTTGCATATCCAGAATGAGAACAACATTCCAGTGACTACCTAAAAGCAGCACTTTTCTCTTTTTTAGCGTTTCCAAGATCTGGTGTAGTTTTAGGCTCAGTGTGGCAGTATATGGATCTAATCTATATTTCTTGGTCATATATGGGCTGAATGTGTGTTCAGTAGTCTCCCTTATAAAGGATCTGTGCTCAATACAGGTGATATATTTGCCAAGAACAGCATACATATCAAGCTGAGTAAGCTGCACCTTAAGGTACTAAAATATTTAAAAAAGGGTAACCTGTGTTGTCCATATCCTACAAGACGCCTTTTGTTACTCAAGACTTGTTCATCTTGTTATCTGCCATGGGACCGATTGATCAGCGTTCCACTGATCAATAGAAGCTTTTCATTGTCCTGTCCTTGGAAGGACCTTTCAACATATCCTCCGAAGATTAACATCCCTGATCAATGGAACACACACAAACCAGCTACCCCTACTCTCTCACATCTTGCATAGTGTGAAAATAAACCACAACTGGTGTGTTTTGATTCTAACAGCTGTTGGCTGAGCAGGGCCTGGGCTAAATCTGAGCTCTGACCTTGGCCCTCATTCAATTTGTCCACTTACTGCTCACCCGGTCATGTCTTTGTAAAATAGTCCCCTCACTGGGAGCATGAATTCTGAAACAGCTGTACTTTGACCTTCTGGCTGCTGTGTGTAGACAATGTGTAGTAAACAAAGCCCAAACTGTTAGTTTAAATGTAGCGGGATCAATACATTGATTGCACAAAACTAACTGGATCAGAGGTGTCTGAGGGGAAGTTGAATTGGAGTAAAAGTTTTTCCATTTTATTTACTAAGATGCATTTCGATGTTAATCTGCTTTCTAAAACATACACAAAAAAACCCCCCCCCCCCCCAAAAAAAAAAAAAAAAGGAAAAAAAAAAAGTCTAAACCAGTCCCCAAGCCCCTGATAACAGTATTTGGGAGTGCAGCAGGCGACAACAGCCTCTACATCAGAGCAGGTTGACAGATACAGTTGCCTTAACAACAAGTACAACACATTTCCTGGACACTGCTTCTCTGCCCTTTGTCAGCATAAACATACAGCTGAATTATGTTCATGTTATATATATTGCAGAGCTTCAGTTGAGTTTTAGACATACCAAGCCTTCATAATTTGATTTGTTGATCTCAAAATATTTTACACAGGTTTTTCAAATTATTAATTAAGCTAAATTGGCTGGAAAGGATTCGTCGACACTATAGAGTATGCAGTATGCAGTTTATGATTTAAAGTCCTCGTGTGTTGAAATAATTTCTGTTAGTTGAATATTGGGCAGAAATTTTAAATTCACTAAACTTTATTTCAACCAGGGCATTTGTTTGTAATTGTACATACATATGAAAAGTGTTCACATTGGTTGGATTAAGCACTTCAATTCTACCTTACTGTATCCATCCTCTGACACAGTGTCTATTAACTCTGAGATTGTCATCATTTCAACCAGTTAGAGGAGAAAAACACAGATCCTCTATTATGCTCAGTGTAATTTCATTTGCATCTTTACCAGTTACATGTCCTGTAATATTAGACCTGTCACTCAAACGGTCAGCAATAACAGTGCCCTTACCTTGAAGCCATGAATGATAAAGCATCCCTTAAAGTCAAACACTGATAAGTGATTTTGGTGGATAAGAGTGTGCAAATAGGCAGAGGGAATGAGAAACGCCATTTTTCATATGGCTTGGAGATAGCTAAATTGGTCATGGTGTTGACTTTATGCTTCTCTTTTATTTCCTCCCTTAATCTTTGAATATAAACGATGGAAAAAGTCACAGACTTCTTGCATCAAAAAGAATCTGGCATTTATTCTGAGCTTTGAAAATGGGTTTAGTTCTTATCTCAGCGGTGCGCATGGTAATTTGCACCTTGCCTGGCGCTGATTCTTCTGAGTTGGGTCACAAACGGCTCCTCTGTGTGTGTGTGTGTGTGTGTGTGTGTGTGTGTGTGTGTGTGTGTGTGTGTGTGTGTGTGTGTGTGTGTGCAAAATAGAGACGCAGAGTTAGAGGGAGTGAGAGACGCCAGGATAGACAGAGCAGATACCTGTCTGTGTGTGTGTTTGTGTGTGTGTGTGTGTGTGTGTGTGTGTGTGTGTGTGTGTGTGTGTGTGTGTGTGCGTGCACGCATGTGCCTTTGCTTGTGCCTTCTGACAGCCTGAGAGTAAACAGAAGCAATATTAATCCCCCTCTTTTGCTCCCCCTGCCCTTGTGTTTTCGTCATTTTTAATAACACGGTTCCCATTCAACAATTAATCCAATTAACAAGGATCCAGATAATTAATGAACATGCGTTTAGCCCCTTTTGAAGAGAAGCTGTTAACTCACTGACAATGAGCTTGGAGAGTGCCCTGGGTTTTCAGCTGAAAGTACTCTGACAGAGACAATGGGGCCCTCAGTGGGGCCCTGTAGATTGTCGGAGCCTGCCTCAGGGGCCGCAGCCGCAGGAAAGTGAGCGGGAGATGGCAATGTTGTTGAGACAAGGCTGCCTGTGATAACGGCTGCTCTGGAGGAGGCAAACAGAGGCCCACAGGCTCTGATAGCACACATACATTCAAACAAGGGCAACTTCTTTCCCTTTTTCTTTTGACTTACTACTTTGGGGTCTGTGGGGAGAAAAGTGCCTGCAGAATCTGGGTCATTTACATTTTGAGGAAGGTGTATGCACAGTGCAACTGAAATAAATGTCCTTCTAGCAACCACGGCACATACAGAGCGAATATGGAGAAACACATAATGTACCTATTATTCATTTTAACTCATATCATAAGCATGACATGACAAATGACCCGCTAGAGCTGGTGTCTTCATGCACTGTTGCACTTACACTTGTTTTTAGCATGCTTGTATTGAATACTGCATGCACATTTGTTAATGTCAAAAACTAAATCTTTTTTTATTTGTTTTGAAATTGCTTAAAGTAAGAATTGCAAACAGTAGGGATAAAGAGAAAGAATGTGTAATGAAGGTGAAGGAGGGATGTCTTACTACGACAAGAAATAAACTGTATCCCTGCAGTTTTACTCTAATCTTTTAGATTACATCTGTGAAAATCACAAGGTCTTTTGTACTATTGTTGGCACGCATTTTAAATGTTTATACAGTACTCTAATGAACACCCCCATCATTAAATGGTGTCTAAGTTTATTCCATTGATCGTACATTAGATAGATGGTGTGTCCCCACTTTTTCTGCACAAAATGAATCTAAAATACCATTTTTAACAGACCCTGACAGAATGATGCTGGAGTTTTTTAAACTCAGTTGTCAAAAGTTCACTTATTCTTGTAGATCCTCTTAAATATTCTATAGCAGTTCATTTTCTCCCCTAGTGATTTGCACACAGCAATGACAGCGCTTCTCAGCCACATCAATCACATGTAATTGGCATAGACTTCAAATTTTTGGTTCAACTCATGACCATATTTTGACATGAAAGAGGCAGGTCCCCTGAACTATACTGCAGCCAAACAATGAGGGGAGCTGTTATGTAATCCATTTCTTAATAAGTTTTGGTTCAAACTGCTACTTTCATAGACATAAAAAATAGAAGTATGGATAAGGTTGCATTCCTTTCCCAGTAATTTTTTTCATGGACAGTAATATTTAGCATCAGCATGCCAAATCACGTCATTGTTCCTGCCATTTGGTGGTTCGCAAAAAAGGAAAACCCACAAAACGTGTACACATGTATGTGAATTCTTCTTTAAAGAACATTTCAGATGTTAATGGTTAGGGGATTATCAATATGTTGGTGATGATGAGGTTCGTAAGCCAATCAAAGAGAAAGTTAAAAAAAAAAAAAAACACGATTGTTACATCTTGTTAAAGTCCTGCTGTTGTTGAATCAATTTTTAATAATCATAAAAGTAATTAATTTGTTGAGCAGAAGCATCCAAACAGTAAAATAAGTATAAGAGCATAGGCACCTGTGAGAATAAACAAATGGAATCAAAGTTAGAATAAAACAAAATCACAGAATAAAATATTTTCTGTAAAAATGTGCTTTAATTGGTGAAACAAAATACAGGACTGACTGTGTTTTATCTCCTCTGTCAGGCTGTTGCAGAGTGCTGATGCTCTGAGGGCAAAAGCCTCGTCTGCTTTGGTTTTCAGCCTGGACCTATGAACAGCTAGCAAAGCACTACCGTAGGATCGCATAGGGCAACAAAAGCTCAGTAAAAAGGGAGGGGCAAGCCTATGTTAGGACATGAGCATGATTAAAATGATCTTAAAAACCGATCCAAAAATCAACAGGTAGCCAATGTAGATCTGCGCACACTAGGGTGATGTGGGCAGATTTCTTGGTTCTGGTTAAAAGTGAAGCAGCTGCATTTTAAACCGTCTGAGGCAGTGGATTGATTTGTGACCGAGACATGTGGACAGGGAACTGCAGTAATCTAGATGGGAGGAAATAAAAGCATGGATGAGTTTCTCAAGATCTTTTGCAGACATTGGGGACTTGACCTTTGCTATGTTTCTGAGCTGGTAAAAACAGGACTGAACAACTTTTTTTCCGTTTTGGATGAAAGCACAAATCCTGGTCTTTTGGGGGCTTCTGGTTTGGTATCATTTAGTTTATAAAGACGTCTGACATCCAGGGTTTATTTTTGCTCGACATTTACAAAAAAGTGAAAATCTTTGATTGGTTACCAAGTCTAATCAGGATGTAGAGTTGCATGTCATTGATGGCACACATATTTATGGATAATATTACTTTGTGAAAGCATGTAAACAGAAAAAAGAGGTGGACCCCGCATTGAGCCCTGTTGAACCCCATGTGTTAAATTTGCCATTGACAGTTAACACTACAAAATGTGTTTTCCAGGTAAGACCTGGACCAGTTCAAGACCAAATCACTTATTCCAGCCCACTCCTCCTGTCTCTTAATCTGTATACTGTGATCCACTGTCAAATGCAGTGCTACAGTCCAAAACAACCAAGATGGTGCAAACACCGGCGTCTTCAGTTAACAGAAGACCATTAGGAACTTAAAGATTTGTCGGTGCAGTGGTAGGGACATAATTCAAAATTTGAATACATCAAATAAATTATGCTAATTTTCAGTAAGTAGACAGAGAATTAATTTTCCAAGGATCCTTCTTTTGGTCTTTGCGTGGGTATAAATGTTTCTGTAGGACCAAATTCATCCATTGTGCTCTAGATTCCACTGCAGCTGTGAGAGAGGGGTAGAACTGGTGACTGGGGTGGGGAGACTTCTAGCCACCTTGCTATTTTTGACACCTTCTTGTGACTGGAATGAAGGGTTACAGAGAGCCAGAACCAGAGCAAGAGATGCACTCTCAAATCTTAATGGCATAGACTGAACCTAGCTTATACTTGATACCACATGAAAGAAAATAATAAGGTGAATGTGACTTAAAAGTGTGTTTTTGCTCCTTCCATTCCCCAGAAATGAGACTTAGCTCAAGACAGCTCGCATACTTCTAAAATACAGTGAAAGAAAGATGTGTCTGCTGGAGGAGTGGAGCAGCATGAGGAAAAATCTATCACAATCCAATCCAACATTCCTGAGTTTACAATAACCCTTTCTGTTCCCCGCCACCACAGCTATTCAACAACTCACCATTTTGTTAAAGGTCACCTTGGGTGTTGTAGTCTGGATGCTCCAGTGGTTTGCCAATCTGTTGATGGGAATGCCTTTTGGCCCCCCTGTTGTTGGTCAGATAAGGGGTGGGGGGTGGAGCATAGATGGTGAAGGGTGAATGGGGGACAGCTGGAGCCAGTTGGGATGGAAAAACAGCACCTCCAAAATCCCACCTCAAACCTGCTACACATCAATCAACAGGAGGAAATGACAAAATCACAGTAACATCACAGTGCAGGATGGTTAGACAGGCTGAGGATGAACTCCCTCCTCTTTTTTTGTCCCCTCTATCCCTTGTGGAAAGCACATGGGTGTCGATACGGCTTAAAGAAACCTAGCCAATGCTACATCTGTCCCCTCACGATTGTTAACAGTGTGGATCCATTCCTGTTCCTACTGAAGAAGCCTGTATTTGTTTACTTGCCTGTTTGCTTGTTTGTGTGTGCCTGCCAGCCCGTAGCAGGGAAAGAAATGAGTGTTTGTGAGTGATAAGACCTGTAGTAGAGGAAGAGAGTGAAGAAGAAGATGAGCAGAGAAATCGGGGAAAGGAAAGTGACAGAAAAGAGAAGGAGAGAATCCTCATTGATCAAATCTGTCTCGAGAAGGATTGATTCTTTGGCGCGGTCTGCTCCAGGATCTGATCACACACACAATCAGTCTGACAATCGCATAAGAACAGATAAGAAATTTAAGCTCACAAACCTTAACAGTAAATCAGGATGTGAGATTTCGGCAGACTTTATTGGTATTTAAAGGTAAGCTTCACAGAGGAAAACAGACTATGATCTCCTCTTTCAAGGTGTTTACATTATTCCCGCACTCTCGAATTAAGCCTGCGAATAAGACACCTGGCGTATGGAGAGGCAGATAGATAAATCTCCATTGTGCCATCCCGTCTTGCACATGCTCACTGGCTCCCTGGATGAGCACGGAGTCCGCCAGGCAGACGTGAACAAGACAAATCATTCCCCTGGGGGGCATTTATTTCTGTTGCACAGCACAAACCCCTCATTGCTGGTCCTAACAATCTGCCTTTTGAGACCATAACGCCGGAACAAGAAAGACAGCTCAGCAGAAAAAGGGACAAAGGAAAAAAAGGCAGGATGTGATAAAGAGGAAGACTGATGAAGACTCCCTGAAAGTGTGATAAATCCACCAAAGTACGCAGGGTTACGACATGCAACAAACAACCCAACTTTGATCATATTAAGCGTGAACCACATGGATGAATTATTTGATTTTCAATGCAGTCACATTTAGCTTGTTTGTTCAGATAAGAAAGCGTGGCGATGTTGTTAAGTGCCAGTTGCCGCCTTGATTCTCTTGTTTTTCACTTGTGAGGGGAAAACAGATTACCAAGTGTTTGACTCAAAACACCCATTCCCCCCTCTTTCCCCACTACCTCTTCTTCTTCTTTGGTCTCTTATTTCTCTCTTCCTCTCTCTGCAGCTGGCTGCTCCTAAATCTCAGGTCCGGCCAGAGCTAGACAGCTCTCTCTAGCAGGTGACACAACATCCCACTTCCCTCCATCCATCCATTTCGACACAGCCCACACAGTCTCTCCTTCCTCACATTTCTTTCAGCACTGGATCCTTGATGTTTCTCCTCTTGTCTTCCTCTTTATTCTACATGCTCCCTCTCTTCCACTCCAAGCATTTCCACACTGCCTTCCTCTTTTTCATAATTGTCTTCCTCCGTTTCAGCCTTTTCTCTGCTTTTCTCAATCTCTTTTTTCCCCTCCGTCAACAGAACGCTATCGGCGCGCTTGTGTAGCTTTTGTTGCTCAGCTCACTGCAATACAAAAGCCTTTGTTGGCCTGCCACCGCTGTGATGTGGTGAGACGGAGATGCACAAGGACAAACTTGAGCTCCATGGAGCCAGCTTTCAGAAAGTCACTGTTCATTTTGAGATAACGGCTCAACCTGAAGGCTGGAGTAGCTGGTGGGGTGAAAGCCAGACACGCATGTAAACACTTGTCTGCGTCATGGCCTGTGTTGATCTGTGGGGGCTGTTTGAAATTTGGTGTATAAATCTTCCCATGTTGGCTCAATGCTTTGTGTTTTCATCAGTAAAATGGCTGGAATGTGTTCTTCAGTGGGAGTTATTGCTAGCTGCAGGGCTGTGGCAGCTGTTGTGAGAGGCTGAGCTAGCTAGGCTAATAATAACCCCGGAGCTGAGTGAGTGCCCATGCGGCCCCTAGTCGTCTGGGGTTGACCCTGGGAGTCCAGTTGCAGCGGAGAGTGAGGATTAGCCCAGGTCATGGATTAGAGAAGGCTCTTTCACCCTCATAGGGACCAGGCAGGTGTGAAAAAATGCTACACACTTCAGAGTGGACGTTTGTGTGGAAGCATCCAAAATGCACCACTTTGGAAAGTTTACATTACTAAGTGGCCCTTTAAGTGATTTTCACCAAATTCAGCCCGCACTGAGTCTCACACAAAGAAGTAATACTTTTCATTTTCATAAGGACCTAGGTGGGTGTGCTTGAATGCGACACACTCATGGCTAAAAAACTGGTTTTGTAACACCCTGAATGAACCTCTTTGGAATACATTTCTACTAATCAAGTGGTACATAGTCTCTTTTTTTAACAAGATCTAGTTAGCATTGAGAGTCATACTGAAACTAAATTCTTTTAGTCTTGTTAAGGCCAAAGCCGGTGTGCAGAAATGTTATGTGCTGGGTGGTTAAAGTTGTTTTTCAACACCCAGGGGTTTAAGTGCATGAGCCTGCTATTAAAAAAAGGTATTTTCTCTTATTTAGGACTAAGCAACAACTCGGACTTATAAAGCAAGCACCAACCAAAAGAAGAAACAAATAACTTTGCTGTTATTCGAAATGCAGAAAGTTCTAGAAGTGTAAAAAGGATGGGAAAATGCAAAACTGCACAATACCAATGCACAGGACCCATTATACTGGGTATCTTTGCCTTGTCTTTGCTGCCTGCTCATGTGTTAGGAGGAGGATAGAGATCTACAGCCAGCTTTGTATGGCCCAGCATAACCTTAAAGCATAGACTCCCTTGAATGCAACAAATCTGCCTTAACTTGCTCCTAATCTGCTCTGCATGTCAGTTCTGGTCTTGTTGTGACTATTCAGTCATAAAAAAAAGAACCCCACAAGGTTTTTGTACCACGTACTTTATCTTATTTATCTTTAAATACATGATTATGATGTTATAAGAGAAAAGCCGAGAGCTTGACCAAACTGGGAAAACAAGGAAAGAAATTCTGGGACATGTTTGCAACAAAGAAGTAATTAGGGTCAGGTTTGATTTTTCAAGCTTTATTACTCAGAGTCAGGGTACTACTCCTTAAAATTTGGTTGGTGCGCCTGTCTTTTTGGAGTCGGGGAAGGAATTTCCAGCCCTGATACTAAAACATTGGGTAAAAATGTTGCATGAGGCCCAGTCATACATCTAACTGGTGCAATCTGCCCCAAATTATGAGACTTTTGGAAACTGGAAAAAATCTCTTTATTGGTCTGTTTGCACATGAATTAGTTTTTTGTAAACATCCAGCACTGAGTGTCATACAAAAAACTATATTTTCAACATTGTAAGGGCAAATGCAGAAAACAGAAAGCAACACACGCAAAGGTAGCCCTTAATGTCGCAACACTCAGAGTACTACACTTAGGGCCAATGTACTCAGATCCCAAATAGCAAACACTAAATTGAGTGTGCAAACAAAAAAATCGCACATGCTATTAGTGGGCATGTTGCAGGTGATCTACTATCATTGCGTGCACATTCGATAACGGGTGCAAAAGTGGTGTGGATCGCCCTTTTTAAACAAGGATTTTGCGTGTGCTATCGGCTGTCACCACTGAGAGTTTGTGAGAGCAGGGTGGTCGTAGCCAAAAAATGAAGTTTAAAGCCATGGAGTTGCACACATCATTTTGGGGAACTGCATAAAAGGCAAGCAAGGGAAGTTTATTCGTATCACACAATTCATATACAAGGCAATTCAAAGTGCTTTACAGATGCAAGTAGATATACTAGAAATCAAAAAGGGATTTAAACTATTTTAAATCAATAAGACACATTTTTCCGTGTTTGACCTTATTATTGATGAAAACCGTCATTTACCAGAAAATTGAAATAAATCACTGGCTTTTGGACAAGGATCATGGTGTCTATAATCGCACTTCTGCCTTCTATTCCCCACAATGACCGTGCGTAATGCTGGGCCAGTTTGCACATGCCTTCAAACGTGATAAATATAGACGCAAAACAGCAACCGCAATCGGTTTCTAGGTTTGATAAATCACATTGCAGGTGCTAAATGATTTCATTTGCATCTGCTCCTCCATCCACATTCTGATGATCAACATACATTCTGCATATTTATGAAGGCAAACACGCAAAACCGATTGCGCGTGCTGTTTTGCTCATTGGACAGACGCAATCCTCGGTGCACCAGGTTAGTAGATCGGGTTTGTGTACGCTATCAAGTTTGCATGTGTTTTTGCACACGCAAACCTGTAGTAGATCAGGCCCTTCGAATTTTATAATGGATACATTCAGATTGAGCATAAACTAGATCCAGTTATCATCCAATGTTACACAAAAACTAAGTTAAATAAAGGAAGTGAAACACGGCGGAAACATGAGTCTTTCACCTTGAATTCTAAGCTCAGGCATGTTGCGCAGATTTATCTTAATCTCCTCGGTGTGTTTCTCCTCAGTCTGGCCTGAGGAGAAATGAACGAAAGGCAGCACAAAGAAGTTGCAAAATGACTGAATAACATGTCAGATCAATACTTTTGCCCTCACATGCAATCAACCAGATCTTTCAGGACAGACAAGGAAGCAAAAACTAAAAAAAAAGAAAACACATTGGAAATCCTCTCAGCTGAAAATGATACTGTGGCTTTATCTGCGACTGATACTATCAGCTGTAGGGAAGTAGAGCATGATGTTATAACCTGAGCTCTTATAACTGGAGGAAATGCTCTAAATAGGAAGCTATTTATTTCCTTGTGTTTGTTTGGGCAGTCACGAAATGATCAATTGCTCATTATGACTAAGAGAAAAGGTTTAGGATGTGACGATCACGACAATTTCTGCTTTATGCCGAATTTGTTTGCGAGGCTTTTTTTTTCGTGTTCAAGCACAGAGTGAGATAAGGGAGAAATTCAAGCAATGTCATGCTTGGTTTTTCCAGCCTGTAGGTCCGGGCCAGTCATGCGTTGATGCCTTTGATAGACCAAATAACCTCATTGGCTGCTTCCATTCCTGTTCATTTCACACTTCACTCTATTACTTGCATGAGCAATTACAATGGCGTTTGTTGTTTGGTATTGTTTGCCATTTTCGTGTGTGGGTCTGTGTGCTTCAGACAGAGTGTGTCATGGTTGGAGACGACATTCTCCAGTGCTCCTTTCCAGACTGTCACCTTTCTTAATGAGCTTCACTGGGTTCCCCAAAGAGGTCGAAACAGACACCATTTAGCATTTAATGCTCATTAGCGCCTGTGATGTGACCTAATTGAGCCAAAGCAATCAGATTGCTTGGCCTTTTAAGTGCAGAGAAGTGAAATGAACTCTGGGTAGTTTCTGAATAATACGGGTTGCTTGTCATTGTGCTAATTTGAAACAGAAGACTTTGATAGTCGTGTGAAGAAAGAAAATCAAACTGGTTCTGTTTGGACAAAAGCCTTTTTCTCAATAAAAGGTAAATAAAACATTTCACCGTTTATTTTCTTACTTCCCTCCATGTGTCTGTAAGCTCTGTTTTCTGTGCTGGCTAGCAGCTAGCCTGTGGTTCAGTAAAATTGGATAGGTGATACAAGACAGCAGGGCATCACTGATACACTTCGACCGGACCACAAGCTGTTCAGAGTTCCATCCAACAAAAAGAGGTGAATCTGTACCCTTTACCCACTTAATAGTGGAACACATGCATGCACCTTTTTCAAATTATCTTAACACTCAGCCTTTTTACCGAGCTTGATACATGCACTCGTTGTTGTGAGGAGACCAGGCTGCAGTCCTTTTCGTCTTCAGCTGCACTGATCAAGCAGCAGAGAGAGTGCAACACGGCCAGGTTCAGCAGTGTGGAACACCTATTCAGTCTCATTCTTTTCAGGATGTGCTGAGGCTGAAATATGAGCATTATGAACCTGTCTTCCTGTTGAGAATAGATTTCTCCGCAGGCCTGTAAAGTTGCTTCTGCTGGAGACATGACTTACAATAAGAGATGGTGCAAGTGTCCTTGTGAGCGTCAGAAATCAATTACGCTATGTTTCCTCGGTGGGTCCCAGAGTTGTATATGTATATGTGCAAGTGTGTGTGCATGTCTGAGAGTGTGAGGGAGAAACAGGGTTGTTTAAATCCTATTGTGTCTTGGAAGAAGTTTCCACTGTGACTGTAATGCTGTAGAGAGGATAGTGAGGGGGAACAGCTTCAATCTGCACAGCGCAAGAACACAGAGTTGGTTAAAGATGCCGACAACTTAATGTCTGGTCCAGATAAATAAAAATAAACATGTGTGTTCTCATGCACAGGAGATGCACTGTGGGAGTTTACGAGTTCAAAGCATTTCAACCAATGCGTGTGTGTGTATGTGTGTGCATGCGAGTGTGTGTTTGTCTAGAGGAATGCTGT